CATTAATAAGACCTTAATCTAAATTATTAATAATCTTCAGTGTTGCTTATGAGGATGTATGAGATATTGTAAATTCCAATAATTAATTTTTTTCATTAAATATTTAACCACATAAATTACGAATAACTTAATTACCGTAATAATAAGGGTAAGTATTTATAATAGTATCATCGATTAAAATTTAAGTAAATTCATTATCCCAAGTATCAATAAAGATATATCTTAATTTTAATTTAAGTTTATCATGAGGAGGTAAATTAAGTCTTCTTGTTAATATAGTACCTTTTCCAAAACATCCCTATCCTCCTAATATTGGCATAGCTATATTAATAATATTATACATGCACAATAACTTTTTTATTAACATCCATTCTGTATCTCCCATCCATCAATTACAAGCTGATCTAAATCTGCATCCAACAGACTTGAATCTATAACTATCCATACTATGCAATCAACTCTGGTATTTCCTGAATCACATATTTGGCAACCTGCAGGACAAGGATAAATATAAAGTTTAAAGTTTCGAATTCCCCAAAATTCCTCGGTTTATAGGACAGTTTTACATCCAAAGAAGATAAATCTGAAGTCATTAAAATTAAAACAGATTAATAAGCGTGCAATAATTCTCTTTCTATTTACACAATTCTTTCATCCCAATTTGTTAGACCACATATAGGTGTACCAGAGATATCAAAAGTGCCACTAAATACTAATGAATTATCTATATAAAAATAAAAATGTTCATCATCCCATGAATCTATCCTTTAAAATATTAGAACCTTCTTACTTCCAAAAATCGAAAGAAATCTTTATAGAATAGTGAGGTGGCAATTATTTTAATAAAGTAATGGATGTACCATTAGCAAAATTTTGATAACCCCCAAACAGCCTAGTTGGACCACAATCGCTATATATTCCATATTGACCTTTTAAGTTCCATCCTTATTACTATAAACTCTTACCCTCATCTGTTGTAAAAGTGTTTGTAGTAAAGCTTTCATAATACAGATCCTAACATTTAGATCTCATCAGAATAAATAAAATTATCATCATCAAAGAATTGTAATTAATTCATTTATAGAAAAGGTTGAAGATTAAACTTAAATTAAGATAACAAAGATCTGAAAAACTAAAATGATATTGGCTATGAACATAATTGCTTCATTTCTTTTATGTAACATTTACGAGCTTATTCGTATGAAAGAATTCATATAGAATTAAAAAATTATAATTCATTAACATAGCCAGAAATCAAACTATTATCATTATTATATTTTTTATCCTAAATAGTTGCTAAACTTAAATTGATATATTTATTTACAAGTTAGATTTCTTTATAATAATCAAAAGAATATTTTAAGGATAATATTTTAAATAGTTAATTTTTAATTAAATTTTTCTAAACTTTGATTGTTAATAGTTTATGTCATTATATAAGATCATAAATAAAGAGTTTATTAATTAGGCTGATGTACATCTTTATTAAAAATTAATTGAAATCAATATTTCTATAAATTATAAAAATAAACCATTTGGAAGTTAATATGAATTTCAAAATATATTTTTAAGTAATGTTATTCTTAATGATATTATCATTCCTTTTCAGATAAATTTGACTTTCTAAAATAATGTTAATTTTTATTAAATGTTATTCTTTAAAAAATTATTTGATATAATAAATATCATTATATTAAATGTGTAAGACTTCATCAAGTATTATACTTTCAAATCCATTTTCTGTGCTTACATCTAAGTCTAATCTATCATTATGTGAGGAATGATATTGACTTAATTAATATTATTTCATTTTGAGAATTAGTATAATAATTTATTAACTAACATAATCATTTCTTTAATTTTTTTGTATATCTATTTGTTTTTTTGAATCAAACATATAATTATCAACTAATTTTATATTTGAACCTTATATTGTTTTCCATAATTATGAATTTAATAATTTATTTTATAAAACCTTAAAAATAATTGTAGAACAAATGTAATCTTAGTAAGCATGGAATGGTTTGAAATCCTGCAAATTTAACTATTCAGAAGTAAACCTGTATTAATTATATAGAAAATTCATATAAAACCTTAAGATTGTATAACTGATTTTGCAGGAGGAGAAATTCAGCAACCATTAGGAAGAGTACATTTTGATCCAAAATATGGAGATCTTTATACTTGGGTACCTCATCTTAAGACAAGTATACCAAGACCAGGTGATGGTAAATCCTAAGAATTTCCTCCTGGTATACAATAACAGTTATCATATTAGGAAAATAATTTATTGAACATCATCCTTAAGAAAAGAAACCTCGAGCATAAAGACTTCATCTCAAAGAAGGATAATCAGGACATCTAGAAGATGTTCCATATGGCATAAAAACATTTCCACCAATTCATTGCGAAAAAAGACATGAGATTGAAGAAATGATGGGTAAAAAGTAAAGATTAGAATATCTTTATTAAATGAGAAATGGGTAATTTTGAATAAATTAATTTAGTTTACCAGTTGCAGCTTTAGGAGATAAAATTTATAAAAATCCAGAATATGCATCAGATTTTTTTAAAGAAGGAGGTTTAATTACAGGATCTAGTAATATTTAAAGAAAAGTAAATATTAACTAATTGCATGAAAAAGAAATGGAGAAAAAAATATAATTAATTCAATCTAAGATAAAAAAAGGAACACTTTGGAGTGATAAAGTAAAAATGGATTAAGATGCAGAAAAAAAATAAGATATTGATGTAATAAAAATATTTTATTAAAGGATTTAGATACATGGATTGAAACTACATTAAAACCTTCAAATCCTAATTATTAGGATCCTGATAAATTTTTTGAGAATTTAGAAAAACAATAGGCATAAGATCCTAAAAAAGCATAGGCAAATTAAAAAAAAGCTGGAAAAAAATGATATTTTAGAATATTATTACTAAATTTTATATCATTTTTATTTATTTTTATTAAATGCTTTTATAAATTAAAATAATAATGATAAAGATTGTAAGCATGTTTATATAATTGAGATATAATGGCAAAATTTTGTAGGTAGGTTATACTTTTGATTATAAAAGAATCCTAATTATTAAAAACTATTTATAGTTAAAAAGAATTTAATTGGTTAAGCAAAAAGATTAATTTTTTTATTAATAATTTCTATTTATTATTAATCTATTTGATTTAATTAAGTTTCTTGAAAATATAATTTTCATACTTTGATTAAAATAAACTTTTTTTTTAAATTAATCTAAATTAAGTTTTATATATATTACATAATCTTTCACATTAATATTATTTGAAATTAGATTTTCAATTCTACATTTAATTTTAGGTTGATTCATAAATCAGCCAATCCTTCATAAAGTATCTAAGATATAAATATAATATCTTTATCTCATTTAATAAAACCATATAAGATATTTGTTAGATTCAATTAAAAGTAATAAAATGCTATTTAATTATTAGTATGAGTAATTTATTTTCAAGCTTTTCAAATATTTTATGGTTAATAACTTAAGAAATGTGTTTTTCAAAGTTAATCATAAATAAATAATTACAAAATATATATTCTTTTATTTATTTTAATTAAAGTTTCTGAAGATTTTAAATTTGGAAATAAAAATTTGTCAGAACAAAAAGTATTAAAGTACTTCATAAATAAATAATTGATTCACTCAATTCAGTTATAAAATCATTATATGTGAAGTCAAGTGAATTTAATCCTTTGAAGTGTTAGATTATAATATTTATAAAATTGATTGAATACTGATCGAAATTGTTTTTATAACTGCATAAATTAGATTCGATAAAGTATATATAATGAACTTATTACTGTAACTTGAAAACAATTTTACACTCCTTACCAAAAATTATTACTTATTTTGCTAAAAAATTAATACATTTGGATGATATATAAACTTCTTTTTTTAGCTTAAATATTATATCTTAGAAATTAGAGTTAGATTCTGCTAATTTAATTTCCATTTATTAATGTGAATTGAAAATTTATTTAAAGTGAATCAGAATAAATAATAATTGAAAATTAAAATTTTCCATTTATTGTAAAGTTCTTTTTATTCAATAGTTCTTAGTTGTTTAATTAAATTATATTATGTCGAAAATAAACATACCTATCAAAAAATCGATTGTAAAATTAAGAAACCACAAGAGATTAGAACCCCATAGAAAATAATTTTTGATCAATTTAGTAATTTTTGAGAATGTATCAATTCGATAAGTATAGTTTATGATATATTAAAGGCTGCTTAAAAACTTTAGATTAAATATTCCACTGCAAAGTATATTATGAAGAATTTTAAAAATAATGGAAAATAGTTCAATAAAAATTATCAAACTCATAACAAACAAAATTCCATTATTTATAATGTTAATATAGTGATAGATGTATCTGATGGAAGTATTCAATTGGCTAAAACAAGTAAAAAAATTAATTATTGCGACTATAATTCTTTAAAAGAAGAATCTAAATACAAGAACTTTTCATAAACATCCGAGTTTATTTATGAGAAACTGGGTAAAATTTTTTGGCATAAATTTCATTATAAAGAATAATTGGATGAAGAAATACTCAAATTATTTTTAGATCGGTAACATATTCTGATGAAATAACAATGAAAATTATTTATATCATATTTGTTTTATTAATTAAATACTTTTGTAACAATACAAATGTTTATTATTTGATCCAAATTTAACTATAACTATAGAATTATCTGTGTTTTTTGTTTTTCTAAATTTTTTAATAAAAATTCATTTTTTTGAAGTAGTTTCTAATAAAGATATATCATTTACTAAGCCTAATAAATTTATTAATAATTATCATTTCATGAAGAAAATAACTTGTAATTTTAAACATTATGTTAATATATTCTTTTCTGACTATCATTTAAATCTAATTTCATTTTGATAACTTTGAGATTCTAAAGTCTTATAATACAAGGATTTTAATTATTAAATAATTTGATAAAGAGCAATGTTTGAATAAAAATTTAAAGATTTAAGAGCAAAGATGAAGCCAAAAAAAGTAAAGAAGATAAGCCTCTCATTAAAATAATAACTTATTGAAAGTGTAATGAATGATCACTTATCTATTCATCAAGTAAGCTATTTATTTTTATTTATAAGGCTTCTAAACTTCATTCCATCAACTACTCATCAGCTAAATATATTATAAACTTATATAAAAAATTAGGTACTGTGGCTCCTCAGCAGTCAAAGCATAGAAGAAAACCTAAGTTTTATATTCTCAACACATCAGTTTTAGTGGACTACAATTCTGGGGAGATTTTACTATATAAATAAAATTAAATTAAAAAATAGAGACAATAAGATAACTAATAGATAACTATACAGAAAGGATTGATCATGACCTCAAAAACAATATTTAAGACACTTTAAATAAACTAAAAAAATATTTCTTAATCAAATTCTGATTAGAAACAATATCCAACCTTTACCGACTTATTAGAACTAAAAAATTTCCTCTAAATTCAACACAAGTTAATGGTATCATGATTTAGTATTATATATTATTATAATTATTGATCATATCAAACTTTAATAATATAATCAATTAAGCAACATCTTTATTAAATATTTGATAATAACATATATTAATCAATAACATCATAGATTATATATGACAATTATTCTTAAAAGTAGAAAAAAACACAATTAATTTAGTTTTTAGTTAAAAATAATATATGCATTTATTTATTTTATATTACTGGTTGAATACTAGAAGATTATTATTAATGATTATTAAACAATTTAATATATATGAATATACTTAAGAATGTAGGAGAATTAAAAAACTAAAAGAATAACTTGATTATCTAAACATTCTTATCTTTATTTAAAGGATATTTAACTTAGGATAAAAATTTAAATTTAATGAATTATCTATTAAACATCAAACATTATTTTACTATTAAAATGAATTATAAAGGTTAATATATAAATATTATATTTGATTCCTTTTTAATTTAAAAAAGAAATCAAATATATTATCCTAATATTATTTATTATAATTTTTTTAAAGTTATATTAATTAGATAAATATTATTTTATAAAGTGAACATAAAATAATGAATATATATTGTAAGTTTTATCATTGTGTCTTTTTATTCAAGTCTTAATCCAATTTTTATATAATAATTAATTTTATTCATCTGTTCTTATCTCATAAATCTGATTAATTAATTAACAATATTTAATGAATTTTTCAAATCTTGAGATTGATAAACTTTATAAAGTCCCTATAAATTTTGAAATGGATTTTAGAGATAGTCATTCAAAAATGAAGAACATTGATTCATCTAGAGCATCATTTAGTAAGAAAGAGAAAAGAAATAGAAAGTTTTTCCTTAAACGCTCAGTTTTTTTTGTTTCAATTTGTAAATAAACTGGAAATATAGAATTGTATTTGGGATCCGACTTCTTACACATTGAAATTATGCAAGGAGGTCACTTTCCTTTAAATTAATATAGTATTAAAGATATAAAATCGGAAACTTTTGTGAATGATGTTGATTTTAAGGAATAAAATGTTGGAAACAGTTTAAAACTAGCTTCCACACAAATATAAAAGTAAGTTAATCAGATGCAAAAGATCGAATGTACCAAGAACCCTTTTTCGTGCTCAATTTCGAATAAACAAAGATTAAAAGAAAATTTAAAAGAAAATTTTACTAACATTTTTGATTCTTTAGACTGGTATATAAGAGAAAAGACTAATAAGAATTCGGCTATAGAAACAGCAAAATCAATATTAAAAGCCCAGCATAATGATATTATGAAAATTTTATATTAGAAATGAGCTTTACTTATAATCATTATTTTTACCATTATTGATTTTCTTAATTAAGTATTATCAATATATATCCTCTCAAGCTTAGTATTTGGCTAAAGCTTGAATAACTCTTCTAATTTTCTTTTCTATTGATAATTTACTGACTCAATAGATCCATTTCAATATACACACATAGAGAATCTTATTTTTCAACAAATCAATATGATATACAATAACGAAACTCATTTATAAGACTTAGCATTAATATATTGAATAAAATTATATAGATTATTTAAAAATATAATTTTTGATGCTCACTTAATTTGAGAAATATGTAATACACTCAACTTAAGTGAACGATCTTATGAAAATTTTGTTTAAATAATTATCGCAAAACTAATGGAAATGAATTCTATTTTTTTTAATAAAATATTATTAAAATCATGGATTCATTGATAATTAAATAAGTTGAACTTTTTTCTACTATTTAATTACTTCTCTTTTTGGTAAATTTAATAATATTTTGTTAAACTTCTAATGTTTTTGGAATTTAAACTAGTATAAAAAATAATAGACTAATATAAAAAGTAATTTAATTCTTGATTGAAAAGAATGTAAGAAGAATAACTTAATTTACAATTCATATAAAACCTTTTAATGTCTCTAAATAACATATAATAAATTAGTTGAATTATATAAACTGTATTTAATTTGTAATTAATGATTAATATCTAAACATAAATACTTAATATGTGTTCATTATAAGAATTTTAATCAAAAATCTCAAAACAGATTTTCTACTATTAAAAATGTATGAAATAAATTTTTATTTTATTATAAAAATTATTAACAAAAAATTAAAAATTTTGAAGTTTGTTATTTTAACTTAAAAAAAAATAATACAATTGGAAATCATTAATTTAAAATCACCAATTCCGTATTTTATTAAGTGTCTACATTTTTTGGATCTGTTTTAAAATCATATTATATGTATATTATCCCTAAGATTCCTGCAAATGAAAAAATGTAAAAACAAACAGATATGCTGAAAGAAGAGACTAGTATTGGAAAGAATTGACCCACAATAGCTGTGCCAAGCCAATTCACACTTGTTGCAAGACAAACACCTTTTGGAGAAACCATTTCTGGCATTACAACCTATTATTTAAAATTATAATTTACCCAAAATGCTGGTCCTATTGTTGTAGAAAATAACAAAATAAAGAGTAATATAAATACTACTATTAGAATAGCTGGTTATTCTTATAGTGATGTCATATATCCAAGAGGTAATTCTACTAATACACATGCTACAGCTCCTAATAAAAAGAAGTTTTTTCTGGTCATTCTATTTAATATAAAACCCATTAAAAATGCTCCAAGAATGCCTAATAAAGGTATAAAGAGATTTAAAATATTTGATTTCTAAACATCATTATTTGTAATCTCATTAAAAATTTATGTTGAATAAAATATAACAGCATTAATTCCTAGCATTTGTCCTATGCATGCTAATAAAGATATTCTAACTAAATTTCTAAATAATCTTCCATAAAACAAATCTTTATATGATTCATTTTAATTTGTATTTTGTCTACATTTGAATAATTTCAATACTTTTGATTTTATTTTGTTTATTTTAATACACCTTATATGTATTATTCTTAATATATCATTTTTATTGATTCGATAGCATTTGTTTCATCATTTACACTGATATAATAATTCGGTGAATCTAATTTAAAGTTACTAATGAGATTGTAAGTACGATAGGCACAAACTAACAAAGGAAAAGAAAATCCAACTCTCCAATATTGATCATCTATGGTTGGACTTTATTTATACCTAAATAAAATATAATTATTGCAATATACCATAATCCTATTGTGAAAGAAAGAAACAAACCAAAACTACCAGACATAGTCATGATAGAACCCAATGCTCCTTGAAGTTCTGGAGGACTAAACTCGTTAACATAAACGGGAACCTTAATATAATTTGATTAATTTATTTACTAATGCTGAATTAAGGCCTAGTACTACTCCTGCTACAAATCTCCCAATAACAAGAAAATTCCAATCACCAACTAATTAAATTCCATATCCAAAAATTCCAAAGAAATCCAAAATAATTAATGATTGTCTTCTACTAAAATATTGCAACATATTAGGCATAATTAAAACTCCAATTGCAGCTCCAATAGTCATAATTGCTAAGTTAGAATATTAAATACCTGACAATAGACCATTAAAATAATCAACATTTTCTGTGATTCCAAAAACTACGTCTACTGTTTATAATGCAGGATTCAAATAACCAACAGAGTATCCAAAATACACAAAACCTAAACTAGCATTAGCTACAAGATGTTTTAATAGAGTGACAGATTTATACATGAAACTATTAATTTATTTTATGGTAAAATAGAGAGTAAGGTATTATTTATATTAATTCAAAATATAGATGTGTATTCTTATAATATAATCTCAGTAATATCACAAAAAATAATTGATTTTCTTATTAATTTTCATATAGAAAAATCAAAATTTACATTTTTACTATCTGTCTGACAATGTTCTTTTTTGAATTCATACAATTTTCTTGATAATATTTATATTAATATGTTATAATTAAGAAGGCTTCCAAAATTTTTATTTTGTTAAAATTAAAACATTGATAAGAAAAATGTGACTGTAAATATGGAATAGATAAAATAAAGAATAATGGAGAGGAAGACTGAATTACCATTTAAGGATCCATCAATAAATAAACCTAGAGAATTTTATGATACAAAGCAAAATAAAAGGAAAACAGAATATATATTTGATTTTATTGATCCAACTCTACATAACAAACCATTTTTATAGCAAGTATTTGGATTGGGTAATGGATATTTTTCAGTGAATGATGTTTGGTATCCAGGAAGTATATTAATATTTCCTTAATAAATATTTTTATGGGATGTGTAGACTGCAGCTGATATAAGAGCACATAGTTTTGATATTTTAGAAGTGATAAAACCAAGACCAAGTAGAAATATAATATATATATAAATAGGTTATGTATTGATTGGGACAGGAAGAGAGAAATAGGATTTACCAGATTCATATTTTGAGAAATTTAAAAAGTATGGTATTAAAGTGGATGTGGTTGCAACATTTGAGGCATGTAGTCATTTCAATTTTTGTAGTGAAGAATAAAGAGATGTTTGTGCTTTTATGATTCCTTAAAATTTATGAATTAATATTAATATATAGGTAGAAATGTTATCACCATAATTGTTATCTTAATGGAGAAAGGGTCCAACAAATAGTATGGCATTAGAACCTGGACGTATTTAATAATTAATTCGATAGATGGAAGAGAGATCTTCTGTATGGATATTATGAAAGATCATTTAGTTACTGGATCTGCTGATCATGGTTTAAGATGTTATAATCTATCTTCAATGAAATATGAGAAAGAATTATATGCAAAAAGATATGGACATTCTGAATGGGTTAGTTCAGTATAGCATTTGTAAAATGGTTAAATAGTATCAGCAGGGATGGATAGTAAGATTTGTTTATGGGATGCAAAAGGAGTAAGATGTAATGATCTACTTGGACATTAAGGATCTATTACTAAATTGATGGTAGATGAATAGTAAGTTTGTATATCAAGTTCATATGATTAAACATTGGTAATTTGGTAATTAAGTTAAATGTCAGAGAGTAGAAAATTGTTTGGACCACATAAAAGTGCAGTATTAGATTTTGATTGGAAAAATTCATTATGTGTTAGTGGTGATAAATCTGGTACTGTAGTATTTTGGGATATAAATGAAGGAGAACCAGTGATGTCTAAAAATACTCATAAAGGAGCAGTATCTAAATGTTTATTGTATTCAGATGGAGAGAATAATAATCTTGTAATTACAGCAGGTACAAATGATGGAACATTGGTAATTCATGATATGAGAACAAATAAATTAGTAAATTAGAGTTAAATTCATAAAGGATCAATTAATGGTTTAGCAGTGCATTAATAAAATTTTAGTAAGATTTCTAATTAAATTATTAGTAATTACTGGTAGTGCTGATGCAACTTGTAAAATAATTGATATAGTTGCTGGATTCAAACCAGTTTCTATGATGAAGGCTAAAGATGCTGTATTTTCTATAGAGACTATTTATAATATGACAATTGCAGGATGTGGAGATGGCAATTTATTATTTTTTGATAATGATTCTGGTTAATGTTTATATGGATTTGGAGCAATGAATAAGGGTTGTGTAAGATAATTGAAAATAAATGATAATAAAACAAAATTAGTTGCTATAGGTGATGATTTTTCACCAATGGTTTTACAATATTCATGATTATATTTTAAATGAATTATAAATTAATATACTTATATTAGAATACTAATTTATAAATGTAAATACAACTTTCTTATAAATAGAATAGAATTATGATTGTCTTAATGTTTTTTCTTTTAATTATTATTATTATTTATAATATATAGAATTTATTGAATATTCAATGTAAATTAGATTATTAGATAATTAATGATAAATATATATGATTTCATTTTATTAATAAGTTCCTTTAAAAGTAGAGGCATTTACTCACAGTTAAATTTGTGTGAGGATTTCTTGTTGGATTGCATTTTTCTTATGTCTACAACTTTTTGGAATTGGGGATAGAAAGAAATTTGTTTCTAAACCATTTTATCATTAAGAATGTTAAGAAAGTGATTACTAAAATTAAACTAAACTTATTTGTTCTTCTATTGGAATGTTTTAACCAGAGATGAAGGATGTTAAATTGGAAATCAATATTTCAATCTCTAATGTAACAACAACAATATAAATTAGGAAGATTTATATAAATTGAATAAAAGCAAACTTTCATCTGAATTCTAAATTAGTACTATAAATGTTCAATTAACTTTATATAGCAATTAATCACTTGATAATTCAACGTATTAATATATAATAGTAAAGTGAAATGAAGAATTATTAGAGTTATGAAACAACAATGATAGATGAATAAATAAATACAAAATTAGATTGTTTGAAATGGTTTGATCATTTTAATTGTATTGGAGAATTAAGAGAAATAAATACAAACTAAAATACATTATTTCTATCACATATATCCATTATTAAACCACCAGAATATTAAACATTAAAAATGTAATATTTATAATCAACTTTTGAAAATACTCAATTTTATCGTATACTACTCTCATGTTAAGTAAATTCTATATATATATTTTTAATTAGTTTCTTTTCACTGTAATTATAATTTATGCAATGTGTTATTTATATATTAATATTGATGGTTACTAAAAAATATAATGGCCAGATATTTTAAAATGGATACCTTTTTTATTAGTGTTAATGGTATTTTATAATATGCCAATATAATTATTTAGATATTCACATTTATATTTTGTATAAGGTTATACAAATATGATTTAATTATTTGTATAAACTAGTTTATTATATTTTTGGTTGATTATATTTGAATTTTAGAAATTTTAAAATATGACAATGGAAGATATAATTAATAAAAAGAGATTATTATAATTGAAACATGCATTTTAGATTATTATTGTTTTATTGTATACTTTACCATAAGCATTTATGAATCTTTATCTCTTTTATCAAAAAGAAAATAATTCATAATTTGATATTAAAAAAGATATATAATATTATGAAATCTATGAGAGATACATATTAACAATATTAACAATATATTCATTATGCTTTTTTTATTTGCTTTATAAATAATTTAATTACACTCAACCAAATATGAATAATGAAATAGTTAAAGTTTAAGAAACACAATATGAAATATTTCCAGAATAAGATTAATCCAAATTTGCAAAAGTATAAATTAGAAAGTATAAATTATTACATATACTTTCTACATTATGCTTTTTTGTCTTGCTTTACAATTAATATATAAGAATACTTAGACCTAAATAAATTACTGTATTAAGTAGTGTTAATGAATGGAGTTTAATCAACATTTATATATGTATGATAATTTAATTTTATATACCATCTAAAAGAGAATCATATAATATACCAAATGAAGTTACTGATAATAAAATTTAATAAGTGGATTAAGAAGAAGCAATATGATAATTAACTTTTAAAAAAACAATATTTATAATTAAATAAATTAATTTATATATATATATAATTATGTTTATTAAATAATAATTCATCTAAACATTTAAAAAAACTATTCCTAATTTTTTTTATCATCTTCCTTCTCTTTTATGTGTTTCCAAATAATTATGCCACCAAGAACAAATAGAATTATTATAGTTACTATTACAACAACTAAAATTGCTTCAGTTGGTTCTATAAATATTGATAATGTCCATCTAATTATATATATATATAAATTACGATTTCGTATTATCAGTAAATGGTGAAACAATTAATTAAGAATTAGGAATGATAGGAGTCCATTATCTAATTTGTCCATCTAATAATGGTATACCTAAGTAAAAATTCTCTATATAATTATTGGTTCTGCCCAATCCCATATAAGAATAAGGTAATTACAATGGAGAATAAGCAGATTAATATAATTGAATTCCTGCAGCTGGTTTATAAGATCCACTAATATCAGTTACTCTGAATTAATAAGTGGCTCCATAATATAATGAACCTTAACATGTAATCTTACTTTCTTCATCAGCTGCACATTGTCCATTAATACCTAATGATTTCAAAAAGAAAGCATCTAAAGAGATATAATTATAAAATGCTGCTAAATTGTATCTTGGTTTTTAATCTTAATCCATAGAGATACTATTTACTAAGAAATCTAATCTTCCATTTTCTCCAAAATCAAAAAAGGCTACATTAATCCCTTCCATCTCTGTAATTAAATAAAAATGATCTCCAGGATCATTATCCACTATTAATTATCTACACATTCTTGATTCTAGTTCACAATCAGTACTTATAGGTACATTTTTAAGATAATATATATTAGGTTTGTAAGTAGTTTCATTATAAATGATCATGAATGCTCCTGGATAACCACTAGCTAAATAATCACCAAATCTTAGAAAAGGTGCTAAAGCTAATGATAAATCTAGATTTTTATAATCATATAATTTTATTGGTTAATCTCCATTACTTAATGGAGTAACCAATTTTGTATTAGTTCCTAATAAACTAAATTAAGAATATGGATATGCCATTTATTTATCTGAATCTTTTGTATTTGATTAACATAAATTTGGAGGATTATTAGGATTTTCATATTGATTATAATTAATTACTAAATTTTAGAGATCATTTCTTTAGAAAACATAAATCATATCTATAGATCCATCAAAATTAATATCTACAAAATCAAGAGTTTTTAATTCAGCTCCATTAATAAATGAATCTATAATCTATAAACAAAATCTTGGTTATTTATTTAATAATTAATCTGTACTTTCAGCAATNATATATATAATTATGTTTATTAAATAATAATTCATCTAAACATTTAAAAAAACTATTCCTAATTTTTTTTATCATCTTCCTTCTCTTTTATGTGTTTCCAAATAATTATGCCACCAAGAACAAATAGAATTATTATAGTTACTATTACAACAACTAAAATTGCTTCAGTTGGTTCTATAAATATTGATAATGTCCATCTAATTATATATATATATAAATTACGATTTCGTATTATCAGTAAATGGTGAAACAATTAATTAAGAATTAGGAATGATAGGAGTCCATTATCTAATTTGTCCATCTAATAATGGTATACCTAAGTAAAAATTCTCTATATAATTATTGGTTCTGCCCAATCCCATATAAGAATAAGGTAATTACAATGGAGAATAAGCAGATTAATATAATTGAATTCCTGCAGCTGGTTTATAAGATCCACTAATATCAGTTACTCTGAATTAATAAGTGGCTCCATAATATAATGAACCTTAACATGTAATCTTACTTTCTTCATCAGCTGCACATTGTCCATTAATACCTAATGATTTCAAAAAGAAAGCATCTAAAGAGATATAATTATAAAATGCTGCTAAATTGTATCTTGGTTTTTAATCTTAATCCATAGAGATACTATTTACTAAGAAATCTAATCTTCCATTTTCTCCAAAATCAAAAAAGGCTACATTAATCCCTTCCATCTCTGTAATTAAATAAAAATGATCTCCAGGATCATTATCCACTATTAATTATCTACACATTCTTGATTCTAGTTCACAATCAGTACTTATAGGTACATTTTTAAGATAATATATATTAGGTTTGTAAGTAGTTTCATTATAAATGATCATGAATGCTCCTGGATAACCACTAGCTAAATAATCACCAAATCTTAGAAAAGGTGCTAAAGCTAATGATAAATCTAGATTTTTATAATCATATAATTTTATTGGTTAATCTCCATTACTTAATGGAGTAACCAATTTTGTATTAGTTCCTAATAAACTAAATTAAGAATATGGATATGCCATTTATTTATCTGAATCTTTTGTATTTGATTAACATAAATTTGGAGGATTATTAGGATTTTCATATTGATTATAATTAATTACTAAATTTTAGAGATCATTTCTTTAGAAAACATAAATCATATCTATAGATCCATCAAAATTAATATCTACAAAATCAAGAGTTTTTAATTCAGCTCCATTAATAAATGAATCTATAATCTATAAACAAAATCTTGGTTATTTATTTAATAATTAATCTGTACTTTCAGCAATAACAGTAGATACATATTTAGTATACCAATATTCAATACCTAATTCAGATGTTATTATTAAATCTGCTCTACAATCAGAACTTACATCAACAAAAGAACTAAAATGTGGATTTAATAATTATGCACTTATTGTTTTTTCATAATCTTTTATTGAACAACTTTAATCTACAAGATCAAGAAAATCAGTTGGTTATTATAATCCATATTAAACTACTAATCTTTAAGTCTCTGTAGTAATCATAATAGATGTTCTATTATATTATTAATTAAACTTTACTTGTGATTACCAAAGAAATCTCCTACAAATGGATAAGATGATGATGAATATTTCTCTTGCATTACTTCAAACACTGGATAACCATTCTTTATTTCTGTCTATCTTAATATATTAATTGTAAATCCATCATCATTTCCTAAAACCACTAATATATCTAAATAGCCATCATAATCATAATCTAATGGAATTGTCCCTTATATTATGATATCTTTAACTGGATAACAACTACTTTAACAAACATTTTTTTATTCAAATTCATTTAATGTATTATCCCAATACAATATAATTATATTATTACTCTTCTAATCAACTATTACAACATCTACACTAATTTTATCATTTAAACTTACGCTTTATCTCCATTAAAATCTCCATAAGAAGAAATCAATCCTAAATCCATTTAATCTTCTGGCAATCCAACATTTACTTTATAAATTTCTATCAATAATAAATTCTCATTTATTTACAGCTCTGTTTATTTGTAAACTTGAATGCTTTCCCTTAGAAATCTGAAACACTCTCACAATATCCATTATAAAACAATATTGAAATCCAAAGTATATATTATTTCATTAATTTATTATTCTTATTAACACCAACTTTTTTTAAATTCCACAAAATATGTACATAATCAAATTCACTAATTAATATCATTTATTTCTAGATTTCGTAAATTCTTAACCATATTCCTCTATACTAAAATTAGAATCTAACATTCCTTCCATTAGAATATATATATATATATTTTATATTTTGTCAACGGATAATTATTAATACATTTATCTGTTAATGGAATTGTCTGCTAATAAATCTAATAACAAAGAAAATAACAACCCTGTCTTAGTACCAACTCAATATGAAATCATGTAAAAAGAAGGTATCTTTGCTAAAACCAAAGCATCACCTCATTATAGATTCTACTATAGAAAATAAAGGTAATCTGTTGTATAACCAATTCAAAATCCTATCATTGGCCATTCTAATAGTTCTTAATCAATCCATAAAGATATAGAAAAGATAGCAAAACAATTACAATCTTAGCATATTTAAACAATGACTCAATTCAATTTCACTTAGCCTCTAAAAGAAAGACACTCTACCTAATATTCTAATCCTCCTAATCAATAAATTACTGAGGTATTAGAAATGTTTGAAAAAGAAAATTTAATGAAAATTTAATAGATCAAACCCTATACTCCAAGAAGACCATTTACTTAATATGTTAACTCTAAATTACCTACTTTGAACTATGAAAATACAAGTAATGATTAGGAAAACAGTGAAAAAGCAACTCCACTTTTAAAAAATAAGTTATTATTTAAAAGAACTATAAATCCATCTTTGGATAAATTTAAGAAAATCAATTAACCACCAAATGAAGTAAGACATAAAAGAGTAGCTTCTTAAATCTTAAATAATCCTGTAAATTAGAATTAACAAAGAATTTCAAATGTCAGAATAAACAAGGTTTTACAAAATTCTAATAAAATTATGTAGATTTGCAATAAAATACCAAATATTTAAGAATAAATAGCTGAAGAGCAACTATTAGATTTAATAAATTCTGATCATTTTAAAATTGAATTTCAACATTTCATTAATATTTCATAAGGTTCTAATTCAGAAATGGAACAATTATTATCAAATTTTATGATTGACCAAATTAGAAAGATGAAAGAGTTATAGGATGCTGAAAATAATTTAGAAGGTAATAATTTTCATATAATTTCAAAGAAAAAAGATAAAATTTTTAGAGATCGTTAACAAATTATATATAGGAACTTAAAGAAAAATTATGAATCTACTAATTTATAAAATATTATTATTATTATGATTAAAATTAAATATTTGTTTTTAAATAATAATTCTATTAATTTATAATCTACTATCATGGAAATATTTGTTAAACTCCATATTTATATTTAAATATTATATTGATACTTCACTCTAAAATATTAAATATAATCTATTTATTAATCTAATTATATTTATACTTTAATTTATTTTTTACTCATTTTAGTTTCTTTTATAAATAAGAAAATTAATTCATATTTCAGAAACATATTGAATGATCAAAAATTATAAAATAATATATATAATTAATAGTCTATATATCTATATAAATCATAAATTAATAATTAAATATTATTTTTTGGCTTGTGACTTTTTAAATAAGTCTGTATCATTAAATGAATATTTAGGAAGTAAAGGCTTATTAGAGTATTGTTTATTATTAACATAATCTTTAAATTCTTGATATATTTTCAAATCTCTTTGTTCTTTGAGATTCTAAAATTTAATCTCTTTATTATTTTATTACTTTAATCTATTTTACCATAAGAATTAGTGCTTTAAACTATGTTAAGGCATTATAACTAATGGTTGAATTGTATACTCAGATTATTTTGGTTTTTATTGAGGAATGAATAAACTTTAATGATCATAATTATCATTTTTCACATTACAATTATTATTAAAAGAATTATCAATAAAATTGTAAGTAAATTATTAGTATTTCATTTAATTTTAAATTGATTATGATTTTGCTCTATTTCTAGATTAAGATGATTTCAATTGTCTTTATTTAAATGAATTTGAACTTGGATATTATCTTTCCAGATTATTATTTTTTTCTCTAAGGGGTTCAGGTTAAATTTATTTAATTTCTTCATACTCAATTTCATCTTCTGATATTGAAGAATCTGAGAAACTGATATCAGAATTTTATTCATTTATTAATATACTCTCTGTCCATATTTATGTTTCTATATTTTTAGATAAAGTATTAATTATTTCTCTACCCATAGATCTTAGATCATTTAATGTAAAATCCACAATTTAATTTTAATCCTTGTATCCAAAGTATGAAATTTCAAGAGTATATATATTCTAATTCATATTCAATAGCTTTTATAAAAAGACTCTTGCAGTATGATTTAAATATTTAGTATTTTTCATAAATCTACTATTCTCTAGACTGAATCTTTTATCTGAATTGCAAAGTTCAGTAATGAATTCATTGCAACTATGACCATAAAAGAAAGCTGACAGTCTAATTTATTACATTTCAAATACTTTTTGCTATGACCATGTATATCTAAAATTAATTAGATAGGATAATTCTCATTAAAATTAGTTATTAATTTTTCAATTTCATTTAATGTATCATCTCTATTGCATCCCCATTTTCTATTTAAATCAAAACCTCCCAAACCACATCTTTAATTTCCATGTACTACTCCATCAACATTTAACATTGGTATAATTTTGATAACAAACTTATTTCTCAATTCATCAGCCTCAGCTGACAATAAAGTATTTATTATCCCTTCAATTACAAAAGAACTAGGTGTCTCTCCAGGATGCTATCTACCAATAAATAGTAATCCTTATTTTTAATCTTTATTATCATTAGTTATAGTAATAATTTATACTTCATTACCTGCTTAGCTTGTGATTATGTTTTTGACTTTCAATATTTTATCATACACTAGATATTTGCTAGATATGAATGTTTATAGATTGGAATAAGTATATGGGTAATTAGAGGCAAAATACACAGTTCCTTATTCAATGAATGTATAATTAAAGGAGAGTGAATAGTAGAATGAAGAATTATTTCTTTGGATATTATTTTTCTTAAAAGATAAACCTAATGAATCTTTTCTCCAACAATTACATTCATTAATTAAGATTTTCATTCCTTAACGATAAAAACACATATCCTTGTTAATGTTAATGATACTGAGTTTAATGTTAGATAGGGTTGAATTCTTGTTTGAAATGGAGAAGTAAAACCATTGTGTATATCCTTTGGTATTGATATCATTTTAAAGTAGTAGGATGTAATCTCTATCGCTTTTCTAATTAAGATATAATAGATATACTTTGAAGACTTAGAATAAGTTTCCACTTTCAAATAGAGAGTCAAATTTAATATCTTCATCACTTTGATAGTAATGAGAAGCATCGAAGTTATTACCTGGTTAATGAATAAGAGTTGCATATAGATTTTGGTTCTGTTAAGGTTGATATTTTTGGTATACTAATTTAAGAGGTTTTAGGAAGGCTTAAAGAGTGGTAGGCTTTTAGGTTAAACATTCTTGTTCTTATTATTGTATGGGTGTTTTATAGGTTATTTGTTATTCATTTGCTTCTAAATAGCTAATATACTTAATTAGAGATACTTTTTTTTCAATGGTAATAATGAATTAACTTTATTTAATTGCAGTTATTAAATTAGAATAGGATTGGGTTTTGGTAGTTTATCTTTGATGGATTAATAGAAAACTAAATTTTCTTTGTCTTCTTTTTTTGAAAAGTTCTTCACATCAACAGTTTGACTTATATTCTTCATTTATTAACGAATAGATTTTAATATAATATAATATTAATGTGAAAAAATTGACAGAATATAATTCAGATTAATGGATGTTCAGATACAATAGATAGTCTCTTTTATCTTAATGGTGATTTGATAAGTAAAAGTGATTATGTTTTTACAATCATTGGTGGTGTCATATCTGAACCATCTGTATCAGAGTCAAGGGATCGATATGAAAATATTAATTGTTTTTTAGTTTGCTCAAATTTAAACTATTTTTATTATGGATCAGTTAAGAATGTTAATTTTAATTCTTACAAATAATTGACAATATCTTTTTCTTAGGATGTAACTTCATTAAGAGAGTCTTCAAATTCAATTGTATCATTCATTTTAATAAATAAATAAATTATTTATTTTCAATTCATGATTTTTATTAGAACTTATATAAAAATAGTTGAATCTATTATTTAATTGAAATGTATGATTTTTTTAAACAAAACATTTCTCAAACGGCAATTTAGAATTGATGATGAAACTAGATATATATATGTATATTAATAAAATTTATTGTAATATTAATTTGATTTGATTTGATGTTCAGATAAGGACCATAAAAATATTAATAGTTCCAGGATGAATAGAGAGTGATATCAAATAAACAAGAATTTCCTCAAGAAGTGTAGGCTGGCGTTCTTGGAGGAAAAGAAGGCAATTCTGATTTTCCATCAGATCAGATTCCTCCTGATTTTAATTTAGCTGAATTACATAGAGTATTGTAATAAAGTTTAAACATATAGGAAGCATGGAATGTTGGAACAACAAAATTATCAAAGAGTTAATTGAGAAGTCTTCGTTTACATTAGAATACTCCAAATATTTCAGAAGAAGAAAAATTAGTTGGATAAATATGCAAATGTTGTGCTCGTTAAGTTCCAAAAGATAGAGTTAAAATTGATTGTAATAACTAAGATTATTCGTTTCTTGGAGCAGGTAATTAAATGATTCATTTAGGTATGCCTCTTTATTTTGAATACATTAAGGCATGTATTCTAATGTTAATTGTAATGTTTGTAACATCAGGAGATTATAACATTATAACTAATATTGCCTTTGGTTAATCATGTTAATCTTTGGATAAGAGTATTGGCTTTGAGATAGATGAGAAAGCAGTTTGTATATTTAATTGGGTAACAGGATTGTCATTAGCAAACAAAAGAGAAGATTAAGAATTTATTGATTTGTAATAAATGCTCAATTTAATATCTATGTTGACTCTTATCATTTTGTTTCAATATTTTAGAAAAGAATAAAGAGCTTTTGATACTGAAATAGATTCAAATACTTATTATGCATCTGATTATACAATATTATTGAAGAATATTCCAACTCATACTGAGGGATTAAAAAATGATGATTTTGATTAAGATCTCAAAGATTATCTTGAAGTCTACATTGAAAGAACATATGAAAAGCCAATTGAAGTTTTAGATTATGAAGAAGAACTTAGATAATTTTTATAAAGAAATAATAGACCAGAAAAGAAATTATCAAGAGTAGTGGCTGTTAATTTATGTTATAATATAGAAGAACAAACAATATTAGAATAGGAAAAGTAAAGTAAGATAGCTCAAAAACAAAAGGTATTTATAATAATTAATATTATTAGTTATTACCTAGTTTGTATGATCAAGGTCTATTACCAGGTAGTGAGGATATAAATAATAATGAATAAATAAAGGAAATTGATAATTAAATAATTGAAATTGAATAAAAATTGGAAGCTTTAGAGAAAAGATTTGTTGAAGGAAAAGATGTTAAATAATATTTCTTAGGATAAGCATTTGTTACATTTAGATGGGAGAGTGATGTCTAATGGATGTTAATTGATCATAGATTATCATTATGTTCTAGAATACTTGGAAGAAAAAGTAATTTAATTTATAGAGGTTCATAATTGTAAGTTGAATAACCACCAGAACCAACAGATGTATTTTGGGAGAATTTACATATCTAAACATCTTAGAAAATATGGAGAAGAATATTAGGATATTTTCTTACTTTTATTATTTTGGGAGTTTGTGGTGGTTTAATATATTGGTTATCTGCTATATAAGCTTAGAGTGCTGATGAATAGGCCAAAGCAGTAAAAAATGGAGATTTAAATCCTAATTATAAAGTTAAAGTGATTGCATAATTGGCATCCATTTCAATCATTATTATTAATTATATTTTAAGTATTGTAATTAGAAAAGTTTCATTATTTGAAAGATTTTCTACACAAACAGGATTCAATATTAGTTTAGCTAGTAAATCTAGTTTAGCTTAATTTGTAAATACTGCTGTTATTACATTTGCAATTAGTACTTGGGTTACTAAAAATATATATGGAACAGGAGGATTGGTATATAATTAAACATATGTATTTATATCTAATGCAATTTTACCTGCTTTAATACAACTTATTGATTCATCTACTATAATGAAATGGTTATATTAATTTTTTGAATTAAGAAAGGGTAAGGCTTCAGTTAAAACATAGAAATAACTTCATGAGTAATTCTTTATATAAATTATTTAGTTTATTTGAGAGACCAGTATTTGATATATCTACATCTTATGCAACAGTTTTAAAGAATATGTATGTTGTAGCATTCTATGCTTCAGTTATTCCTATTGGTTTAGTAATTACATGTTTTGCATTACTCTTTTTTTATTGGGTTGAAAAATATAATATTGCAAGAAGAAGAACAATTAAATATAATTATTCTTCTGTAATGTCAAGAGAAATGATTGAATAATTAGAATATGTCCTACCTATTTATTGTGTAAGAATCTATCATTTTATAAATAGCTAACAAATCTTTGGTGGGAATATGTATTCTTGTAATCAATATCAATAGAAGCTATAATTGGAGTGTGTTTTGGAGTAGCCAATGCCATTTTGCCTATGCATGAAATCAATAAGTTATTATTTCGTATGAAAGCTAAACCAAATGAACATCTACCTATTAATGAGGCTGAGGTTGGTTTCTTAACTGTATTTAATTACATTATTTCATTATAGGATTATTGTAGAGAAAATCCTGCCACTGCTGAAACTGAAAGAGCTAGATACTAAGAAAGAGTAACTAGACATTAAAAGGATAAAATTGCTATGGATTAAATGTTTGAATAATGATATCAAATATTATATATATAAATTAAATCAAAGTAATTTATTTAAGTATTTATAATTGATTTTGATATGATTTCAAATTGTTAATACCACAAATAATTTTAATAGAAGAACAATTTTATAATTTTTTATATAATAATTGACTCAATCATTCTTTCTTTGCATGTTCTTCTGTCCAATATTATTGGAGCTTTTAGCTTCCATGATCAGGAACCATTGTTGGTTTTCCTGGTTTCCATGAGGCTGGACATACTTCACCATGTTCATCAGTGAATTAAAATGCTTATACTAATCTAGAAATTTATCTACGTCATTCATTACCTCAATGTTTCATCAACATTTCTTCCAACTGGTAAATCATTAACTGAATAATGTCTAAGAACACCATTCTTATCGACTATGAATGTGCCTCTGAAAGCAACTCCAAAATCTCCATCTTAAGGATCATCAATAAGAACTCCATAATCAGCAGAAATAGTCTAGAATATTCTTAAAAATTATGATTACTTTTCCTAAATCAGCAATCAATGGGATTTACATATCACCTAATCCTCCTTGATTTCTTGGTGTTTGGCAATACTTCATGTGTGAGAAATGTGAATCTACTGAAACAGCAGCTACTTCACATCCAATCTTTCTGAATTCCTATTAAGAATTAAGATTAAAACAATTACTTCAGCTCTGTCAGAAAAAGCAATGATTTCTGTTGGGCAAACAAAAGTGAAATCCAATGGATAAAAGAATAAGACTAAGTATTTGCCTTTGAAATCTGAAAGTGACACTTTCTTGAATGATCCATTTACATAAGCTGTGCTTGTGAAAGCTGGAGCAGGTTTTCTAATTTTAAGCTTTTAACTCATATCTTATTTATATTATTGCACAAAAATATTATCTCCTTATATAGAGTGACGACAATTAAATTAAATTACGATTGAGTTATTATGTACAAAAATAATCCAATAAAAATTAGAAAACCTGCTCCAAATTTTAGTGGAGAAGCTTATTACAAAGATGGATTCAAGAAAGTTAATTGAATTCATATATATTAGATTTCTTTAAAAGATTTTAAAGGCAAATATCTATTAATGTTTTTTTATCCATTTGATTTTACTTTTGTCTGCCCTACAGAAATCATTGCTTTTTCTGACAGAGTAGAAGTAATTGTTTTAATCTTAATTCTTAAAAGGAATTCAGAAAGATTGGATGTGAAGTGGTGGGAATATCTACAGATTCACATTTCTCACATATGAAATATTGTTAAACTCCAAGAAATCAAGGTGGAGTAGGAAAACTCAATATTATGTTAATATCTGATATTGGAAAAGTTAGAATAGATTCTAATAATAATAGAACATTTCAACTAGTTATGGATGCTTGATAGACGATGAGAATGATGAAGAATATGGAGCATCGTTTAGAGGAACCTACATTATTGATAGTAAAGGAATTTTGAGACATTATTCAATTAATGATACTTCAGTTGGAAGAAATATTGATGAATATTTAAGGTAAATTTAAGAATATTAATAAAGATTGATTGAAGCATTTATTTACACTGATACACATGATGAAGTTTGTTAAGAATCTTGGAAGCCAGGAGAATAGGGAATTAAAGTTGGTAAATAGAGAATTACGAAATCAAATTCTTCAGCTTGTTGTATTATGATTTGATATGTAAATTTTATTAATAAATATAACAATCTAATAAAAAGAATCAATAAGATCATAAAATCATTTTTCAGTTAGTTCACGATAACCCTTCCAATTATTTCTAAGATATGGTTCTTCTTTGATAACTCTTAAAAGGGTGTTTGAAGGACCATCTTTGTAATTAGGTAGAAAATTCTAAAAAAATATTGATATTATAAAATTACTAATGTTTCTTCAAATATAGATTTGGCTTTATCCCAATCTCCAGATAGATAGCAATGGAATCCTTCATTCCATTTTTGATAGAATTCCTAAATAAAATATAGAATATAATTACTTTTCTAAATAATGCTCTTGATATTTTAATGTTTGGATCTTTAGTCCAAGTTTCAGATATTAAAACATGACTTTTAAGAACAGCCTATTTGAGTTTGTCTCTTTTCATTCTTTTTAAAACTTTTTATTTTTTTTTTTATTTCTATTGTTCAGATTCTGTAAGATAAGCTTATTTAATTTTTTCTTTTCTATGAAAATCAACAATTGTTTTTTTTCTATGATCTTTTCTAAGTAAAGAATCAGCATTCAAATCAACAGTATAAATATCCATTGGTTCAATACTACCTTTGACAGTTACTCTATCAATGTGTCGTAGATTCCTTTAAGTAATTTTTGTGGCAACATCCCTCAATTATCCTGAAATGAGAATCATGGATCCAAATTATTTAGTGGCTGCTTCCAATCTAGAAGCCATATTAACATTAGGACTTAAATATGAGGCATCAATTTTGTATTCAGATCCAATGGCTCCTTCAATAGCCCAACCAATATGTAATCCAAATCCCATTTTTACAGAATAATTTGGTATTCTATTATTTAATCCTTCATGTTATTTATATTTCTATAATTTTTAGGATAGTGTAACATTGGTAATGATAGTAACAAAAGAAAGGATAGCCATATCTGCAATTTAAGAAACATGTTCATAAGGTTTAAGACGTAGATTTCCATCTTCATCTTGATAATAATCAGTCTCTGCATATTTCCATACTAATAAGAAAGCATCTCCAATATTTTTATTAGCACTTCCAGAGAATTAATCTACAACTCCATGTACTATTTCAGCAATCTCATTCACAAATACCATAACATCTTGTTATAATACTTCTGTGGCATCTGTGAAATTTCTAATATCACAAAATCCAAATATGGCCATCACTTTTTTTCCTGGCAACATAGGATTAATAGATGCATTAGCTCCCATATTTTAAGCAATAATTTAAGAACCAGCTTCACCAAATCCAAGTGCTAACAAAGTTCCTATCTTCACTATCAATTTCTACAAAATGACCGTTTCTAATCTCTCATCCTCTTAATCTTCTAATGCTTTCATTTCTCCATTTTCAATCATTTAAATAAATGCCTTATTTTCTTCTTCTTAGGCTGCAACTAAAGGATTCTCTGATATTTTTTTGACAGTTTCCAACATTTTCTCAATAGGTGTTAAAATTAAATCTTAAACATCTTTACTGAACAAAACTGCTGCAACAGAAAGTACAATAGAAACAAAAATAGTTCTAACAATTGATAAAATGGCATTCAATTCATCATCTGTTATTGTTGTACAAATAGATACAGCATTTTAATCTGAAGAATCAGTAGTTGTATAATATTATAAAGAGGCAGTTCTATAATCCTAATATTAATATTAATTTTCATATGGATAGAAAATTGTTGAATTGATTTCAAAGAATACTAATTAAGTTCTTAAAGATTCATGATAAACTATAAAATCTTTGATTAAATAATTATAGATTTCAGTGTCTTTAGACCAATATTAAATTGCTTATAAACCTGTAGTAAAACTAACATTAGGATCACCATAAGTACTTAGATTTAAAATAGGTACACTAAATAAAATTAACATCACAATTGTAATAACTCTTTTATTTGTTAATTCTGTTAATTCCTTTCCAATATTAGTTTCTTTAACCTCTCCTTCATCTGAAACTCTTTATAATGTTTTCCCAGGAGATTATATAATAGATTTTCTTTTTTGAATAGTGGTTAATGATTAAATTTATCCAGACAATACAATTTTCCTAGTTTGTCTTCTTTGAAATCTCTATTCATTTTCTGAGTTGAATTAACTACTTTATCTATTTTATAACATAATTGAAGTCCTTTATTATGGAGTCTTTTATATATTTGGTTATTCATCTTAATCTCTTACATGTCTCTCAGATGAATCTACTGACTTTTAAGATGATATATTATCATTATTTTATTATTAATTAACTACTTGTTCTTATTCTTAATTATTTTGGTCCATCAAGTTTTCATCTTTCATTTCTTCTGCTAATAGTTTTTCTGCTTCTTTCTCTAAAGATTATTTTGCATGTTTATATAATTTTGATAATCTAACAAGTCGCACAACTCTAACAATCCTTCCTGCTCTTGTTCCTACTCTTGAAGCTCTCCCTGCTCTATATTCAATATTTATATATATATATAAACCTTGCCAATGATACAGCACTCAAAGCTGCACCACCACCGCTTCCAAACATTGCCTCATTTACCCATCCAATATCTAATAACATTGAAATAGTTGATAATAAATCTAACCAAAAAAAGAATCCAAGAATATATCCATCCTTAATAAAATGAAAGCAAATTTACTTTACAAACTGAAGCCAACACAATTTCAACCAAAAAAAATGCCATACATATTGCAGTTATCACCCAAAAAGCAGCATCTCCATCCTTATTAATACAAAATGTATACTTTATTTGTTGATAACACTCTTATATCATCACCAAATAATGCATAAATCGTTATTACAGTCATAAATATCATATAATTGAAACTTTCCAGAAACTGCTCAATCATTTTCTAAAATTTTGATTATTATGTACTTTCATCCCAAAATGAATTTCTGAAGATGTTTTACTTGATCTTGATCCATAATTCATAGACTTCCTATGTGTTATTGTTCTTGAAGCATATTATGCATCACCAGACCCACTCCTCTTATTTGGAGATGAAGAATCTACTTTTGATTCAGCCTAACTCATTAAAATAATTCAATACTCTTATTTGTCCACTCATTTAAACAACTTCATCTTCATTCTTTTTTTCCATCTTTATAAATTAATATCAAAATATTTCTATATATATATTTAGTTTATCTCATAAATCATTCATCAATTATTGTTATCCTTTAGTTGCATTAAATATATAAATATTAATATCAATGAAAATTGTATTTCGATATTCCTATGATCTTTTTGTAATTGGAGGAGGTTCAGGTGGTTTAGCTAGCAGTAAAGCAGCAGCCCAATTAGGAAAAAAAGTTGCTTTGGCAGATTTTGTTGTACCCTCTCCAAATGGTCAAACTTGGGGTGTAGGAGGAACTTGTGTAAATGTTGGATGTATTCCTAAAAAAATGTTTCATATTGCTGCTTAATTGGGAGATTATAGACAAGATTAGGGTAGAGTAGGATGGAGTGGAATAAATGAAAATGGATCTCATGATTGGAATAAAATGGTTTAAGTAGTATCTAATATGATACTGAGACTTAATAGAATGCATGAAAACAATCTCAAAATAGCAGGAGTTTAATATATAAATTCATTAGCAAAATTGATAAATCCAAACACTATTGAAGTATGTATGTATTCATAATTTTAGCTTACTGATTAAAAAGGTGAAAAGAGTATTGTTACTGCTGAAAAGATTATCGTTTCAGTTGGAGCAAGACCAAAATTATATGAAGGATTGAATCCTTAGAGTTATATTACATCAGATGATTTATTTTGGATGAGAAGACCTCCTGGTAAATCTTTAATAATTGGAGGATCTTATGTGGCATTAGAATGTGCAGGATTTTTGAATGGATTAGGATATGATACATAAGTGTTAGTAAGAAGTAAATTGCTTAGAAAATTTGATCAATAATATGCATAATTAGTTGGACAATATATGGTTGAAAAAGGTGTTAAATTTCATTATGGTTGTACACCTACTAAAATTGATGGTAAAATTGTTACTTGGAAAGATAAGAATGGAAAAGAATCATCAGAAAAGTTTGACACTGTTTTGATGGCTATTTCAAGATAAGCTAATACTTAAAATTTAGGATTGGAAAATGTTGGAATTTAAATTGATGAAAATTAGAAAATTATTGTTAATAAATATGATTAAACTAATTGTCCAAATATTTATGCTGTAGGAGATTGTGTTTCTGGAAAATTAGAATTAACTCCTACAGCTATAATGGCAGGAAGGAAATTAATTAAGAGATTATATTAAGGTTCATCAGATATAATGGATTATAGAGATGTAGCAACAACAATCTTTACACCTTTAGAGTACAGTTGTATTGGATTATCAGAAGAGAGAGCAATTGAAAAATATGGTTAAGATAATCTAAAGATTTTTGAAAATGTTTTCAAACCTGTGACTTGGAATATTAGTGCTAGAAATCCATCAATATGTTAAGGAAAATTAATAGTCAGAAAAGATACTGACTAAATAATTGGATTTCATTATATTGGACCAGAAGCTGCTGAAGTTACTTAAGGTTTTGCTGTGGCTATTAGAATGGGAGCTACAAAGGCAGATTTTGATTCGACTGTAGGAATTCATCCATCTGCTGCAGAAGTATTTATAATGAGATTATTAATAGGAAATGGTTTAAATGAAAAAATTTAGATGATTAATATATGTTAAAAGTAGAATTATTTAATTTTAAATATATTCTTAATAATTATATTTTTAAGTAGCAATTTATTTGCATGTTTAAAATTATTAAGAATTTTATTATATTAATTTATAATATTATATATATATATTCCAAAAATTTAGTTTATCATTTCAAACATTAAATTTAATTGGTCTTTAAATAGGTTAAATTACAATAAATTATTATTTTAAATAATAATTTGTATTATCTGAAGTTATAGATGTTACTTCCTTTTTTGTTGAGCACTATTTTAATTTTGGATATTTCTCAAAAATTAACTTTATTTACATATAACAATCTATTATGATTTATACACTTAACATTAGAATGTAAATTCCAATGTGAAAATACGAGATCAATTCAATAGTATCTTAAGAGAAATATTTGAAATTATCTTAAACATAATAAATTAGTATAAAATTAAGAGATATCAAAATTCCAAAATCTTGTGTTATAACTTTTGTTGTTTCTAAAGTATTTATACTAGGTTAAAGAACAATAGAAATAATGGCAGATACCATATACAGTGATATTAAAAGACCAATTTAATAGAGAGCATTATTGAAAAATACTAATAATGAAGCCATAAAAAGAATCTTCTTAAATGGTTAGAGTAGAGCAGCTTATCTATTATGAATACCAACAATTTAAAATCCTTCAAATAAAGAACCATATTTTAATTTATATTATAAGGATTCAAATTGATATTTTTTAAGTAGAATGGAATTACTTAATAAAATGATAATTGTAATTTAAATTAAGATTATCAAATTAGCAAATAAATATTAAAGAGTATCATTAAGATTAGCCTTATAATGTTGAGTCCAACAATATATTGTTGTAAATATAGCAAAATTTAAATCTAATAAACTAGATAAATGAATTCTTAAAAGGATTTAAAATAAAAAACTATGTTCATAAATTCTTGCAGTATTATTAATATAATATGCAATTTAATAAGTATAATATTTTATTTAACAAGGACCTAAATTTTTGGAATCAGTTATCAATATTTTATCAAATAAATATTTGTGATTTATTTTTATAATAATTCTACATCCAATATAAATAATAATTGGTATAGCATAAGTAACAAAAATTGAACTCAGATTTATTAATAGATTCTCTTAAACATCTCTTTCTATTAATAATGGATAATTGTGCTAAGTGTCATTTTCTGCAAATTTTATTAAAGAAAATGGTATTAAATCATTTAAAAAATCCATTTAAGCAAATTTAAAAAGGGATAAAAATTCAAGATGTAAATATGGAAATTTAACATTAATATATGATAAATAAGAGAATAATTAGAGCATATCTAATGTATTCCAATAGAATTCAAGACTTTACAATAGTAATCCAAGAATAGCTGCTCCTCCTAATGCAGCCAAAAAAAATAAACTAATTTTCTTTGATGTTGCTGCTGTAGTTATTTATAATTCAGAAACTTTATAATAATCTCCTAATTAATATTCTAAAAATTGATTTGATAATTATTGTCCTTCTTAATCAAATGGTAAATAATCAGTAAAATTGATTTAATAAATCATACCTTAAAATGTATCATACAATTTAATATCTAAATTAATTTGAGAATAATATGAGTCATAATTATTATCATATCCTATTTCAATATAATATTTAACTTAATTCATATTTTTAATTACTTGTATCCAATGTTATTATGCTTAAATCAAATCAATTTTCATAAGTTTATTAAATTTAATTATTCCATATCTATTAGATTGATAGATATTAGCAGGTTTTTCAAAACTAATACTAGCTTAAGGGAGATCAGCAATTTAACATTTACTTTAAGTATTATTATTAGAATTACAAATCCATAGTTATTCAAGTTTGCAAGTAGATGAACAACCATCTCCATCAATATTATTACCATCATCACATTGTTCTGTTAATCTTAACATACCATCTCCACATTTTGATATACATTTACCTTATTCAAGATATAAACCTTGAGTATCCTCACATAATTAGCAATTGTCTGATGAAAATATTTCGAATATACAAGATGTACATTATTTTTTAGATGGCCCTGAACATTCTTTACAATGGATACTATTAAATATATATATGTTGATATAATTACTCGCAAGGATTGCATTGATTATCATCTAAAAAGTATCCTGATTTACATTAAGAACATATTTTAATATCCTAGCAAGATTTACAATTAACATCTGTGCATTGAATACATGATGAATAATAAATAAGTGGACTTAATTTAAGATTTTAAATTAATGTACATTAATAACTTTCTTCAATTTAACATTATGAATTACAACCATCTCTATTTATATTATTCAAATCATCACATTATTCATATTATTATTTGATACCATCACCACAATAATTAGTTTAACATTCAAGAACATCATAAATACAAGGATTGCATTAATTATTTTCATAATAATATCCTTTTATACAAATACATGTAGAATTAGATTAAATTAAATTTTTAGTTGAATCACAAGTTAAACAATTATATTCATTAGATCCATTACATGTTTTACATTTGATATGACATAAAATACATACTTCATTATTATTTTCATAATAACCATCTTTACAATAACATTCATTAGATATTCTATTTTATGAGCATTCAACACAATTTTATGCATTTAATTAACAAGTCTTACATTTGTTATGACATTTTAAACAATTTAAATTGATATCTTCATAATAACCATCTAAACAATTACAAATAGGTGGATTAATTCTAAGAGTACTACAAGTAATACAATTAGAAGCATTTGTTAAACATGTAAAACAGTATTTTGAACAATTTTAACATGGTAATGATTAAGATAATTCATAAGTACCTTCTGGACAAATACATTTAAAAGGAAGAATTCTATTAAAATTACATTTAGTGCAATAATCTGATTGATATTTACATTGATTGCATTATATTTGACAATTATTACATTAATTAGAAGATTAATCAAAATAATATCCATTTGTACATTAACAAATATTATCATTATCAAGAATTAAAGGTGATATACAAGTATTACATAGATTATTAGAACAAAGTACACAATTTTAGTTACAAGATATGCACACATTATCATTAAGTTAATATCCCTTAACACAATTGCATAATGGAGGATTAATGTAATTAAGATTACATTCAATACAATTAGTTGAAATGATAGAACAAGTTTTGCATTTTCTATGACATGCTATAATTAGTATAATAAAAATTTTTACGTAAACATTTAGAATTTTACATATAATAACCATCTAAACATTAACAATTGATTTTATCAGCAAAATTACTTAAATTGCAATTTTCACTCCAATATTATTTCATAATTATAGCATTATAATTTATTACAATTACATTACTAGGTGTGGTGGATATGACTTCACACTCTTAAGCTTATTCTTCAAATCCACTATCACAATCACAATTTGGTAAACTTCTATTACTACGACAATCTATACATGAAGTAGCATTACTACATGAAGAACATTTATAATTGCATTCTAACAATTAATTTATATAAATTACATTCACAAATTTAAGATCCATTATCAAAATATCCAATTTAACAAGGACAAAAATTAGGTAAATCATCTATTCTATTAGTGCCTGATAATGCACAAGCTAAACATTAATATACACCTGATATCAAACTACAATTTCCACAAAAAAATCCACAAATTGATTAAGTTGGTTAACAAATAGGAATTCCAAAATCATAATATCCAGCATTACAAACACATTAATTAGATGCATCTAATGTTCTATGCATAAATTAACAATCTGTGCAAAATGTACTACTACCAGAACAATATCGACAGGTGTAATTACATTTATAACAATTATATGTTGCATCCATATAATATCCAAAATTACACACACATATATTACTTGAACCAACATAAGCATTACTTTTACATAAATTACATTAAGTGTTATTCCCACCCCAACATTTCCTACAACTTTAATCACAAGTGGATGCACAATTTGTTCCATAATATCCATCTATGCATCCAGTACTTGTACATGTAGCAGCACAAACTAATTAAATAATTAAATATTACTTGCATTTACACATGAAGTACCTGATAAAACTTAACCTGAAGGACAATTACATGTTCCACTACTTAAAATCATAGGTCCATTACAAGATGTACATAAAGTTGAATCAGATATATCACATGTTTTACAAATAGCATCACACGATTAGTCACAATTTCCACCTGTCTTTCCTACTTGACATATTGTACATGTCTATGAGGCATCACAGCCTGAACAATTAGGATTTAAACATTCTAAAATATTATTGGATTTCATACAAACACATGGTGCTGTGCAGCAATTACTAGCATTGTATTTACACAATCCCCCACATACAGTATCACATTAAATACATGAATCACCATTCCAAACATACCCTGAATTGCATAGACACATTTAAGAACTTGCTTACAATGTTGCATTTGCATGACATGTTAAACAATTATACTCTTCTCCTGAACCTTAACAACTTTAACAAGTTGGATGACATTCTATAAATAATTTCATCTTTCTTACTAAAGCAAACTTAAGAATTTGGAATCAATTAAGATACATAATATCCAATTTAACAACTACAGGAACTTCCACTTTTATTATTGTAGCAACTTAAACATTCATTATTTGCTGGTCCTGAACATGTTTTACAATTTTAATGACATTCTATAAATTTTATTTATTATATTACTATAACAATTATTGTCAACATTTGACTTGTAATATCCCTCTTTACATATACATATATTAGATTGTAAAATAGTATTCTAATCTTATTTACACATTAGACAGTTTGAATTCAAAGATCCATTACATTTTGAGCAAGTAGGATGACAATCTATTTCAAATATATTTTATTTTTAAACCTTCACATAAGAAATTAACATAATTAAAATATTAATGCTCTCCACATTTGCATTCATTTTCAAATAAAATCATTTAATTTTAGCAGCTTAGACAATCGTTATTCTAATTTCCTTAACAATTTAAACAAGGAAAACGACAACCTAACTTCTATTTATATTTACGCTAGCAAAATAATTCATTATTCTCATCATAATAATTCCCTTAACATTTACAAACAGAATTCTCTAAAAATCGATTACCATCGCTCAAACATTCTAAACAATTAGATGAACTGCTAGATGAACATTTCCAACATGAATAGTGACAGTCTATGTTATATTAAGAATATTAACCTTGGCATATGCCATTATCCAAAAACTGATTTGTCAAACATTATTCTGTATCCTATAATTTTCTAATAATCTAAAAATTCTTCAAGATCTAATGACCTTCAAGTTAGTAAAGTAAAGTCAAAAAGATTGTTAAAGTAAGTTACATCAGATTCATTTATCAGAATATTTAACAAATTCTTTTATTATATCTTTAAAAACTTAATATTAATTATGATGTAATCAAATTAACCTAGTATTACTATTTTATTCTGTTCATATTTAAATTAGATTTATTTTCTTAATCTCTAATTATATTAACATATGAATTGTTCTACTTTTATTAATGTTTCGATATTTCAAATAATAAATTATTCAATTCAAGTTATTTTTATTGATTTTTTATTAACTTAATTCATTATACAAAACATTTTGTAAAACTTACAATAATAGTAAATTATCTATTTATTCTTTATTCAATTTTAATGCATAAAAGAATAAAATAGATTTTTATGAATTCAACAAAATTTATATATATATATTTGTTTCATAGAGAAAAATAAAATATATCATATCGAAAATGATTTAATTATCTATATGGGTTGAATGAATTAGAAAATATTGTAAATAAATGTGAATAAATAGCAATTCATTTAAATAGACTATAATAAATATTAGGATTTATCAAAAATGTTTTTAGATATTTGAAACTTTATTGTGATATTTCCATATGATTTGTTGATGGATAGTTACAACATTAAATTTCTAAGCATTTATTTAAAACTAATAAAAAGATCTAATCTAATATTAATATTTAAATGCAAGAGTTTCTAGGATATCTTAACTAATTATTTAACTCAAAAATTATATAAATTAGCATTTATTTAAATAGAATTCGATATAAAATTATTATTAGTGGGATTTGTAATTTACTTCTATTTTCAAAGGAATTGTTGANCAATCTATTTCAAATATATTTTATTTTTAAACCTTCACATAAGAAATTAACATAATTAAAATATTAATGCTCTCCACATTTGCATTCATTTTCAAATAAAATCATTTAATTTTAGCAGCTTAGACAATCGTTATTCTAATTTCCTTAACAATTTAAACAAGGAAAACGACAACCTAACTTCTATTTATATTTACGCTAGCAAAATAATTCATTATTCTCATCATAATAATTCCCTTAACATTTACAAACAGAATTCTCTAAAAATCGATTACCATCGCTCAAACATTCTAAACAATTAGATGAACTGCTAGATGAACATTTCCAACATGAATAGTGACAGTCTATGTTATATTAAGAATATTAACCTTGGCATATGCCATTATCCAAAAACTGATTTGTCAAACATTATTCTGTATCCTATAATTTTCTAATAATCTAAAAATTCTTCAAGATCTAATGACCTTCAAGTTAGTAAAGTAAAGTCAAAAAGATTGTTAAAGTAAGTTACATCAGATTCATTTATCAGAATATTTAACAAATTCTTTTATTATATCTTTAAAAACTTAATATTAATTATGATGTAATCAAATTAACCTAGTATTACTATTTTATTCTGTTCATATTTAAATTAGATTTATTTTCTTAATCTCTAATTATATTAACATATGAATTGTTCTACTTTTATTAATGTTTCGATATTTCAAATAATAAATTATTCAATTCAAGTTATTTTTATTGATTTTTTATTAACTTAATTCATTATACAAAACATTTTGTAAAACTTACAATAATAGTAAATTATCTATTTATTCTTTATTCAATTTTAATGCATAAAAGAATAAAATAGATTTTTATGAATTCAACAAAATTTATATATATATATTTGTTTCATAGAGAAAAATAAAATATATCATATCGAAAATGATTTAATTATCTATATGGGTTGAATGAATTAGAAAATATTGTAAATAAATGTGAATAAATAGCAATTCATTTAAATAGACTATAATAAATATTAGGATTTATCAAAAATGTTTTTAGATATTTGAAACTTTATTGTGATATTTCCATATGATTTGTTGATGGATAGTTACAACATTAAATTTCTAAGCATTTATTTAAAACTAATAAAAAGATCTAATCTAATATTAATATTTAAATGCAAGAGTTTCTAGGATATCTTAACTAATTATTTAACTCAAAAATTATATAAATTAGCATTTATTTAAATAGAATTCGATATAAAATTATTATTAGTGGGATTTGTAATTTACTTCTATTTTCAAAGGAATTGTTGATATCATACATGATTTTTTTAACAATTAATAAGTTATATTTTTTAGGGAATTTCTTATGTTTATTTTTATAAATTTGATTATAATGATTATTTGTGTTTAAGTTATTTTTAAATGAAATATGTATGTATTTGCAAAATTATTTAAGAAATACAAAATAGCTGATATGTTTTATAAAAAGCAATTAATAATAAATCAAAAATAAATATGAACGTAGAGGAGAGACCTGGAACATCATTTACATCTAAGAGACAGGTTCAGACTGAATAAAGAAAGCGATAGTAAATGAATTTAGGGACTTTGGAGACTGAGGATAAAAGTGTAAGCGTAGTGGTACTTATTGTAGACAGGAATGAAAATGAGACCAATTACTCAAGACCAATAGAGAAACAGTTTACAATAAAAGAGATAGAAGATGATTCCATAGGCAATTTTATACGATAGGGAATCTTTATATGAAGAAGTTATTAATGCAAAATAAATCAATAACAATTTGTCAAGAGAGAACTAGGCTCTACATACAAAAATAAAAATGATGGATGTAAAATTAATTAAGACTTCTAGGAAGAAATACAACGAATGGTTAGAGCAACTCCAATAAGTGAGCAAGTTGTTAACAACATGGAATCATTTTATTAAGATAATAAACCTTTGAAGCAACATTTAATAATGGATTTAAAGAAACAACTTAGAAGATTGCAAGAAGAATCAATCAAAAAGGATTAATAAATACAATTTTTGTAAAAAAATACAAAAGCTATGAAAATAAAAGAACTGGAAATCGAATTAATGTCTTATTAGTAAGAAGCATAAAGATTGAAAGCATTGATAGGAATGAAATTTAATGATTCTGATAATGATCTTTTAAGATTGAGAGCTGATTATAAGTTATTAGAGGATGAATTAAAATAATTGAAAATTAAATGCAAAGAATATGAATCAAAAGCTACCATGTATTATAATGAAAAACTTAAAAAGGATAAATTGAATCAATATTTAAAAAATTAGATTGAAAGTTTAAAATTTAAAGATCCAGAATATAAGAAATAAAATAAAATTACTGAAAATGAATAATAATTGAAATAAGATATTGAGTACTAATCATCCCTATATTGCTAGTTAAAAGTAAGTTTAAATAGACACATTGATAAGTAGTTTGAAGGCCAAAGATGCTTAATATGCAGAATTAGATAAGAGAATGAAAGAATTGGAGAGAGAACAATAATAAATAATAGATTAATTAGAAAGAGATAGATAATAATTACGTGAATAATATAATTCACTTAAAGAAGAAGTGGCAATGTCATCTGGAAGAAGGTATAAATAGATTTCATATTTTTAATAGGAGAACTGTTTAAAATAATAGTTTTTTTGAAAATAAACTTGAAATTCTACCTGAAGGTCCAGAAATAACAGATCAAAAAAAGAAATTGTTGCCTTGTGTAACAAAGGATGATGTAAGTTTGATATGTAAATAAATCAAATTTAAACTTAAAGCTATGAAAGTGCCTTTTGAAAAGATTGATAATGTAATTATATTTTAAATTTATTAGTTTATTCATGGGGATGCACATTCAGTTATTAGAATTGAAGAATTAAATGATATGTTGTAGACAGAACCATTTTTGTTAAATGAAGTTGATAGTCTTAAAGTAGCTAGATATTTGATTGAAGATAATGATGATAGATTTGTTGAGTTTAGTATGTTAACTGAAGGTTTAATAGCAAGAGCTAAGAGTATACTTAAAAATTTAATTGGAAAATACACATTATTGGAAGTAAAATAATTTATATGAAATTTAGAAAAATGATGAGGATTAACTCTTTTTAGAAATTGGAATTATTCTATCAAAATATAGAAATTCTTTAGAGGATTTCATTTTGAAATCAAAAAAGAAATAAGAATTATGTACAGTTGAAGATCTTGAGGATGCTCTAAAATTTGTTGAATAAACACTTAATTCTACTTAATATGAATTTTTACTATTGAAGAATTATGAATTAACATAAGAATTAATTTAGATAAATTACAAAAAATTATTTGAATTATTTTATATTGGTAAACTATTATTTATATTTTTATTAGATTCATAAATTCAATATAAAAATAAAAGTGAAAGTGATTTACCAAAAGAATAAGCTAGAATATCAACAAATTAAGAATAATAAAATAAAGATAATAATGAATTTTAATTATAGTAATAAAAATAAAAATAAGAAGAATTTTAATAATAATTATTAAAAAAATAAAAAGAGGAAGAAGAATAAAGAAGATTATTATAATTATAATAAGAATAAGAAAGATAGAGATAATTGGAATTAGAAAGAGAAGAAGAAGAATAAAGAAGATTAGAATAATAATGGAAAGAAGAAGAAGAGGAGAGAAAGAGGTAGGAAGAAGAAGAAAGAATTAAGTAAGAGAATGAAACAAAAAGGTAAAAATTATTAGAAGAAGAGATGAGAAAGTAAGAATAAGAAGAGAAATTAAGAAAACAATAAGAATAATAAAGATAAAAATAATAAGCAGAAGAGGAAAGATAATAAAAATTAAAGGAAGAGGAAAGAAGATTACAATAAGAACAATTAGAATTATAGAGATTGGAAGAAGAATAGAAGAAGTTAGAAGAGGAATATGAATAATAATAATAATAAGGTGATTATGATAAAGAATAGAATGGTTAAGATAATTTTGAAGAGTATAATGATCAATAATTTGATTATTAGTAATCAGAATAATAAATTAGTGAACTATAAAATAAGAGTTAAAAAGATTATGAAGAAGAGGAATTTGAATAATGAAAAATATTAATTATCCAATTATTAATATATATATATATAAAATATATGAAAATAGTTGTTAAATATTTCTATACAATTTGTTAATAAGAATAAAGAAAAGAAACAATTAGATAAATGATAGCTGAATACTTTGATGAAAATATAGAATTTGATAAAGATATTTTTAAGGATTATTAAGAATTTTTACAATTCATTTTTCCTTTTCGACCAAAGAGCTTAAATAAATTAGGAGAAACAAAGAATATTAAAATGTGTAATATTCTTATATCAGAATTAATTGAAACTTAATAAATAATGGATATTATGTTATTTGAGTAAAGAAAAGATTTAAGTTAATAAGACATATTACAAATATATAAGGAAATTGACTCAACATATGATGGTTTCATAGATGTAATCAAATTAAAAAAATACCTATATTAATAATTTAACTATAAAACTTCAAATGATGATTTGATTTATATATTTCGAAGAATGGACAAAGATGAAGATGGATTTATTAGTATAGCAGAATTTATAGATGAATTTACTTTCGAGAATTAGTAGATTTCTTAGATGTCAACAATGGCCTAAACGAGATAACAATCATAAACATCATCCTAAACATAATTTATACCTCCTTATTCTGAAGATTGTAAAGAATTTGCATTATTTATTAATAAATTGCTTAATATTACAATTATAGATGAAGAGGAGTTACTTAAATAGAAAAGATAATTTATAAAATAAAAAAAACAATCTTTTTTTAATTTATTTGAAGCTATTGCCCATTCAATTTATTTAGATAAACAAGATCTAAGTAATTTATTATCATAGTAATTATTATATTATATATTTAGTTTTAAAATAAGTGTAAATAATGATTTAGTGAGGATTTGCAAACTATTCAATAAGGATAATCCAGATTAAATTGATTTTTAGGATTTTCTAAAATTTTTTACTTTTTGATTATAAATAAACACTTTTTCATTTTGAGATTAGTATAAATTAGATTCATTAATATAAATGTAAAATAATCAAGGTGCAGCAACTTAAGAATAATCTATTAATTAAGAGAATAAGTAGGAAACAAGATTATGTAATGCATGCATGACTTTCTATGGAACAGCTGCTACATAATTTTATTGTTCTAAATGTTACTAGTAATTATTTGAATGACTATTTTCATATAGAATCATAATAAAAGAAACAAATTTAGAAACTAACTAATAGTAGTAGATAGTCTAAGAAATAAAATAACAAGAAGAAGTAATTAAAATGAAAGTAAAAATTTTAATTTAGACTATTTCAGGAAGACCCATCAAAATGTAAAGTTTGCAAAAGAAAATTGGGAATATCTGGCATATAATGTAAATGTGAAGCATATTTTTGTAATAAACATCGTTTACCAGAGGAACATTAATGCACATTTGATCATGCTGAAAAGGCTAAATAATTACTTATCAAAAATAATCCACTTGTGAATATCAAAAAGTTGGAATAATTATGATAATTAACCCTATTAAATAAGTTCTTATCATTTTTTTCATTGATTGCATTTTTATTATAATAGAAATCTATTAACAAAATATTATTAGTTTAACTAACTAATTCATGTATTATATTTAAATCTTAAAAAACAACCATTTAATCATTAATTATTTAATATACTTTCTTTTTTTGAGTGTATATGTATGTCGATCTTTATATAATAAATAATATTATGTATAATTTATTAATAAGAAACTGATAATAAATAATAATTCAATTATATATTAATCATTATATTAACATATATAATAACAAGGATTATTTGAATTAAAATAGAATAATTAGTTAATAGATTTGATGAATTAATATATATAAAATTCATAAATTAAAATAATTTAACAATAAAACATAATTCTTTAGTATTAAGTCGAGTTAAAAAATAAATGTTTTTTTAATTAAAATGAAGAAGTTAGTGTTTAATTACACTTTCAGATTAAAGAGCATAATTTACATATATATATTTATTTTGGAACTTAATCAGGTATTTAGCTTAGAATACCATTATGGGATTAATTTAGAATTTAGTTCGGGTTTAACACTTAATTCTTATTTGTTAAAGTCAAATAGATTTGGCGACTTGATATTTGATTTAGCAAATTCTTCTTTTCTTAGGTCATCAAAGTATGGATGCAAAAGTGCATCAATTGGTTGAATCCTAGCTTTTGGAGAGTAACTAAATATTAAGAAGGATGAATTTTACGTAAGCATTTATGTTATAAGATCTAAAAATAAAAGATCTAGTTTATGCTTAGCCAATAATTTGGACCAAGGATTCCCTTTAATCATTGGTAATTTGACTTCAGCTTTGGCTGGATTCATTTGCTTGATAACTTCAGGTGTTGGTGTCCCAAGAATCTTAATTATCTACAAAAGTTAGTCTTAGGCACTTTCTCCTGGGAAGATTGGTTCCAATATGACCATCTCAACAATAACACAACCAATAGACCACATGTCGATTTGTGTAGTATAATCGGTTGCTCCAAAAATTAATTCTGGCGCTCTGTAGTAGCGAGAACAAATGTACGCAATGTTAGGTTCACCTACTACAAGCCTTTTAGCAGAGCCAAAATCACAAATTTTAAGGACATTGGTTTCAAGATTGATCAGGATGTTCTGGGGTTTTATGTCTCTATGGCATATTCCGATGGCTAGTTGGGATAAGTCTCAGTACCCTGCAGGTAGAGCAGCGCACGAAGCATTTGATAGCTGTAAAGCTTTAGTTATATGGATGNTCATTTTTTTCATTGATTGCATTTTTATTATAATAGAAATCTATTAACAAAATATTATTAGTTTAACTAACTAATTCATGTATTATATTTAAATCTTAAAAAACAACCATTTAATCATTAATTATTTAATATACTTTCTTTTTTTGAGTGTATATGTATGTCGATCTTTATATAATAAATAATATTATGTATAATTTATTAATAAGAAACTGATAATAAATAATAATTCAATTATATATTAATCATTATATTAACATATATAATAACAAGGATTATTTGAATTAAAATAGAATAATTAGTTAATAGATTTGATGAATTAATATATATAAAATTCATAAATTAAAATAATTTAACAATAAAACATAATTCTTTAGTATTAAGTCGAGTTAAAAAATAAATGTTTTTTTAATTAAAATGAAGAAGTTAGTGTTTAATTACACTTTCAGATTAAAGAGCATAATTTACATATATATATTTATTTTGGAACTTAATCAGGTATTTAGCTTAGAATACCATTATGGGATTAATTTAGAATTTAGTTCGGGTTTAACACTTAATTCTTATTTGTTAAAGTCAAATAGATTTGGCGACTTGATATTTGATTTAGCAAATTCTTCTTTTCTTAGGTCATCAAAGTATGGATGCAAAAGTGCATCAATTGGTTGAATCCTAGCTTTTGGAGAGTAACTAAATATTAAGAAGGATGAATTTTACGTAAGCATTTATGTTATAAGATCTAAAAATAAAAGATCTAGTTTATGCTTAGCCAATAATTTGGACCAAGGATTCCCTTTAATCATTGGTAATTTGACTTCAGCTTTGGCTGGATTCATTTGCTTGATAACTTCAGGTGTTGGTGTCCCAAGAATCTTAATTATCTACAAAAGTTAGTCTTAGGCACTTTCTCCTGGGAAGATTGGTTCCAATATGACCATCTCAACAATAACACAACCAATAGACCACATGTCGATTTGTGTAGTATAATCGGTTGCTCCAAAAATTAATTCTGGCGCTCTGTAGTAGCGAGAACAAATGTACGCAATGTTAGGTTCACCTACTACAAGCCTTTTAGCAGAGCCAAAATCACAAATTTTAAGGACATTGGTTTCAAGATTGATCAGGATGTTCTGGGGTTTTATGTCTCTATGGCATATTCCGATGGCTAGTTGGGATAAGTCTCAGTACCCTGCAGGTAGAGCAGCGCACGAAGCATTTGATAGCTGTAAAGCTTTAGTTATATGGATGGGATTGTTTGCTTCTGCTTGCGTATCTGACGTATCATCTTCGAAAGTGTCTCTGGTACATATTCCATTACAAGATTAAGGTATACATCTTGTGGCTACAAAATCAATATAAATTTCAATATACATTCTCTCCAGGTGTAAAGAATGAATGGCGTAACATAACTACACAAGGATGATTTAATTCTTAAATGATCAAATGCTCTCTGTTTTTGTATCTGCGATCCTAGTACACCTTCTTAATCGCAACCTTCTCCTTTGTTCTATTATCAGTAGCCTAACTAATATTCAATCCACACATACCAAGTGCACCATTCCAAATGTGCCTGTTCCAACCACTTGTTCAATTGTGAAGTCTTTCTCTGATTATTATAACATTTAATAATTTCATTTAAAATAGTTCATTAAGTGATATGATATTTATTTTTTTAAAATTCACTATATATAAAATCAACCACAACCTTAGTGCTCTTTATTTTTCAAAAGGATATTTTAATTAACTATCTAGATTACCTTTCTGAATAAGTTAAATTATTCATTAATTCAAATCATTACCTAATACTAATTCTATTATATTCTATAATATGGAAATCATAGATATATATTATCAATGATAATTCTAACTTAAAGTATAATTTTATTGATGATAATAAATTTATATTTTATTACTTTATACAAAGAGATTCCTATTTTAAAATTCGATTATTTTCTTAAGCTATGAAATTTTTTTAATGAGAACATATTATCAGAAAGTAATAATTTTTTTTATAAAAGATAAGTATGGATAAAATATAAATTTTAAAGATAAAAATTTATATATAAATTCAGGTATGTTTATAATTCATTTCTGTCTACTTCATTTTTCTTAATTTGAATTGATTTGGATTTCTGTGGAATGGTTTTTCCTAATTATATTAAATTCTGTATTCCGTTCTCACTTAATCGCCTAAATTAAAAAATTATATTGTAAACCATTCATATTTTCATGAGGAATCCAACCTGATCCATCAAATTACATATGATTTTTCTAAAATCCTGATGTTTTAGTTTAGGCTTATTAAGTCTCTAGATATCTATCAGTCTTACGAAATCTATTTAATTATAATTCTTTTTGTATACGTTGGAGCAACAAGTTCTTAAGGCTTTTTGAAACCGTCTTGATAGGAAGTAATCATCTAATTGATATGAGTACATGGATGATTTTTCAATAAGGTTTAGCATCCATATTTATGAGAATAAGCTTCCTTATGTACATCAATTAATTCTTTGGGATCAAAATTAAATCCAGTTGACGATAATCTATTGAATTTTCCTAACTTTTAGTCTGCAAGTGATTTTCTGGCTACTTGAGAAAATCGTTCACCATATAAATTCTCTGATTGCACATATGGCACATAGCCTGCATATCCTGGAATTGCTGTACTTTTTGGTTCTTATGGAAACTAGATGACATGAAACAATTCCTATACTTGAGTGTAATGATTGATGTAACTTGTTCTATAGAAGTTGTTTTTAGACCATTCATGAAAAGTTTTTTCTTATATTGGAGGTTGAGATTTGCTAGCCATTTTAATTTATTAATTAATTTCATAATATTTTACATAAATAAAGCTTTTGACAATTCTTAAAGTTTAGGAATAATAAATATAAATAAGATGTACTAATCATCTATCTATTCAACCTTTTAATACAATAACAAAAGTTTATTTTCATAATATTCTCTCTTTCAATAACAGTATTAAACAAGACAATAAGTATATTAATATAAATTTAATCTTATTAGACTAGGTCTATGATATTATTTATACAAATGTTTTTAGAATAATTAAAATCTATTTATAACAACAATAATGAGTGTCTGGTTTTAGAAAAGCTGGTTAATTCAGATATATCATTCTTATTTTATATACAAATGTAGATGTTACATAGGGAAGGAATTTCTCCTTTAAATTTTAAATACAAAATGGTTTATTCAAAAATTAAAAAAATATAATACTGTTTTCAAGATAGTTAGAACAATAAAGTGACAACTAATGAACTAGAAACAAAACTTAGAGAAGATTCAGAAAGAATGAAAAAAAATGAAAAATTTATAATGGTCATGAATTAAGATGTAATTGAGGGTTATGACACTATAGAAGATTGAGAGTAAGAGTAAGTAGATAAAACACAAAAACAGATTAAATTTTAGGAATAGAAGGAAAAAAGAAATGAAATGCATTTTTTTTTGATTTTTTGAATTCAATTGTTAAATTAGAGGAACTATTTATTATGTTAAACTATTTAACTATTTTGTTATTTAGTTGTTATTTAATACATAAATAGATGTATAATTTTAGAAATAACATATCTGATATGCAAAATTTGAATTATATTTCATCATACAAAAATGTAGGCAATTGTTGAAAGAGTAGAAAGTGAAATAAATTGTTCGGTCACTTTCATAAAAAAGAAATTCCAAGTCTTCTATTCCCAAACCACTTTTGAAGTGTAATATTACAAATCAAATGTAACACAAAAAAATACTGCCAATGATAGCGCCAATCCCAAATCTCTTTCATTCTAATTTTTATTATAATAATCTACTTAAATTTTTAGTATGCTATATAAATATGTAATTAATGATGCTTGTATGAATCTTGCTGATAATTCTAAAATTAAAGGTTTAATATTTTAATCATTTAATTCATGTTCTTTGTCTAATTTAATGTTTGCTTCTTTTAAATAACGATCACAAAATAATATTGAATACCAATAAAATCCTATCATCATTGTAGATATTGTTCCAAAGATCACTGATAATAAACAGGGAATCATTATTTAATGTACTTGATTTAAATTTAATATAATTTCTAACAAAAATAAAAGAGTGTTAATAATTGTATTATATATATGAAATCAAACTGAACTGACATCATTTGGACAATCATAGTACTATGATTCTTTATCAGTAAAAAGTGTGGCACCTTCAGGAATATTTGCTTTGATATAGGAATCAAATTCCTCATTGTTCTTCAAACTTAGTGTTTATGAAACCATCCCTTCACTAAAATAATATTTATTATAAATAGATACCCATATAATTATAGACTTATTTTTGATCTATTATTAATGAATACATTTTCATAGAATTCTATTATTTATTCTTTTGAAATTTATTTCAAATTTTCAATAGTAACTTGTCTCTCTTCAAAAGAATAATCATCTGAACTGATGTATCCCCATAATCTATCTGCTTCTTCACTTAAAGTTTAAGGTTTCTATCTCAATTCAACTATTGCACTATGTCTTAAATGCTCAAATTGTTTTTTATTCATTGTTTTTAAGTATTCATCAAATTGAACTAGAAATTCTTCTATTAATTGATTAACTTTCATTGGTAATTCTTTATTTCCTTAAACTAAAAATAATGCACCATCAATGCAACTAACTTACTTGAATTTCATGGCAACAACATAACCTAATTATAAATCAGTTCTTAAATGATTATAAGCTTAAGAATTAAGTACAGGTTAAAGAATTTTCATTAAAGCATAATTTTATTAATTTCTTTAACCTATTTAATAATAATTTAATGTCACTCCATTCAAATCACCTTTGTCTTATTCAACAAATTTTGCAAATACCCAATTTTTTCCATTTAAACTCAATACTGATATAGGTAATCTTGTTTATTTTTCAATTTATCCTTCCTTATCTTAAATACAATTTTATAAATCAGTTGAAAGATCTTAAGCATTCTTTTAATCTATATTTCCAATCAATAATGAACTTTAAATAGAATTTTAAAGTATATCTTTGATGTCTGATAACATTTATTCTTCTGTAATATCTGGTATTTATTATAAAACTAATTCAGGATTAAAGAAATCTTTTCTTAAAATTGAAGGTAGATACAATTGAAATGACTATTCATATAATTTCAATTAAAATATATCCTTTATTGATGTTATAAGTGATTACTTAGCTCTAATAAAATCAGGTGATTCCTCTTTTTTTTCTTCAAGTTCAATAAAACTTTTAGATTTATCTTTAAATGGATTTATGCATCCACAAATACTATTAAAAAAGCTTCTAACTTTTTCACTAAATCCATAGGCTTTAATTTCAATTTATTTACCAATATCTAATTCTACAGAGTAACCAGTTGTTAAGGGCTATCTGAGTTACTTATTAATTTCTTCATCTGAAATAAAGTTATAAATTCTGGCTGATGTAAATTGTCTTATTGTTATTGGTTTAGTGTATTATATTGATATGGCTCCATATACAGAAGGTAATTTGAATTAAGTAGACACTTTCCACCATTAATTATTTTCTTTATTTAATAGAATTGGAAAATGATTATTTTTTTAATAAACATTCTCTTCTTTCTTACATTGATCTTCAGAGAATTCCTACAAATCTTATCCAGCATGAAGTAATATATTTAATTTTCCTTCTTTATCTAAAGGTTTTAATTAATCAGAATGGACCATAATTGGTAATTTATATTAATTTGATTCACATAATGATATTAATTTTAAATCATCTGGAATAAATAAGTTTTCTTAAGGTTTAGTAAATATTTTTTATAATTTTGAATCTTTTTAAGTTATAATTTTAATTGAATCTTTTGTCAACTTCTGAGTTGCATATTCTAATCTATATATCTCACTCTTTTTATCTAATTTTTTATCTTTTAAAAATTCTTTATTATTCCCTTTCAAAGTACTATCTGTATATTAATATTCATCATCTCCAATTAAGATCAATAAATTATCTGTTTTTTTCAACTCAGAAATATATTTTAATATAAGATCTTTATCAAATACATCCATTATAAAACTAGAAGAGAGTACTTCTGCAGATTCATATTTATTCAAATTCTTAGCAATATTAGAAATTTCTTAAGGTCCTTCCATATATTCAAAATTTATTTTAGAAATCTAACTTTATTCTTTAAATATTTCTTCTAAATATTTTTCATCCTTTAACCATTCCTCTAATTATTGGATATAATTATTTATAATTCTTGTAATTTCAAGGGCAATATTTCCATCCTCTAATGGTTATTCTGGTAATGTTAATTCTATTATATAATTGACAAAATGATTTTATTCAATAAAAATTGAGGATTCAAATTCAATCACTAATTATTTCTCCTTTAAATAATCCTTCAAATTTCCATTATTTAATAAATAATCTATTAATTCTAAAGGTTTCTAGTGTACAAATTATTCTCTTCCACTCAATTACCAATTTAATAAAACTAACTTCTTTTCTGTTTTGTATTTACCCAATAATCCAAATTAATATGGAAATCCTGAAATTGATTAAGGTATTAAATTTTTATTTTCTATTTTTGAAAATACTTTAACCATCTTTTCCATTTCATTTAAAGATAATCTACTTGATACAGCCAAACTCATTATATTAGATGAATAATTATCTTAATAAAATTTCTTTAATGCTTCAACTACTCCTTCTTTGGCCAAAACATCATTATTACCTATACTAAATCTACTAGCAGGATGTTTGGGATCAGCTAAAAGAGCAAAGAGATTAACAACTTTCCAATCTTCAGTACTTACATCTATTTCATATTCTGAATTAACGGCATTTCTTTCTTTATTTACTGCATCTTCATTAAATAAAGGATCTATAAAAAAATGAGCAAATGCATCTAATGCTTTTCCTAAATGATTCACAGTAATTTCAAAATAATAATTTGTATTTTATGCCTCTGTATATGCATTTGATGAACCTCCACCTTTTGCCATTAAATCATCAAAAAATCCAGTTTGAGGATATTTCTAAGACCCAATGAATAACATATGTTCACAAAAATGAGCTAAACCAGGATACTCATTTGGTTCATGCCAAGATCCTGCTTTAACATCCATAGCAGCTGATGCCATTTCTGATTCTGAATCATGTATCAATAACACTTTTAAATGATTCTCCAATTCTAAATATCGATATTCTCTATGATCAATAATAGGTTTAATCACATTCACCTTATCAATATGCTGTCCTTATAATGGTTCTAAAGTCCCCGTTTAAGATGCAGATATGAAATTCCTCTCTGGTATTTAATCTTTAATAGCATTTGCTGCAGAAACGTATTACAATGGTTTATCTAATTGCACTAAACCTGAGAGATCACATATGAAAAGTGTAAGAAGTGTGACCAAGACTACAAATAAGGTACTAATGATTGTATTACAAGCTGAGTTTAATTTGGCTCTCTCAATTGCTTCACGTCTTAGTTTTTACATAATAATTATTAAAATTAAAATTTTCTTTGTTTTTTTACATTCTATCAGTTTGTTTACTTTTTGTAATTCATTATTCATAATTATATATAATTTACACAAATCACTGCATTATTTAATTTAAAATTGGATGCAACAAAATCATATTATAATTTGCTCATCTCTTTCAATTATTTTCAATTAGCAAAACCATATCTAATTATATTTTAATCATGGAATCGAACTTTCTTTTTCTTGATAGTGATTGTTTCATTATCTGAAGTCTTTTTACCTAAGATGGGACTAGGTGTAAATGATTTTACTTTAGAAATACTATCCCAACTCACATGAACATTACGATCATCAACTGTATTGCTAATCTTTCTTTTAGATTGAGTATTTTCTGATTTTTGAGGGAGATCTGAATATTTTCTCCTTGAAATAATTTCAATTTCATTTGTTTAATTAACATTTTTCTTCTATAATGAAGTTGATTTATTTCTAATTGTGCTATTTTAATTCTTTTATGATTAATTAATGTTTTTTTGAGGAGAAATCTATTATTTACGTTCTTTTTTAGGACTAGAAGAATGATGTTTTGGAATTATTTCATGACTTTACTATTTGCTTTTTTTATCTTTTTGTTTTTGTTAATTTTAAGTATCAATAGGTTTCTTACTTTTTGATTTAATAGTTGTATTATTTTCTACAATTTATGAGAATTATTTTTAAAACTAACTTTCTTCTGATGGCACTCTCACTTTTGAAGTAATTACATTCTCAAAAGAAATACTTTGTCTTGATGGAGATGGAAGTAATGCATGAGGTGTTTCTGCTTATGTTAATTGACTTGATGGTATGAAACAACTCATTTAAGCAAGATCATGTTATTTTGTTTATGGAAATGAGTCTTATCTTATTGTTAATGATTTTTAGGTCATTTCCCTTTAATCTGAGCAACCATTCCCCATTAAATATATAACTTAATAATATTTAATTGTTTTCATTAAAGTAATATCTACTTTGTTGTCATAGTATTAAAGATACCATATACTGTTTCATCTTTAAATAGCTTTCAAAATATTATTGAAGATAATCTATCTTGTCAATATAAATTTAAATATCAATTACATTACAAATAGACTCCCTTCATTTTGCATCATTCTAACCTTTAAGAATTTAAATACAAAAACTTTAAGACCTATATAGTCTTCTTTTCCATCAGGTCTAGGTATCTTTAACATGGGATCTGGAAATGAAACCCTAGGTATGTAATCAGGTATGAAAGGTTTCAAAGGTGCTTCAATATTAATTATCTTTGGTTTATATCTGAAAATTAAATTTAGAATACAATTAAATGATTTTAAATAAATCTGTAAGGTTTTCATTTTTATCTTCATAACCTTATGAGTTTTGTTAATGAATATTCTATTTTAAATAGTTTTTTTTATTACTTTATGTTTTTATGCATATGATATGTTCTAATTTGATTCTTTATGGATTTCATTTTTTTTCATAATTTAATCTTTTTTCATTTTTATGCTTGATAATACTTCTCTCTTTCAATTAATTAATATCCTACCACATCATAAATGCCATATTTATCAAATTTACCATCTGGTCTAGGTATAGATATGCCATTTTCTATTGTATTAACAGCAGGTATGTACTCTGGTATGAATGGTTTTAGTTTTGAATCAAGAATGATATTTTTTGGTTTATATTTTTAACTTTTTTGGTTCATATCATATTTATTACATATATTCTTTTATACTTTCATAAGAGTTTTATAAATTATTATCTTGCTATTTCTACTTGAATAATTATTCATTTGTATTGTATTCTCTGTTTATTTAATAATAAACTATATATACGCTTATTTTATAACAATTTATTGCTTAGAATCAAATTCAGAACAATCTGAAAAAAATTAAGTTGATTATTGGAAAATTGTTGACTCTTCAGTTAATTCATCACTTAATTCATCAGCTATTCTACTTTACGTATTAAACTCTTCACTTAAGGGGAGTAGTGATTTTTTACATTATTATTTATTAGATTTCATATTAAAATTAATAATTAAATGAAATAACTGTAATAAAGAACACTTTTGAAAGGATTTTATATTTATTTGATCAATATATCATTATAGTTATTATATTAATTATAATTTTATGTGATAAGTAATTAATCAATTATCATTTATGCTAGAAACTTTTCTATTTTATAAAATCTTTGTTATCTTAATTATCATTATCTAATGCTAATTAATAAGTAGTTTTTCTTTAAAATGCTGGACTATTAACTTTAGTTATTTTCACTAATAAATAAATTAATTAATTTAAATACAATCTGCATGTAGATATTTATTTACATTGTCATTTATTGAATTATTCAAAGTTGCTTATTATAATTCTTTTTCTGATGGTTGATTATTCAAAATTTTAAGTTTATCATCAGCCTTTTTTTATATATGATCTAACCATGAAGTAGGTGGTTAAGTAATTGAATCTTTAGAATTTTATTTATTGTGATTAAGACCTTTTTTAGATCTTTGAGTAGATTGAGAATCCTAATTAATAATTTATTATTTCTTTGGTGTTGATGTTTTAGGTTTTTAAATTAATGAAGTAATTTCTTTTTGAAATATCTCATTTTTTATTATAATCTAATTATTATTAGTGTTGTTTATAATTTGATTTACAACTTTATTATCTTAAAGATTATCATGACTCTATGTACTATGATAGCTTCCTTAAGATCTATATTAAGTAGCTGCTCTTAGACTACTTAATTAACCTTATAATAATTAGATTTATTTTTCCTTTATTTCTAAGTATAATATATTAAATTACATAACATTGCATTCATTTATGAACTATTATTAGAATCCATAAATCCTTTTATTCTATTTTCTATATTAATTAAAATCTTTTTATTACTTAATTCTTTTTCTTGACTATCTTTAAACTCTTACAATTATGCTTCTAAATATATATTCTTAGCTTATAATTCTGAAATTTCTTTGAGTCTGCTATCCATTTATTCATATGCAGCCTTTTCTATTTCTGTAAGTTCCTATATTCTCTCATTTTAACAGAGAATGATATCTATATTTCTGATAAACTAAATTACCATTTAATTCTTAATTTTTTTTTCTTTCAATCTCCAAATTTACTTCAAGTTATTGACATCTTTAGTTCAATTCTTCATAAGATATTTAATATTTTTAGTGTTTCAAATCTGGAGGTTTGAGATAATTAATATCATTAATATCAATCTTTGAATTACATTGTTTATCATCTTTAATCACATTCGAATTATTTTAAATTTCATCTTCATCTGAAACTGTATAATTAGAAACTCCACTTCTAAATAATGAACCATATTGTTAATTAGAGGTAGGTTTAGCATTACCAGATGAACTAATCATTTTACTTGCTATAATACTATATATAAATTAATTACCTTTTTGAGATTTAACATTGCAACTACCAAAAATTGAATCCACCAACTAAGATTAAGTTTCTTCTACATTTAATGGATTATGAAAATCATCAACATCGAGTTTATTATCTATTTCAGTTAAGTAAGTATTTTCTCTGATGATTTTTTAGATCACTAATTAGATTATATTGAATACAAATGATTGGATCTACTTTCATACACTTTTCTGACATAAAATAATTGAATTATTGTAATATAAATAAAATTTAATGCACTAATATAATATTTTATAATTTCTTATTATAGAAATCAATAGGATTTCCTTATATATTCCTATTTATTTTCATATTATTAAATATTTCTACAATAATTTAAGTTTATCATGAAATCATTGATATTCATCTTAATTATTATAGTAATTTTATATTAAATATGTAAAAGGTTTAATAGATTAAACTTAAATAGAAAATAAGTATATTTAGATACATATATTTTATATTTATAAAGAAGGTTATCTAAATCAAAATGATATACAAAGCAGAAACCTTCATAAATTCTTATTAATTCCATTTTGTTCCAACATTAATAAATACTCTTATTTCACTTTAATTCCTGCTTATCCAACTTCAGAATGAATTCCATTATATAGTACACAATTCTCAAATACTAAGAGTATATCAATATGAAATTCTTTAAAACATTTATATTGATTATTTTGTAATTTTTACTATTATTATTAAATTTCATTAATACTTTAATAGTTCCGAAATCCATTGGATTTTTAACAATATCATAATAATCTAAAATTTAGTATCTATTAACATCAACAGGTTCCAAAAAATATACACTTTGCTTTAATTTCCAAAGTTAATTAAGTATTTTCTTTGCTATTTTATCCCACATTTGATCTTCTTTAATAGATGAAATCATGGTTTCATCTATATTATCATCAGGATTCATTATCAATTTAGCAATTTCAGGAAATTCTTATGTAAACTTTTCAAAATCTTCATTAGTTACTTCTTTTGAAAGTCCCTTATCATCTATATGCATTAATTTATATTAAAATTTAGGTAAATCTTTATTTTTCTTTCTATTTATCTTTTATTCTATTTTTGAATGACCATCATCTCTTTTTTAATTAGCCTCATCTTTCTATCTCTAAGCACCTATAATTAACAAATCATAGACTTCTTTTCTATTAAATTTTTTTGCATAAGCAACAGCTGTTTTTTTGGTTGCATCCTGATGACTTATTTTACAACCAGCCTAAATTAAATCATAAAAGAAATAATTACATCAATCAAAAGTTAGCATGCTTATAATTGACCTTCTTTGGCTGAATAAAATAGAGCTGTTTAATCTAAAATTTTATCTCTATGATTAACATTTGCTCCATTTTAAATTAATCTTTATAAGATTTCAACTTTATTCTCTCTTGCTGCATAAAAAATAGGAGTCTGACCATTTTAATCTTATTCATTAACACTCAATCCTTTAGAAATAAGAAAATCGAATAATTAACATCTTCCATCTCTACATATATAAAACATAATAGATTATTGCATAGCATCTCTATAATGAATATCAGATCCATGTTCATAAAGTGTTTTGAGAATTAAATAAGCTTAATATTCAGCAGGTGCTTATACTGCATCATAAGTTGGTATTTATCTATTTTATGGCTCTATTTTGTTTGCTAGATCAATCTAATTTTGATATTTATCTAATCAGTATATAGACTTGAATATTTACTCAAATATTATAGAACTTTATCAACATTCCCATACTTGACAGCTTGTCTAAATTCATCTTCAATTTATCTTATTTAAGAAGTTGTTAGTCTTTCTTACTTAGGCTCTTCCTTTTGAGTTAATAACTCTTTAAATTATTTGACATCTCAAATATTGATTGCAAATACCAATATCAGCGGTAATCTGAGACACTATCTTAGTGATATCTTAAGGATTATAATTTAGACTTTGTAGAATGCTTATCACCTATTCTGCATTTACTTTGCCATCATTAGCTGCCATATCAAAACGAATTAGAGCTGCTTACATAATACTATCCATTTTTATATTTAAAATAATTAGTATAAAATAATTTATCATAACTTTGTCATACTCTATATGTTTTCCTTTTGTTTACTTAAATCATTTTTTAGATTCGAAAATTTCTTAGTTGCTTTCTAATAATATTCTACTCTATCTTAAACTGCTTAAATCATATATGTAGTCTCAGTATGCATTTAATCAATTTTTTCAATCAATTATTTTTGCCATAAATCTGCTAGTTAATCAATTAAATTATTCATGCTTTTGGCATTTTCAAACATAACAGTTTCCCTAGAATTAGATTCTCTTTATAGATTCATTATATCTGCTAATTGAGAATTAGTCTGTAAAAATATTTGCAATTGATTTTTATCAGTATCAATTATATCATTACTATCTTCTGACTTTTATAATTACTCAATAATTTTCTTAATTTTATTAATCTTCCTTTAATAGTCTTACATAACTTCATAAATAGATCTATTTAATATAGTAGCATCTTCCACAAATGGTTTTACTTCTTTAATTCTTTTATCAACCTATTATTTGACTTCAGACAGTAATTATGGATAATCCTACAACATTTAAAGATAAGTTGTTCTATCCAAACTAAACAGTTATGTGTTCTTACTGCATATAGCAGTTCCTATTCTTCTCACATCATAAATGGCCTCTAATAATCCCAAAGTATCACCTTCTCTATAAACAGATATTGTAGAACCATCAGCAGCTCTAGTAGTAATCTCTCCTATTGAAACAAAATAAATTTCTTCAGCATAATCATCAGTTGAAAATAGAATATCTCCTTATGCCCAATTTAATGGAGATATCTTAGGTATTACATCCATAATCAATTCAATATCCTTGTCTTATAAAAATTTAATTTTTTCTATCACATGAGCATAGATACACAATTATACAGAAGATCTTAGACATGTAGGCAACTATTTAATCAATGGTTTAGTTTGCAATATTATTTATTATCTAGAATTCTCCACTTATTGAGATTCAAGTTGTCTCTTTATTAATGTAAACACTTAAAAAGTATATATATTAAATAATTACAATAATCTGGAATCTTTATTTTATTCTAAATAACATTTAAACGCATAATCTTATTCTTTGCTGATTTTTCTGAATCTCCTACTGCTCCTTACAAATTTGATATCATAAAAGAAAAGAATGCACTTCCTACACCCATCCAAAATATAGCATATAGTTTCTCCCAATCAGTCTATGGAGGTACATCTCCAAATCCAACTGTAGTTAGTGTTTGCAATGCCCAATGAAATGATCTTATGTATAAAGTTGCTTCATCTGCTTCTTCCAATCCTAAATTTGTTACCCATGTCACCTCATCAGTTTCAATTTTTGTTATTAGATAATAAAAACAACTACTCAAATGCAAAAACAACAATGACATACCCATTATTTTTATCATTCTTTTTATACTTGCATCCAACTTTATACAAGATTTTATTAACTTAGAAAAAAGAGAAGATCTATTTGTTTATTAGAATCGAACTATTCTGAATAATTTTACTACCTTTAATAGTCTATATAAACGAGGCAGTCTTGTTAATCTTAGTAATTGAGTATATGAACCTTTCTATCCTTATTGTGAAGTTGTTTCAGTTTATTGAGCCGGTTGGAATATCTAATCAAATGGAATCCTTTGAATTATTATCAATTTAATACACTGAAGCTACATCCAATAAAAACCAAGTCTTTAAGTAATTGATTATAATATATTTATTGCTTGTAACTAAAACATTATCAGCATCTTAATAAGCAGTAAAGAAATTAATAATTATATCAGCTATGAAAACGTAATTGAAAACTTCATCTATTGTATTCCATGCATCACTTGAAGAATCTTAAAAGGCTAATCGAAAAGGTAAAATTGTGCATGTATAAAGCATAAGAACGATTATAAGAAAATCCCAAAATCCTTTGAATTTTGAGTCAGGGTATATTACCCATTTATTAATTTAAGTGGCCTCTACAAAATCATTATCATCTCTCACTCCATAGTAATTTTAAAGAGTAATTCTTTTCATAGCATTTATACGTGCTATCACTTTCACTTTTTTACGAGCTATAGCCCATAATTTTTTGCCAGGTCGAGTCACTGGTTCTTCCATAGAAGAATTTATATATTTAAATAATAATTATTCTAAGTTGATAGTCTATATAATTGATATAGCAAATCTTATAATCTAATAATATTAATTGTACCTATTGTTTAATTTGAGTTTACTTTTGATTATGATGATTTGGTAATAAAAATTAAACTAAAACCTTAGATAATTATTAATGATTTAACTCTTGTATTAAATAAATTTTCTTATTTAATCTATTTTATATGTATAATCTAGATCTAATAATTAAAATAAATAAGATATATTCTAAAAATTTAACATAATTTAATTCAAATAGTGTTTAAAAATATTTAAATTTACAAATTATTTAAAAGTTTTAATCGATTAGTAATATTATTATAAATTAAGATACTACTTGATTCAATATTTTCAATAGTTTTATTACTTTATTTTCAAATTCTCTTACACTTCAATTCACTGACCAAACTTTATATTATTCTAATTATTACTATATTCTTCATAATTATTATATATTATATTAGAAATTTTTCATTTCCAGATCTATTTTAATTATTTCTTTCTAAACACATTATTTATGGTTGATGAATGTATTCTTTTTGTTTATCTATCCCATTTCCTAAATTATTTAGATATTCTCTTATTTTCTAAATTTGAAACTCCATAATTTTATTTATTAATCTTATAGAAATTATTTGGATTTATATCTGTACATTTATTTTTTTTAAGTTCTTAGTTATCAAATATCTTTCTTCACAAAAATTTAAATTAAAAATATAGACATTTTTAAGTAAGTTTAATGTGAAGATATTTAACCAAAGTTTTCATCTATTCACTAAATCATTTCATACTTTAGAATTCTTATTATTAATACATAATATATAGGTTTACTTATATTAAAAATAGGATTATAATTTGAAAGTATTTACATTATTAATTAAGAATCTAGACTAATCATAAGTATCAAATTATCATTTTCATTATTAATTCTTTATCATTTTTTCTTTAATATATTCATAATATCAATTGTGAAAACAAAGAAAAATAAACATTATTTATAAAAATGCTTACAAAAAAGTCATTATAAATAGAGAAATTTTCTATTTTACTAAATCCGATCCTTAAATAGTGATATCTATTGTAAAGAATTTGATAATCTATTATTTTTATAGTATAATATATAAATAACTTATTTATGATGTATAATTAATTAAAATTATAGTTATACTTGCCAAAATTATAATATAATTATACAAATTTGCTTTTCATTTAAACTATAAGATCCTCCATCTTTAGTTGATATTTTTACAAAATGACTCAATTTCATCTACTTTATCTACCAGAATAAAAATATCCAAATTCTTTTATTATTTTTCTATCAATTCATTTGGAGTTATTAATGCCCTTATCCTCATAAATGAAATTAAAATATCATAAAGAATACATGATTTAATCATTTGAATAGCCTATAAAGTAAATCTTAAAGAAAAAAACAACAAAATTCATTAATAGTGATATGTGATATTAAAAGTTTAAGAGACATTAATTTTGTTCTTTAAAAATATAATGTAAAATAATAAGGAATACTTCGATAAATTGAAAATAATTATTAAATTCTATTCTGATAAGGGTAAACAGTAAAATAAGCAAATTTACTATATTAAAATGATTAAGAACTCATAAAAGGCAAGCATATCAATACTATAGAAAATAAAATATGAGATTAAAATAATGATGTACTAGTTATTTATACAATATGACTGATCAAAAAATAATTCTACGTTTAAGTTTATTTTAATATGCATATATGAAATAATTTGTATCAATTGATGATGGCAGCTGGTTTTCTTGTTTATCTATCATTATATGTTAAGGATAGTTTCTCTGCTTTTTCTTTTTCTTATTTTTAGACATCTGCTGATCTAGCTTCTAAACTTGCTGACTATTAATTTATAAGAGTGATGTTACTTAAGTCACATCTAATGGATATAGTGGAAATTCTTGATCCCCTTTGAATAGAGCTCTTAATTCAAAATAATATTTTGCATATAAATCACCTTTGACTGTGACATTATATTAAAGTAATTCTAAGAATTTAGCTTCTAATTTATTGATTTCCTATTATTTATATTGCAGAAATTTACTTATGTTGTGAAAAAGGGATAAATAAATGCAAAATCAGCATTTGATAAATATTTATCATCCCATACTTTTTGTGCTACTAATAATGAACTTAAAAGCAAAGGTCTCCAATTTGTTGGATTTAATGTTAATCCTGTAAATGCGATGAGTCGATTAATATAAACTAAACAAATGATACAACATTCTGGACTGAATCTAAAGAAATATTTAAAAATGATTACTATGCACAATCATAGAGTGCCTTCATGAATTCATAGATATTGTCAACACTTGGAGGTTCTCTTAATAATAACTATACTGTTTAAATATATAGACAACCTTTCTTTGTTCATCAAATTCTTCAGGTTTTTCTTCAATATACTTTTCTTCACTAAAGAAATACAATTCAGAAGTCTTAGGAATCTGTTTTCCTTATTCTTAGTCCTCTTACATTTAAGAATGAAGGATTGTAGAAACAGCCTGAATGATTGATTTTACATTAGGATTGGATATGGTTGATTTAATATACCTAATTGTAAATATAACAATTTTACATAGAGGATGTTGTATTTGAGTATCTATCTTTTTGTTTGTTGTTAATCATTTTAATTAAATATATTTTTAATGATCTTTTTATATATATACATTCTAATTAAATAATATTTTAAGCAAATAAAAATGGAAAGAAATGACCAATCATTTATATATTTTAAATTAGCATAAATATATATATATGATTATATTCATTTAATAAAATTGTAGTATTTAACAATTATTTATGATCAAATCTTTATTATTAATAAAATTAGATTGATGTAGTCAGACGTAGTCTTTAGAACAGCAAAAGGATGGGATACTTTTAGTGATAAATATGCTAGAAGAATCTAAAAAAATACATCTGTATTTTGTATGACACTTTTGAATATGGTACATTACGAAGATGCAGACAGGTATAGAAAACTAATAAAATATAAGTATTTTGGATGCAGGTTGTGGAGCTGGATATTTACATTAACATATGATGAATTAAAAGAAACCTGATGCTCATCTATATGGATTTGATCTAAGTTCCTAAATGGTTAAGAGAGCTGGAGCAAGGATGAAAAAATCTTTAAATAAAGATAAAATTGGATCTTTGGATATATTAACACAAGAGGAAGTTGATTCTGTTAATTTTGGTATATATATAGATTTATTTATTTAGATGATGAAATTTTCAAGAAGTTGAATTATCATTTATCTGTTGGAAATGTAGAAGATTTAAGTTAATACTAAAATGAAATGTTCAACATTTATGTGTGCAATCTTGTCTATTAAATAATTGGAGATTAATAGAAAGCAATAAGTGAAGCATTCAGAGTTTTAAAACCAGGAGGAAAATTTGGAATTACAGTATGGGGAAGAAGAGAGAATTGTGCAGCCTTATGGTTTTTGAAGGAGTTAGCATTAGAAACAGGTTTATCGCCAGTTGGAATGTAAGGAGGAAGATTTGTATCAAATCCTGAAGAACTAATCGCTTTAGCTACTAATGCAGGATTCATTAATGCTGGTTTTTTATTTATATTATAAATAGTTTGTTGGTTATAAATGGCTCCTTTTGATGTTGTGAGTATGAAAAATATTGAAGAATTCTTTAATCCAGAAATAGAGGGAATTTTAGCTAATTCCACATAAGAATAAAGAGATACATATTATAAAGCCTTGGAAAAAATGTTAAATGATTATAAGAGAGAAAATAAACCATTTCCATTTGAGTGTTATTTGTTGGTTGCAGAAAAACCATAATGATTATCTAATAAAAACATAGGTTAATCATAATTATTTATTTTTATAACTATTCTCATACCTATCTTTAATATATAAATATATCTCTATTCTTGGATTGTTATTACATTCATCCTATTCAAAAACTTAATTTCTTTCAGATATGTTGAATAAGTATCTATAATTTCAATAAAATATTTGTAATTTAAAGTATCTTAAAGCCTTTAATATTGTTTATGAATTTAATTTTCTAAAATCCTTAATATTTTTCTGTAATTTATATTATTTAAATTTATTACAATAATTTCAGTGTTACAAATACATATTAATCCCTTTTTACTTGATAGTCGCTTTAAATAATTTTCATCATTTGTAAAATCCTTAGAGAGTCATTTTATTTTTTGTTACTATTTTCTATAATCTATTTGTTTATGAATATATTAATGAAATCTTTTGAGTAAAATATTTAATTTAAAAAGGTTGTATAAAAATTTTTCAAAATATTTGTTAATTTAGGAATTAGAATATATTATCTATAAAAATAATATAAAAAGAATTATCAAAGCTCCCAATCCTCATCATCATTATTTTAATGATAATCTTCTTCTTCTACTCCAGTTTCATCACCAGTTTCCTAATCATCTTCATTTATTCCAAATAAATGTAAATTTTACTAAATAATTATACTAAATAATTCTCTAAATTAATTATTTTCCTTTGTTAATCTTTTATGTTCATTAACCATAACTTTTTTCTCATCTAACATATTTTATAATAACTATTTAAAATTTTGTAGTAATTCATCTTATATTGATATTATTCTAATTTATTATTTTATTTAAATCTAAAAATTTTCATTTTATACTGTTCTTCCACCATATTCCTATAATTAGTTTTATAATTATTTTATTAATTTATTTTTCTAATTAATTTCATTCTCCATTTCTTCCATTTTTGCTTATATATCCACAATACGATATTTTTAGAATAATTAAGCAAACTCTTTGATTTAATTTTATTTTTCTATTACTTACTCTAATTATTTCAACTACTATTCATATTATTTATTTTATTAATCTAATTTTTCATTTAACTATTAATCAGTGATTTTTAATTTGTCTTACAATTTTTTAACCTTGTGGAAATATTTTGAGAATATACATCTTCAATCAATTATTCATTTTTCATTTTATCCTCATTATATTCATTCTTTAGACAATTAATCTTTTTTTCCAAATCCTTTTAATTTTATTATCTATTTAATTATAAGAAAAAATACATTCTTTTTTCAATAAATTTATTTATATTACAATTCTAATAATTTGTTTACTGTATTCCACTCTTTAATTTTTCATTATCTTCTTTTTCTTTTTTAACCTAAATTTCTAAATCTTTAGAGTTATTCTATTAACTTAAATTATGAATTACAGAATTAATTTCTTAATCTTTTTATCTTTGAATAATTTTGATTTTTGTCAATTATTAGACTGTTTCAAATTTATTCTAATAAATCTAAGTACAATTTGGATTAATTTTTTAGATATTTTTAGTTTCCATGTAAGAATTTATCTCTTTTTTAGAAATAATAAACTATTAAATTTTAGCAGAGTCTTATGGTTATTGATATTGAATTTATTATTATTAAGGTTTCTATTTTAATAAAGGTTTAGTCTAGCAATTTAAATAAATATACATTACTTATATTTATTAATTACGAATACTTGCAGCAGATTAATTCTTTAGATACATTTCTATTTGATGTTATATTATGGGATACTTTAATATGAAATAATTTCTATTTTATTTTGAGAATCAATTAGACCTTTTTTATTATGGACTTATGTATAACAATCATAACATATATGCTAAATCTATCCAGGTTTACATTCTAAAAAATTGATGATGGCAGGTTTTTAATTGCAATTCATGCATTTGGCAAAAAGTGAACTCATAAATTATAATTAAATATTATAATATTTAGATTTGTGAGAATAATATCAAATAAAACACACCAAAAGAACAGAAGAGTACAAATATATCATTTTTTTATTATCGTTTAATAATTTTAATTGGATGAGTTGCAAATTGTAAAAGAACTATTAGATTTAGGAGATGCACTCATAAGTATTTTTCTTGATAATGGACTTATTCTAATTTAATTAATTTTTTTATCTTCCTCTTCTCTTAATTTCTTTTAAAATTATTTAAATTGTAATTCATCTTGATAGAATTTCTGTCTTTCTAATAAACTAGAATTATTGTATTTTTTCTATACTATAAATCTAGAACCATCTTGAATTTCAGGAGAATAACTAAATTGTTCTTACTCACTTTATTTCTATTCCATTTACAACTTTTATTTAAATATTTTTTCCTCAGTTTGTTTCAACCTAACATAATATATACAGTATTACCATTTCTTTTATGAATCATACCATTAATCAAATCCTTTTTTTGATTATTGAGCTGGAATCTTATTTTCCAACTTCTTTTCTTTCAATTTTTTGCTTTTATCATTTTCTTATGTTTTCATAATCTAATGAGGTTAAGTCTTTTTATCTATTTGAGTTGATTTATGAATGAAAGAAGATAAATTATATTATTTTGATTTGTTTTCATAATCTTTCTTTAGATATGAGTTATAAGGAGAAGGTGATAATATGCCAATATAATTTTTAGGTTGTTCTGGAGTTCTTGCTGATTTTTGTTCACAAGTAGAAAAATTAGAAGGAGATTTTTATTTATTGAAATTTTTTTGATTTTTATTGCAATTAGATTTTGTTGTTATCCCATTCATTGCTTTAGTTTATGGAGTTTTAGGTAAATAACTTTATTTAAACAAATAGTTTCCTTTTAAATTTGTCTTACTATTTTTAGTTGTAAAACAATTAATTGATGAAGGTTATGAACGATCACTTGCTAAATCATGACTTTTATTCAATTATAAAAGTTTATCAATATTTTAATTCTTTTCTTTAATAGTCTGATCCATTGGATATGGTGTTGGAGATATTAAGTTACAATCATATTCTTTATTTTAAATATGAGAGAGCAATTATTCTTTAAAATGTAATTACTATTCTTTTAATTGTTAAACTAAAATATATAATTTTTATACTTTATTGATTTCTTTATTCAAATATCTCAAAATCAGAATCAGAATCTTCATTAATGATTATTGTTGACATCCAATAAATTTTATTTATAATATATATATATATATATAATTATACATATATAGAATTATTCAATTAAAGAATGAATCTTGTAAAAAACTATTGACTTGTTATTGCAATAGTAACTTATATTAACTTAGTCTTCTTTTTCCATTAGGAGTGGCTGATCTTTATTTGGAAATCTAAGAATCTTGAAGGTTTTCTTTGACTCTACTAAGTGAACGAATCCTAATTGCAATACTTTCAGTTGATAGCATAGATTTTTAAGTTTTACTGTTGGCTCAACTTAATAATATGATACATTAATGCTTAGTGTAAAAAGCAGGCATTTTGGCTACAGTATTGGAATGAATATCAGTTGATATTTTAATCTATCTATCTTTTTTTGCAGTAGTCATAATTCTTTAAATTTTTACTTAAGTAATTTAAGGATTTTGATCATTTCCTGTATGAAGTGGACTATAATTTAATTTTTACTTTGGATAATTGTATATTTTCATAATATCACAGTTTCTTAATGGTATAGAATGAACAATATAACCTTCTTATATAAGTGATTTAGGATTTGGATGAATTTAATGAATAAATTAAGATCTCCTAACTTGAACATTTTATAGTATATCAACATTAAATAAATTTCGTATTCTTTTTTCTGCAAAATCTACTTTTGTTTCTTTTCCAATTCTATGATGCAATTATTAAATCATATTATATTTATTTATTTATATAAAATTTAATATTATATATATTGATTTATGAATATAACAATACACTCATTAAATCATGGTTATTTGCTTAAATTATACTAATAATTTTTAAATACCTTGAACTTTGTGATGATATGGATTTACTCTCACTTGAAGAAGGTGATCTTCTGTTAGGTTTCTTCTATTATTTCTATTATTATCTATATCTTCTCCTAGATTTAGAGGATTCAGAAGATTTAGAAGATGAAGATGAAGATCTTCTTCTCTTTCTATCTTTATCACGACGACTAAAATATAATAATATTTTTTAAATAAACTTTCTTCTTTCTGAAGGTGTCCTTGATTTTGGACAATCTTTTCGTGTATGACCTTTTTTATAGCAACGATAACATGTGTCTCGTAAGTCCCCTGGTGAAATGGTATAAGTGTAATACCTTCTTTACATTCGTTTGCCCAATGTCCCTTACGGCCGCAATTGAAACATACGTCTCTGGGTGTGGGTCCTCTTGCACCTTACGGTCGATCATCTTTTCAATTTCATCCATCTCTTTTTTCTACCTCTTGATTTGACTGTGATACGATCACTGCCTTCATTCAATCGTTTGTTGTCCATTTTTTAAATGGCTGCTCTGGCATCATCTTAATTTTCAAACTCAATAAAAGCATGAGTATTTCGTAAATCAATATCCTTGATTTTACCGAATTTCTCAAACTCTTATTAAAGGTGCTCTCTACGGATCCTGGAACTCAGACGACCAACATATAATTATCGACTCATAATTAATTTATTAATTAATATATATCGATGTATTAATATTCGTAATCTCATTTTTATGTAAATCCACTAGGTCTAGATGAAGGTTTTGAAGTTGATTTGGCAGCATCAGTATATCTACGAACTCTTTTAAATTGTTGTTATTATTATAATTATTGAGGAGTGAGTTCTCCAAATGATTGATTGGCTAATCTAAATTTAAAAAAATATTTAAAAAATTAAAATACCTCACAGAAGTAGATGCATTTGGAGTCTTTTTAGATTATGATTAAATCAATTTTGGGAATGGTTTTTTAAGATATTTATTTGCATATTCATTATTCTAGATTAGATCATTACCCTTCTCCTATTTTTATTGTTAAGTGAATTAAGTAAAGACAGCTTCTTCTTATTGAATTAGAATATTCTACTCTTCCTAAAAGTTTTGATTTTGCTATTATCTTTACTGAATTAAGAGGAATGCATCTCTGGCCAAAGATTACTGGGTTATTCCCTTAACATTCTTTATAAGATTGTATTCAATAGGTTCTAAATATTAGTAGATTTTAGGTAAAGATTTAATTAATTGTATTTAAACACTCGCAGCTTTGTCAGAGCTATAAGAGAGTATTTAGTTGAGCTATATAGAAAATGAAAAAAATTAATTACATTAAGTTCTTGAAATCGCTTTTTACTTATTAATGGTACCAGATTGGATACCCAAAAGATATAACGAACTCTCTTGTTATTATTACCTCTAAAGAACATTAGATTCATTGTATCTTTTATTTTCATTTGGATTTCATAATCTTAACAAACACTATAGAATTTTGCTAAACATTTCATAGATAAGATATCTGAATCAATATTTTATTAATCTTTATAGATGACAGGAAGTATGTATTGTTCAAAATGCTTTTTGTTTATTAAATGTAGGAATTTGAGAAGATGTTCTAAAAATATTTAATTATATTAATAATTGCTTAAGCATTTTTGATAGACTTTTTGCAATTATTAATTAATATCTTTAAACTAAGTTTTCTAGAGGAATATTAAATTTATATAATTACTAGTTTCTCCTAATTCTCTTCGTTACCCTACAACAACTTATACATTTCAGGTAAATTGATGACTAATATGCAATCAAGATCTTCACTCTAGATCACACACTCAAACAAATGCCACATTTTTTGTAACACATAACTGTACTTTAAGATTTATGTACTTCAATTACATCAAACTATTTCGATATTTCATGCAATATTTTGCAAGCTAGCAATTTGTTCTAATGACTCTTATCTTATATTAATATATCTGCATATGGCATTAAAATCTAACTAGCATAAGGTCCTTCATGTAAATGTTATATGATTCCAGGTAGATTATATAAGTACCATTTTCTAATATCATCATTTTAATGTTATCCAAATTTCTAATATAAGTTAGTAAACTTATTTTTAAATTCATCATTAATCTAATCTTGAATTTATACAAATGTTTCTCCACAATATTATAAAGCCACACTCAATAATTCTATATTGTTTGTTGATAAACAATCAATAAATATGGTGGTTCCTTTAATCTAATTAATTTAATATCATAATTACATTGTAACTGTTTCTGGGAAACTTATGTTGAAACCTTAAGAAAGTTTTAATCATACTTTTTTTAACATTTATTTGAGTATCATATAACAATTCATTAATTTTGTCAATGAAATATTATTCTACTAATTCTCCTGATAAGTTGCATATTAAACAAGTAAGTAATTCATCTGCAACTAATTCCCTAATTTCATGATCTGGATCTGAACATAATAAACGAGCTCTATCTAATATTGGTCCTTTCATTTCATCTTTCAACACAGGTGAAATGCATACAATCATTTTAGCACCAACCCATCTACCAATTTCAGGCTATTTAGGTTCACTAAATTGGAGAATCATTTTCTCTAAATAAGTCTAAAATTCTTTATAATCAATCAGTAACACCAAATTTTGAAATACAGGCATCCAAGCCTGTGCTAATTTCCATTAATATAGTTAAATGAAATGTAATGACAATTAAATGATTTCTTTTGGCTTTATTTTGCAACCTTATAAAGATCTTGCTGCAATTATTTGTACTTCTTCACTTTACTCCATAATGTCACCTCTTATATATTGATACAATTAATCAAAACCAAGAGATAACAATCTGTGTAGATTGTTATATATCTAATAAACAAAAAATAGATTTAAAAAATAAAGTACAGCTAATTTTTAACGTTGTTATCCTTTCATCAAAATAATTTATGCTCGTTTGATCTCTGGTAAGTCTTCTTCTAATGTTAACTTCTTTATTTCTTCATCTTTCTATACAAAATAATAACAATTCAAATTTACATTCAATGTTATTCTACTTTCATTCACTTCAAAGTTATCAAAACTATAATCCATCATCATAACTTTAGTTGTATAAATATTAAAAATAACAAATATAATTTAATAAATGAAATAAGAAGAAGATGAGAAACTAGTAATTATAATTCTAAATATATATATGTAGTTCATTGACACTGTTTAAACCTAATAACTTGAAATTGAGAGTTTAAAAAAGTAGATTAGACTTTAAGAATTTTAATCCAAATAACAACATCTAGAAGTAAACTCTTAAGACTATCAAAGTTAATCAATTCCCTAGATTAATTAAAGAAAAGAAATGAAGAATTAGATATAGAATTAAATAAGCAAATCGAATCAACTCATGAAACCTAATTATAACAATTTGCTTTATAAATGTAAGATTAATTAGCAAAAGCTGAAGAATAAATACTTATATATTAAGAGAATGAAGTATAAATCTATAATCAACTATATTTTAGCTTAAATTGATTAAAGAAATCTAATAACTCTAAGGAAAATTAGAATCTGATAAGATTAATGATTTAAAACAATAATTAGTTAAAATGGAAGAAACTGCTATAGCTTTAATTGTTGAGAAAGAATTTATTATATCAGAACAAGCTAAAGAAATTGAATTATTGAAATAAAATGAAAAATTTAATAATTAATAAATTGAGAATAATAATTAAATATTGGATATATAAGAATTGGAAAATAAAATATAAGATTATTAATATAAAATAGAACATCAATAATCAATTCATGAAGAACAATTATCTAATCTTGAAAGAATAATAACAAATCGTATATTTGAATCATTAGAACTTGAAATGAATTAAAAAAAATTAGTAGAATAAGATTTATTACATTAAATACATATATTAGAAGAAAAGAATAAGTATTATGAAAAATTATTAAATGAATAAGAAAGAAAACTGAATATATTTAGAGAAGAAAAAAATCAAGAATAAACTTTATATGATAAAAAGTATTAGGAAATTAGTGAAAGATTAAGATATGCTTTATAATAAATTATTAAAAGTGATAAGAAATGTGAAGATGCATATAAACAATTTTCATAATTATAAAGAGAGAAATAAAATATGACAAAACAGAAAGAAGAATTAATACGAAAATAAGTTTATCTTGAAAATCAAAATAGAAAGCATACACAAGTTATTTAAGAATATAAAGAATTAATTGATACTCTATAATAATAAGTTAATGAATAAGATTAAATTATTTAAGAATAAAATGAATAATTATAAAAATTAAGTATTCATTATGAATAATAACTCAAAATTGCTATTTAATCTCATCAATAGAAATTTGAATTTAATGATAATGAAATAATATCAAATTAAAATGAATTATTAAGTGATTTACTTAAAGATAGTTAAATTAGTTAAAATAATTAAAATACTCATATTGATTCACCAACACATTCTATTTCATAAACTCATACTTCTCATTTATCAGATTCTTATTGTTCTTTTTAAACTAAAAATAGTTCTAGAAGAAGAGTTGGAAATGATTCTAAATATGATAATATTAAAGATGCATTACTTGATGCAAAACATACTATTAAGTAATTAATTAATTTATATATTATAGAATCTAAAATTTAGAAATTTCTAATCTAGAATAAACTGTTGAAATTTTATAAAAAGAACTTAAATCTTAATTATTAGAAATACATAATCTTAGAAAAACTAAATTAGATTTTAAATAAGATAAAGATTATAAATTAGAAATAGAGAAATTAAAATAATGTTTGAATACAATGGAAACACATTATTTAACTACTAAATTGAGTTTAGCTGAAGAAATTAATTTTTTAAAAGATGAACTTAAAAGAGCTGAATCAGAAGCATTAAGATCTAAATTGTAATTAACATAATTAAATGCTTAATTTTGCATTATTTAATAAAAATATTAGAAATTAGATAAATAACAATAACAAAGTCTAACAAATAGATAAATATAAAATATAGATGAAAAAAGTCCTGTTAAGGGAAGAAAGAGTATATTTTCTATCTTTGGTTGATTTAATACAAGAATTAATAATTGATTATTTTAATATGTAACTTAAAATATCTGTAAACTTCGTTGAGCTTTATTTAAATTAAACTCCTTGTGGAATTGGACCTCTAGCTGCATTACTATTTGGTGTTAAAATGTTTTAAGAGAAAATATTATATGTGCCAAGTATTAAATCTGAATAAATCTTTAAGATATTGATGGATAACAAACATCTAAATAAAATCCACCAAATTATCGTTCTCCAGCTTCAAGGTATTAAGTTATATAATTAGAAACTTAAAATATTAACCAATATCTATAAAACATGATAGTATTGAATTAAAAGGATGGTTTATCCAATAGGAATAATCAACACAAGTCCCTACTTTGATATTTTTTCATGAAAATGCAGGAAGTATACTTATTAATATAATATTAGATCTTGGATATCGTTTAGATTATTTTGAGAAATATTATTATAATTTGAAATGTAATGTAGTTGCTGTTGCATATAGAGGATATGATGAAAGTACAGGAAGTCCAAATTAAATTGGTATTTAAAAGGATGCAATAGCAATTATTCGATATGTTTTTAGTAGTTTGGAAATAGATAAAAATAATGTATTTATACATGGAAGAAGTCTTGGTGGAGCAGTAGCAATTTATGCTGCAAATTATTTTTAAGATTTAAAAAAAGAGAAGATAAAAGCAGTAATATTAGAAAATACATTTACTTCAATTAATGATGTGGTTAATGATTTAGTACCCAATTTACGTGTTTCTAATTTACTATTTTCAAGAAATTAATGGAGAAGTTGTGATACAATTAAAAACATAAAATTACCTATTTTATTTATTTCATGTATTAAATATATTTATGATAAGCTGGATAGGATGAATTAGTATCATACAATCATATGAAAACGTTAATTTAGAAATCTGAAAATTGTTAGATTAAACATGAATATCATATAGCTGAAGGTGATCATAATGGAAATTGGATGAAAGATGAGGGAGCATATTTTTAAAATATTTAAAAATTCTTTCAAAGCATAACTAATTGAGTTTTTTATTACATAATCGATATAAAAATTATAATAAATTTACTAATATTATTTAAGTAAATATTATACCAATAAAATACTTTCTTTTTAATAAATTATTCTTGATATTATATTAATAATTACTTTGTTTAATACTGAAATAAATACAATTATTAATCTTATTTATTAAATTAAATAGTATTTCGATTTAAATAAAATTAAGATATTAAAATGATTAAAAGTTTTGGAAAAGAATTAAAGGAAGATTTTGTAATTGAATCTGGATATACTTGTGTAAATCATAGTAGCTTTGGATATATTCCTAAATGTGTCTTAAAATAAAGAATTGAGAATTAATTAAGGTTTCTTTAAAATCCTGATAGCTTTATTCGATATTAAATTCCAAAAGAATCTCCAATAGTAAGAAAAACGGCAGCAGAATTTTTGAATGCAAACTATAATCAATGTTTCTTTTCTAGTAATTCTGCAGAGTCCATGAATAGTATTATTAAAAGTAATTAATGTTGAAAATCATTTAGATTTGGGATTGTCAGATAAGGATACAATACTGTATTTGAATATTGCTTATCCAATGGTATAGAATGTAGTAAAATATATGAATACTAATCACAAAGTGAATGTATGCAGAATAGAACTTAAAGTGGAGGATTTAAAGAATGAAATAATTTTATAATAGATAGAAGGTATTAATGAAAATAAATGAATAGAAAATATGAAAACTAAGAAGATTACAGTAGCCATTTTGGATAACATCTCATCATTACCTTCAATCAAATTACCAACAAAAGAATTTGTTGAATTATGCAAGAAATATGATGTAATAAGCATAATTGATGGAGCTCATGGTGCTGGAATCAGTGAAATTAATCTAAAAGAATTAGATCCTGATTTCTTTTTCACAAATTTAAACAAATGGGCATTTTGTCCATGCAGTGTTAATTTATTATATATGAAAGAGAAATATTTGAATTAAATACATAATAATACAATATCAGTATTTTATGGAGCTGGTATTGAAAAAGAATTTGAGTATTATGGTACTAGAGATTCAAGTGTTATATTATCAGTAATAGATGGAATTAACTATATCAACTAATTTGGTCTTAAATAAATTATATAATATTGTGAAAACTTAGCTTGGGAAGGCAGTGAATTAGTTGCAAAAATTTGGGAAACTGAATTACTTGTTAAAGACAAAACTATGCATTCTGCTATGGTAAATGTATTAATACCACATAAAGATCACTCTTATATATTGGAATGTTAGAAAACAGTAACAATAATTTATTATTATAATAGTGTTTTGAAAAATATAATGTATTTGTTGTAGCTTTTGAATTCGATGGAAGATCTTGGGCTCGATTCAGTGCAAGTTTATATAACTATTTGGAAGATTATGAATATGCAGCAAAGTAATTCTTAAATGTTTTAAAAAAAGAAGGATGATATATATATATATAAATAGATGTTCTAAATTTATAATTTATCTATTTGATTCATTTGAATGCAGATCTTAATCCTGATCCTAATTAACTTGATCTAAGATTTCCTAATTCAGTTTATTAAATTAGAGGCATTTCATCTACTTGGTTAGCAAATACAATGGCTTCACCCAAACCTATAATATATATTATTTAATTTACATTAAGCTTTATCAATACCAACATTTTCAGTTTCAGCATCAATTCTTAAAATACCAAATCCTTTAAAAGCTAATAGTATGATCAAAGTAAAGAAGGTCACCCAAGCAAATATTATTAATAATCCTAATAATTGATGGCCTAATAATTTAGAACCAAATCCATAAAATGCTCCTGCTTTGGTATCAAATAATGCTGATAATACAATTCCAACAAATCCTGAACCCTATTATAAATTAATATTAATAATTACAAGATAAACTGATACAACTTCAGCAGGGTCATCAATATGAGCAGCAGGCATAACTTTAGCCAAAAAACTATAGATTAAAGCAGCAATAACACCATAAAGGAATGCTGTCCATGGCTTCATATCATCTGCAGCTGCACTTACAGCTACTAATCCACAAATAACTCCTCTAGATAAAGCAGCTAAATTTGATGTTCCATATTAGAAATGTCTAATAACAAAACTGAAGAATCCACCTGTAGCTCCAGCAATTAATGTGTTAACAGCCACCAAACCTTGAATATATTAAGATTTAGCTCCTTAACTAACAACTCCACCATTATAAAAAAGCCATCCAGCTAAGACCAATAATGATCCAAATCCAATATATAATGGAGAATGTCTGTTAAAATCAAGTGTGGCTCCATTATCAAATCTGGCTTTTCTTGGTTTCAATAACACTGTCAAAATCAATCCTGCTACACCTGCAGCAAAGAAAACTACACCTGCTCCTGAAAAATCTTTGAATCCAAGAGTGCTCAACCTATAATAATTTTTATTGTTAATTACCATCCTGCTGCCAATGTCCAATGTGTTAATCCTGCATAAATAAAACCAGAATATAACACAGAGAAGATTGACCAACCCAAAAATGTCATTCTTTCAGCAGCTGCTCCTGCCAATATTGCAGTTCCTACTGCAGCACCTGATGCTCGGAAAACTAATTTCAAATTATTTTTTAATTTTACCAAAGTTTGTATAATCATTACCAAAAGCTGTTGCTTCCCATTTTGCTCCTGCTAATTTTGTTCCTCCCATGAATTTAGTTTAGAAATCATTACCGAAAGAAAAACCATAACCAAACTAAAGGAATTACTTTATCAATTACCAACCACCAAATCAACACTGTTAAAAATAATCCCAAGAAGACTTTGATTACTACTGATTGTGAATTTTTATATCTGACTGATCCTGCACCAATAAATGCAAACCCAACTTAAGTTAATATAACAATAAATCCAGAAACCAAAACCCAATCATAATCTTCAGGTTATGGGGCTGGTATATTTGCTATAGCAGGAGTAGCAGCTAATTAATTATTATTATATATACATGTTCCATCATTATGTCTTAAAAGAGAACTCATATCTTCCGTTATTTAAAATAATATTTCAAATAAATTTATTTACTCTCTATTTATATTGTCTCTAATATAAATACCATAAATTCAAAATATATTAATATATTATATCTAACCAATTTCATAGTTTAGATGTGTTACTCACTAAATATCAATGAATCCATAAGTCTTTCTATCCAAATCAATATATAATGGAGCTATATCAAATCATCTAAAATTTTTATTCATATTTATACTAAATAAATGTAATCTTTTTGAAAAAGAAAATAAACAAGATAACTTACTATATATATAAAATTAAAAGAACCTGTATGAAGAATATATTATAACTTAATTAATTTCAATAATTGAGAGAACTAATGTGGAGCATGCAAGAAATTAATAACAAATAATTAATTAATTAACTAGTAATATTATAATTAAATATTAGAAAATAATTTACAACAAAATTTAGAATGGATAATGATATTTAAAAATGAGATTAATCTATAACTATATGAATTGAATGAATATTAGAATTTAAACATATTATGACAATTACAAAATATGATTAATTTTCTTAATTACAATTAAATTTAATAGTTAGTTGATTTATTGAATGTTTGAGATTTTATGAAAAATTATTTATTTATAAATCTCATTTATATAATTTATTTAATTTATATGTCTTCAGTTTAACATTACTTAATAAGAAAGTCTATAACTGTAAATAAAAATGCCAATATTTTTATGACTTAACATGAAATTGATTAATAAAGATTATATAGAAATGGAAAGATAGTTCCTTATTATATAGTTGGTAAACCTGAAATAATGGATAAAAAATTAAATAATGCATCATAAACTGAAGATTCATTAACAAATACAAAAACTAAACCTATATTTCATAAAGAAAGCAAATCCAAAGTCGCATAAAAATCACAAAATAGAGTTGTCGAGGGGGATGAATTTATTAAAATTGACATGGAGCTTTTCTAAGTTGAAGATGAAATACAATAACTGCAAACTTAATAAAAATTTAAACTCCCCTTATCAACTTTAGATCATGCTAATATAGCAGCTGATGATAAAGATGATAGAATCATGAAATCTTTTGATTAATAATAAATAAGTTGGTAAGAAAGAGTAGTAAAGTCAGCATAAAGATGTAAAAGACATGTTTCTTAATCTATTTATAATAAAATTTAAGTACAAAGAGAAAAAAATGAGGATAGAAAATTATTAGATTTAATTTAAACAGATGCTGAAAGACATGGTAATAAATTATGGGTAATAATTATATTTACTTAAAGGAAAGATAATTAAGATCGAGTTCAGAAGTACTGGAAACCAACCAAAAAATAAAAGCTTAAGGATTGGAAATTATAAAATCAATGAATAGTTCAGGGTTTTATAAAAGACCGAAAAGTTTTATATAAAGATTTGAAGAAAGATAGGATAAAGTAAATGAATTGACAGCAAAAGGAAATTCAATTTAAAATTTATAGGTAGACTAAATATTTATTGATAGGTAGAAGGATTGAGTTAATTTGCTAGAGAAACATCAAGCCTAAATAAAATAATTAAAGATTAAAAGGAACTATAATAAAATTTAATAAAAAATAATTCATCTATTGATCAAATCTCTTAAAGAAGGAAACATAAAGCTCCTTTTAAAAAGTTAGTTCCTGTAGAAAATTTAAATTCTTAACAAGATATCATTTCAATAAACTATGATAAATAATTCTTGAGATAATAAGGAAAATTGGACATTTGTAAATAATTTTTCTGAATATATATGAATATATAATAATTCATTCTTTTGGATGATATTAATGATTATAATAGGGATAATTTAAATTAAAGTCTCCATATAATTAATTTTGATGGCAATATTAGAATAATAAGTTTTAATGTTATTTTATGTAGATCTACATAAAGATTATATTACTTCAGAAGTATAAAATTAATTATTCATTTAATGTGGATTCATATAAGGGTGAATAAACAATTAAAATACTTAACTTTTGAAATAATATTTTTTTCTTATACCTTTTATTGATTCATTTCTAAGTCTCTCTCTTTCTTAACTTAGTTTTCTTTATTTATTTGTTCATCATCTTGATTTAATTATTTATTTTATGATATTAAATTAATTTATCCTTAATTCTATAATATTTGATGGTTTTTCTAAGTTTACTTTAACTTGTTCTTTTGGGTCTTTGAAGTATTGGGATTTTCATAATATTTTTGATTTTTGGCACGATTTATAAATCGTTTGTATTTCCTTTTGCATTCACTTGTTAAAGAGGAGATATCTGTTATTTCTACTGAGTTTGATGGGATGTTACTCCTTTGAATACATATTTCATAATAATTATTCTCCAACTATTTAATTATATCTAGAACCTAAAATTTAATTATAAATATTTACTTTCTTTAATGTATTTTAATTAGAATTTTCAATTATAATTAATAGTTTCATCTCTTTTGACTGGCTTAATTGTTATTTGACCTAATTTAAATGAGACTCTCTGACTTTTTTATAAAATTAGCAAATAAGAATAATTTAATACACTTAGAAAATCTCATTATCATAAACAGAGGATGTTTAATCTTATTCCTAATATTAGGAGAAGTATAATAATTTATAAAAATTTGGAGTGAATTATCAATCTAATAAAATTTTGAGAGTTGTTTCTCATTTTCTCATTTATACAATATTTAATCAATCAATAAAAGTGGAAATAAATCTATAAACATTTCTTAAGATATTTCTCCATTTTTATGATTACTTCTATTTCTAGAGTCAAAAAACACATCTGAAGATATTTATGAATCTAAGATCAATACTTCCTCTTTTCTGGAATAAAATAACAAAAATATCAAGTTAAACTTGGAATGCTTAAAAACTTAAATTTCTTAATTACTTTATTATTCTAAGAAGTGGTTCCAAATTTCAATCCACTAAATGTTATAGAAGGTTCAAATAATTCCTATTTACTATTTCCATTTAATCCTAGACTTATATATTGATTTTCAATAAGTCATCATAGTTTTTAAACTTTATACATGAATAGTCAGTACATTTATTGTGTAATTAATGTCAGGTTAGTTCCATGATTTATGCCAATTCCACCCAAGTTCAGGATCAGACATGAATTCTTTTTATTAAGAAATAGAGACTGTAAATAAATGTTTTGGCCACTTCGAATCTTCAGATTTGAGATCCCATATCACTTTATTTGATTTTTGATCAATCAAATATCCTGTAACTGGCATATATTTCCATTCCAAGGAGTACTCTGATGTCATTTTATTGAACTTATAAATATATATTTATTATAGATTAATCTATAAACTATACTATTTCAAGTTTATATATGAGGAAATTAAAAAAAATAATATTTAATAAATTTATTTTAGAAGATATATTTGGTATATAATAAAATGCATGTTTTATTATAGTTTTAATTATAAATACGAATTGTAATTATAGTGTATGTGTGTTGATTTCCAAATCACCAAATTAAAGTAATTGTCTATAAATTGAGTACTAAAACCCACTCTTTGATTGTTCCTAACTTTTCACTTCTCTCTTATTCTAATAATTTAAGATACCATAGCATCTTCAATTCTTAATTAGTTAAAAATTTATTCATTAAAAACTTTAACATAATCTTAATTATGATGAAATAATATTTATATAATGGGATAACTTTAAAATATTAAAATATTTTGAAAATAATATGAATTAGATTAACAATCAATATTAACTAATAAAGAAATTATCAGCCGGTAGTTATGGAGTAGTATATGAAGGTGAGGATATTCAAAATAAGACATCTGTTGCTATCAAAATTGAGAAAAAGGAAAAACCTTAAACTTTGGAAAGAGAAGTCTAAGTCTTATCTCGATTATAAAAAATTACAGGAATCCCTTAAATTTATTGGAGTGGAACTCATAATGGATAAAATATACTTGTTATGCAATTATTATCTAAGGATTTGGGATACTATTTAAAAGAGTATCGAAAATTCAGTCTCAAAACAGTCTTAATGATTGCAGATTAATTATTATAAACTCTAAGGAATATTCATTAGAAATCCATTTTACATAGAGATTTGAAACCTGAAAATCTTATGTATCATTAAAGATAAGTTTACATTGTAGATTTCGGTATTAGCAAGATATATAGAGATAGTAATCAAAAACATATGTAATATTGAAAATACATAACTTATAGACCTTTTAGAGATGGTCGACCATTTGTAGGAACTACTCGATATGCTCCTATTGCTGCTCATAAAGGTCATGAATTGAGTAGAAAAGATGATCTTGAAACATTAATTTATATACTAGTTCTATTTCTGAAAGGGTATAATTAAATGGTTAATTTAGATATAAAGAGTTCTACCATGGCAAAACTAGATTCTTTAAAATAATAAAGAGAAATAAAAATTGATTGGTGAGAAAAAGATTAAGTTAGGCTCGACTGAAATTTGTTAAGATTTACCAATTGAATTTTAAAAAGCTTTAGAGTAAATAATAAATATTTAAATGAGTCATATAAAGAGTCTTGGTTTCTCAGTTGAACCTGATTACGAATATTTAATAAATTTATTTAGGAAATTAGGTTAAAGACATGGTTTTGAGTATGACAATTTATTTGATTGGTGTAAAGAAGAAGACATAATTGCTCAAACAAAAATGATGCAATAGAGTGAGAAAATATAGCATTTTTCACTTAAATGGTAAATATCAGAAATAAAACATATTTAGCCAATCTTTATAAATTCCTTCTACAATGGAATGTATAGAAAAAAAAGTATCATCTATTTCTAACATCATATAAAATCCTATGTAGATTTCATAAAGTGCAGTTATAGTTGAGATTAATTCTGAAGGAGGTACTCTTTCAGATGATAGTACAAACTATCTATACAATAATTATTAACAATTAGAAAACTTTTCAAATTTATACAAAAATCATCTCTAGATTATGAAAGAAAAATGAACTCTTGATTTATAAATATTATCTTTATTCAATATACATTAACAAAATTCATTGTAAAAAGTTTTATTAGATAATTTTAATTATAATTTATTTCAAATTTCTTATGATAATTAAATATGATTCTGTATTCATCATTTATTATTTAAAGAATTCATTTATTGTCTCATTAGTTCATAATGATAGCATTATTAAATAAAATTTTTTTAAGGAATAATTTTGATAATTTTTGTTTCCACTCAAATAAACTAATATTAATTTCAAATTACTAATGTCTGATTAGATTACCTCGTCTCAAATAATTGAGTTTTTCTGGTTTTTCTTTCCCTTTTTACTTTTCATAAATGCTATTCTCCTTAAATTTTACATTAAGACTAGCATTCATGTAGAAAAAGAAGTCAATAGATCAAAAGCATATACCTAATAAAATATTCATGATCCTTAAAAACATGGCATTGATCTATCAGGTTCAGGTATAAAATACTAGTTAATTGTATTTAGAAATACAAATTGTTGGGAATTATGAATAAAATCAGTCAATGAATGTAGTAGAAGAAGGATAGAGAAAATAATTTTAATAGGCATAGTAATTGTAATCAGTTCCTTAATAATCAACTATCCCTTCAAATCTTACATAAAATGTATAATTTTAACTTTAATATTCATAATTAGACAAGAACAGCTAAAGTGTTTGATGGATTAAATGAAATAGTTTCAACCTATTTTCCTTTATTATCAGTCTCAATAATTTGTATTAATAATTTTGCTGTTTGGAATTGGGCATTAGCTTGTGTTTTTTTATTTTTATTTTTTGTGATTGCTTTCAATATTATTTAAGTGTAGCGAAACTTTCCAGATACAATCAAAAGTAATTTAGTAATATTATTAATTTAGGATTTTTATATGTTAGTCATCATATATGGTTAAGTGGTTTATTTATTAGCTATTTAGCCTGTAAATTGAAACTGTCAAATTGAATCTATAAATAATTTACAATAATACTTTTGTTTTATATTAATTTCTAAAATATCTTTATAACAAATTTTTAATTTAACATAATTTCTATTATTTTTTGATATGAAATATTATTATTATAAGCATCTATTAAATAGTTAAAATTTATTCAAATGTTTAAAATAAATAAAAATAAAGTAATTTTCCTGAATATACTATTGTATAATAAGATATGATTCAATATTCAAAAAGATCATATGGAAATTCATCGTACTATAAATTAAAGATCAATTTAAAAAGAATTTGGTCCTTAATTATTTTGATGGAAATTAAGTTGGTTTCTCAAAGTATTTCAAGAATAGTGCACCATTTCACATAATATGTAAATATTAAGATAATGATAATTTAGAATCAAATATTAAACTTAAATTAAATTTAAAATCTTTGAATAATACTTTCCTAATCTTAATTTATTAAATATTTTAAAAAATTCTATTTTTGAATTAATATAGTATTTGAATATTCTTACTAAAAATTGATATCCTTATTGTAAATAATTTTATTTATTTCCATCTCTTTAATTAATTTAGTTGTTTTAATAGATCTAAAATAATTAATGATAAATATGATATCAATATTAAAAATTCTTAATATCATATAGATTATGGATTTATTGATAAAAGAGATATTAAAATTGTGATAATTATTATGTTATCAATAATAAATATTATGTTATCAATAATGAGTATTATTTTGAATAATAAGTAATTAATATATAATATTAGAGAAAAGTAGGTATGATAAAAGAATACTAACCTAAAATATTTTCGAAGGATTAATTTAGAGTCAGATATAAAGATTTGGAAGAAATATATAATGAAGAAATGTCACCAACTTAAATTGAATTAGGTTATGATGATGAATTATAACAAGTATCAGAATAGATAATAAGTAGACAGTAGTAGTCAAACACATTTTTAAAGAACAATTATTGAATGATATATAAAGAAAATAAGCTTTGATGGAATGTAAAGTACATTCTTAAATTAAAAATGATCAATTAGTGGCATTATTTGATTGTTTTCAAAATGAAGAAGAATATACATTAATTTTAGAATACATGAATAATGCTAACTATTTTAGGGATAAAATTGAAACTGTAATAATATTCATATAATAATATATAGGAACTTAAGATCATATCAACAGAGGCAAAAATGAAGTCTTACATGTCAGATGTATTGTAAGGATTAGACTACCTGCATACGCAAGGTATTCTACCGATTCTTGGCTAGGATATATTCATTGTGACATTAAATTAGAGAATCTGTTTTGTGAAAAATTGGAGGATCAAGTGTTTAGAAATGTATTTGACTTTTTTAATTAGGTAAAATTAGGAGATTTAGGATTGGTGCATGTATATGATTTAAATACAGGACAAGGTTTGATGCCAGTGAAGTGTGGAACAACCAATTACATTGCACCAGAAATAACAAATAATGCTATTGTGACACCAAAAATAGATATTTGGTCTCTTGGAATAATATTGTATACAATGAGTTGTGGTTATAAACCTACACAAATTCAAGGGTCGTTCAATCTATTATTATTTTTCTAGATACAAGTATACATAAGGTCCCATACCCTTTAGAAAGTTTGATTGGAAAAAGAGATCAAAAGAATTATAAAACATAATAACTTTGATGCTAGATATGGATCCAAATAAAAGACCATCATGCCAAGAATTAATGTAACATTCTTGGTTTGAAATTGATTCTTGATATTAAAAGTGTTTTTATTTAATACAAATTCTTTCTTTGAATATTCAGATTTATTTGATTTATCTTTAATCAGGTTCCCAAAATTCGCTGAAGTTAAACCCAAAAACTTTGTAAAACAACCCTCTATCTTTTCTTTTAAAACTATCAAAAGAGGGTAATCCAGACACCTCAATTTTACATAAGGTGAAAACATACTTTTGCATCAATCAATTATTTTTTATCTCCTTCATATCTATATTAAAGTAATTTAGTATAATCATCAAATACTTTTTCACAATTTTTTTTGCAAATTTCACCATCAACTAACTTTTAACAAGGTTCCAAACAATTTTAATATTCTACTATTATAAATATTATTACTTTCTGATAAATCAAAATACACTTTCATTCTTTCCTATTATTCAGATGAATAAACATGATAAACTTCACTTCTTAAAATCACTTTTTCTTTTATCATATATTTATTTTATTATTTTTATAAATATTCAATTCTAATATTATTATTCTTAATAATCTCTATAAAATAGAAGTCATTTAACATTTAATTTTTGTTATATTATATTTACTTCTAGTTAATTATTATAAAAATTATCTAAAAAAATTATAACAAAGAAATGACATAAGCTATGAATACAGATTTATTGTTAAGAATGAGTACTCTGAATTAGGAATTTCATGTGTTAGCTACAAATACTAATTTATTTATTACAACAATTAAAGAGGAATTGTTATAACAAAAATAAGAAAATTAAACTAGTAGATAAATCTGTGATCTTAATACTTAAGTATGATGTCATTTTAAATAGAGTGTTAGTGAATTGAGATGGCATTTGGATTAAGCAGTTGGAAATCTTTATAAAAAATACGAAGAATAAGTTAATGATAAAATAAAGGAATTTGAAAGCTTATAAAAATAAAAAGAAATTTCAGAATAAAATAGAATAAAAGAATTAGAGTAAAGATTCAATCAATATGATGAAATAATTAAAGAATTAGATAAAAAATGGGAATCAAAATCTAATGATCGTTATATTGCTAGCATAATTTAAAAGAACCTATTAACAAATTAAAACATAGGATAATTTATAGTTGATAAAGTATTGAAATTAACAGAAGAAACTGTTTAAAATAAACTAAATGATTATTAAAAGTTGATTGATGAAAGAATGACAAATTAATTTCATTAGTTATCTAATTATTAAGTTTAAATTAGAAAATTTGAAACAAAATAAGATGACTTATAAAATCAATTAAATATCTCAAAAGAATTTTAGATGGATTTTCAAAAATAATAATAAAAAAAACTTTAAGTATTATAACATCAAAATTCATTATTTAAAGAAGTTGTGTAATAATAAGTTCATAAGTAAATGATTAATAATATATAATAGTATAATAGAATAGTCAGAATTATGCAAAACTAATATTAAAGATTTAAGAGAATAAATGGTTAAGCAATTCGAAGATGCTTCAGTTGGTAAATTAGAAAATAACGAATAAATTTTGTAAATTTTAACATAAGATTAATAAAAAATAAGGGAAATTGAAAGAAAATAAGATTTGATTTTTAAAAATGAGAATGAATTTAAGATTAAATTAGAATAGATGTAATAAGATTATAATCAATAAAATTAAAGAGCATTAAATTAAATAGTTACAATGGATAGTGAAATGAAAAATATAAATTCTGCAATTAATGGTATTTATGAAAAAATGAATACTATTACTTTAAATCCTTAAGCAATTTAAGAAACTAAAAATACTGAAAAGCCATAAGAAAAATTTAGGCCATTATTAATAAGTCAAAAGATTTAAAAATAATTCTGTTTAAAAGATTAAATTGGATAAATCGAAATTTTGTTTCGACATGTTTAATTATTATTCAAACACATCTGTAAAACATATAGATATGAATAAAAATTGGAATCTTAAAAATAAAAATAGAAATCAGATTTAACAAGAAATAATTCAAATGAATAAATTCATTCAGATAATTTAGACCATCCATAATATGTATTTTAACAGTATTAATAATAATAAAAATAAGAATAATAAAAATAAGAAGTTCAAAAAAGTGATATACTTTAATAATAAGTTTTAAATCCTTAAAATTAATTAAAGATTAATATACAACCTGTATATTAGAGTAATGAAGATTACTTTGGAGACACAAGATTATATTTTAATTAAGCTATGAAACCTCTTTATATTTAAGGAAAATGTATAAAAATTTATATTATAATAGAACATGCTATGGATATTCGACCTTAAGTTGAAATGCAATAATTATCTGCGAAAGTAAAACAAATTTCTAATCTATTTTGTGATTCTGATTTAAGATAATAATTATTTGAAAACAGTTAAAGTTAGAGACCAGGATCAGGTAAGAAGAGATTACCAAAGATTAATTCAAAAAGTTTTCATTTCTCAAATGATGATTAATGAGCATAATTTGTAATTTTGTTTATTGGTACTAATTTATGTTATCATTTCTTTGCACCTTATTTTGCAACGGCTTCCATTTTTTTTCTAATTTCTTCTTGATCTCCTAAATAATAAGATCCCAAAGATTTTAAATTGCTATCAAATTCATATACCAATGGAACGCTAGTAGGAATATTCAATTCAAGAATATCTAATTTAATAAGAGATTCTTATACCTTTCTCAGAAACATTATCTAAGTACTTAACAATGCTTCTTAATGAATTACCATGAGCAACTACTAAAACATTTTTACCAGCAAGGATATCTTAAGCAATATGATCATGCCAGTATGGAATAACTCTAACAACGGTATCCTTAAGACATTCAGTAAGTGGTAATGCATCTTTAGGAACATCAGCATATCTTCTATCATAGGCTGGATTTCTGGCATCTGTTGGATCCAATGGAGGAGGTGGGATATCATAAGATCTTCTCCAAATTTTAACTTAATCTTCACCATGTTTTTAAGCTGTTTCACTCTTATTTAAACCTTATAAGGCACCATAATGTCTTTCATTCAATCTCCAACTTTTAGTTACTGGTAAATAATGACATCCCATTTCTTCAGCTGCATAATTATATGTTTAAATAGCTCTTGTCAATACTGATGTGTAAACCTAATGGAATTAGAATCCTTCTTTCTTTAATAATTATCCAGCAGCTTTAGCTTCTTCAACTCCTTTTTATGAGAGTGTAACATCATGCCATCCTGTAAATCTATTTTCCTTATTCCATTATGATTCACCATGTCTTAGAAAAACTACTCTATATTTAGCTAGAGCATTCTTGAAGACTTTTTGCATTTTAATAAATTTATTTATATATTATACATTATTGTATTATATTTATAATAAGAAATTCAAGCCAATTTTCCTTCTGATAAAGCTCTTTTGTAATCATCAAAATCTCCATTGAATTTCTTAAGTCTTTCTTCCTTTATATACCAAATCTAATCGCAGACTGTAGAAACAAAATATTGATCATGTGAAACTATTACTAAACCACCCTAATTATGATAAATAATCAATATACAGTGAAATTGTTCAAAGCAATGATTAAAGCATTAACTGCATCAATATCAAGATGGTTAGTAGGTTCATCCATAATTAAAATTTAAGGATTATTCCAAACAGCCATAGCAAAAGATATTCTGCTCTTTTATCCTCCAGATAATAAATATTGAGGTCTTAATTATAAATTTCCATTTAAACCAAATGATGATAAATGAGACCTATATGTTTCTCCTGATGCTCCAGGGAAAGTTGTCATCAATTATTCTAAAGGACTCTTCATAAGATCTAATTATTCAATATGATGTTAAGTAAACATGCTAATTCTTAATCTCGGATTTCTGAAGTAATTACCTTCTGTTAACCTTCTTTACTCAGTTAATAAATTCAATAATGTTGATTTACCAACACCATTTGCACCAACAATAGCCACACGTGATTCCATTTCAACTGCAAAATTAAGTCCCTTTAGAATTGGTTTACCTTATTAATATTCAAAATATCCTTCTTCAATTCTCAACATAGGTGGTCTTAATTTTTCAGGATTTGGAAATATAAATACACAACTTGGATCTTCTAGAACTTCATCAATCAAATCCATTTTCTAAATAGCTTTAATACGTGATTAAACTAAAGATGCTCTCTTAGCATTATATCTAAATTTATCAATAAAGGATTGCATATGTGATAATTTCTTTTATTAAGCTTCAAATTATTTTTTTTGATTAGTATTCTTTTCAGCTCTTCCTTTTTCAAATTAATCATAATTTCCAGTATATGGTGTTAATTTTTAATCATAGAAATGGATAACTTAATTACAAACCACATTCAAAAATTCTCTTGCATGTGATACAACAATTACTGTATGTTTACAATTAATAACATAATCTTCTAACCACATAACTGCATCTAAATCAAGATGATTAGTAGGTTCATCCAATAATAATACATCTGGTTATACAAACAAAGCTCTTGCCAATGAAACTCTCATTCTCCAACCTCCTGATAAATGTTTAGTTTTTCTATACATCAAATCATTAGTAAATCCTAATCCTTATAATATTTTAATTGCTTTTCCTTCAGCTAAATGTGCTTCAATTAATTCTAATCTTTCATATATTTCTTATAATTTTAATCCAGCATTTGGATCCTCAGAATTTTCCAATTTATCCTTTTGTTCAAGTAATTCTAATCTTTCCATATCTGTTTCTAAAACTAATTAAACAGGAGTTTTATCTGATTCTGAAATTTCTTATTCAACCAACAAGACTTAGATGTGTCTAAATTTATCAGCATTTTCATATTCATATCTTGCAAGAGCATTCATCAAACTATAAAATCAATAAAATTATAAATTACCATGTTTTACCAATACCATTTCTACCAACTAAACCATACTTTTAACCATATATCAATTATAAAGACGTGTCTTCCAATAATGCTCTTCCTCCCACAATTATTGATAATTTATCAATTACTATATCTAGTTTCTTACCATCTTATTCTGCTTTACTGTGTCTTACTCTTGCTGGAGGAATATGTGTTTTTTATTCCTTAATTGTTTTAATATGTTTCTCATAGGCTTCCATTGCTTTAATATCCTCCTTCTATCTTAATTTTTCTTTACGATCCTTCTTTTAAATTTGATCATTTGTATTTGTTGCTACTTATTCTTTGAATAAATCCTCAAATTTTATTGTTTCCTAAATGATAATATATCAAATTTACAGACTCTTTTTCCAAATAAAAATCTAACTCAGACAATATAACTTCTTTAGGTAATCGTTCAGCTGCTAATGTATGTTTCTTTTCTTTTTTTATTAGTTATTCTTTTTCAAGAGCATCAAATATTTTTTAGCAAATTTTATTAATTTCTTATGTGGTCAATTTTCCTCCGTTTCTAAAATACTCTCCCAATAACTCTTAAACATCAGCAGTATTCTAGGGTGTATCTTCAACCAACATTCCTGACATATGATGGACACATTGCTAAGTCAATCTACAAATACCAGGTATTTGTTTCAATAATAAATCACATATTTTATCTTACATTTAAAATATGATAATTATATGTATAATTATTTTCTAAATAAATTTTGTAGTAAAATAAGCTCTGTTGACTAATTATAACAATAATATTAATTAAATGTAATAATCCACTTTTCAATTTTATATTCATTATAAACTTCAAAAATACAAACTTCTCTTTATTTTTCAATTTCTAATTTGATTTTAACTAGACTTATTAGATCTATGTAATATATTTCTTAAAATATATCTATAATCAATGTGAAAATTAAAAATAATATTTTTAATCTTCCTTAAATCTATTTTTTATTAAAAAGCTCATGAATTTAGATTTGATATAGCTATTTTCGCTAAATAATTAAACAGAATAATTGAATTCACAAAAATATAAAGATTAAAGATTTTTAGTTTTTAATAATATATCTATTAAATATTCTATTGAAAAAATGACTAAAAAATAAATAAAATTTTGAAAATTTAAATTATATTCATTTTAGATTATCTAATCTACATAGAATAATTAATAATCAAATAATTTTACATTCACTAATTATATATCATAACAATATTTACTAGTATTACAATATGGATCTTATGTGATATAAAAATGGACTCTTTAACTGATTATTATCTTGAGATTAATTTCTAGAAAATTAATTTGTAATCAAAGGTAAAATATTTTTTTTTTGTCAAATAATAAAGAATGGATGAGATTTAAAGTTTTTCAAATCAAATAATACTTCATTTTTGATTGAATGAATAATTAGATTTTTAGATCATCGATATTGATGTTAAAATAATTGTCTGAGAAAATTTATGATGTATGTATTTATAATATCAATAAGAGAAAATCTATTTTGAAGAAGTCCTAAAGAGGTAGAAGTTCATCACATATCATATATTAGTTTTTATGTGAATTCATTATAATTTTCATCTTAAAATCTGTTGTGGTCACTAAAGTTATCAAATGATAGATATTACTTAATACCAGAAAAATTATCATTGTGAAGGCCTTTATAGTCTTATGATGAAAAACCTTATTTCAAATTGGATTAAGATTATAAAAAAAAAATATATTTAAGAGACTTTAACTACATTAATATACACATATATTTAGTCATTATAAAATCAAAATCAAATTAAAAATATTACACAAAATATTTTTGATTTATGTTTATATTTAAATATTAATATAGGATACAACAGCTTGAGAAATTTATTCCATTTAAAAAATTTGAAATAACACTAATAGAATCAAAGAAAACAATTTCAAGGGTGAATAACAGTTGGAATCTTATTTGTTTATCTGCATTTCTTTTTACTTTTTGTTAAAGGATTGAATTTCTAATGATGAGATCTGCATTGAGTGGCTGTTCTTGTAGGGATATATTGACTCATTAATTTAAATATTTTTTTTGACTTCTTATCATATTTGGACCTCAGGATAGACTCATGATTCTTAACGAATTCTAGATATAATAAATGTTCTTGTTTAGTCCAATGTCCTAAGCATAAAAATGATATGTACCATTTACTCTTGATTGAGACTCATCCTAAATAGATGAACACTTTTCTTAGTGTTCAAAGTCAACTTCAGTTAAATGATTATTTTAGAGTGTTTTTGTCATATTTGGAGATTCAATTGACTGCTAAGTTATTCCATTATTCAAAAAAATTGGTGTATCATATTTCTATGAAGGGATAGGCATGGTAGAGGTCTACTTCTATAATATCACTTTATGACTTATAATGAATCAATATTACTATATTAAAAGAATTATTAATGGGGGAAATAGATGTATGGCTGATAATATTAGGCTTAAGAGTATAGATTGCACATTAAATCTGGATTCATCTGAATGAAATTTTGGTATTTCAAAAATAAATTATTTAATTTAATTCATTATAACTAGGCTATTAAAGTAGATACGACAAATTCATTTAAATATTCTCTATTTTAAGGTGGGGTATTATTATTGACTAATCTTAACACTTTATATTCATAGATAAGATATACTTATCATTAAAATTGACAGATATTCTAAAATTCCTACCAGAAGCTAGGCTTTATATAATTATAATATTTATATTAAATTTCTAGAAGGCCTACAGAAAATCTATCTATTAAAATAATACATTAAATACCAACACTTATAATTCAAATGTTGTTAAGGGTATTATTATATTGATTAGTCTAATTTAAATTATTCTTCTAAGCACTGAATGATTCAATAAGTATAGAATTTATATAAATTATTTTTCAATAATGCATAATTCTAACAGCTCAATTAGTAATAAAAGATCAATATAGAGATCTAAAATAAGCTTCCTTTTATATTTAGGTTAATATTAATTGATGTTCTTTGTACATTATAAATTATATTCATTATAATTAATAATTGTTATTTCATTTTATTTAATTTATGAAAGCAATCTAAAAACATTTTTAATTAGATTATATATTTGTGGTTAAGATGATAAGAAAAAGCAATTAATTCATTCAATTGTAATTGATTTTATGATATAGTTATGATTTGATTTAATATCTAAAGATATAAAGTATTAAATCAAATCTAATAGTATTTGATTGTTATGCAACCGAGGTTTTAGAATTGTACTGTTAAAATTAAATGCAAATTTGAGATTTTAATTGAATTTATTATGATTCTAAATTTAGATATCATAAAAGAAGAAATTAATGAGTAAGATGAATAAAAGTCTTTTGATAAAATCCAATATCCTTTATTACAAGATGATAACAAATTTGAAAATGAATAATTTATTCCAGATGAAATAATAGAAGAAGACGATAAAAATAGGGAATCAAATAAAGAAAATATGTAATAGATGGCATCTATGGTATTCATTGGCTTAGGAGGATTTTACACAGATTAAGCTATTGATTTTTAGGAAACAAAGCCTTAAAATTATTAATATAGAAGACTTACAATATATTCTAATTTTACATAGATTTTTAGAACAAGTGAAGTCGAATTAGACAATTTAGAAAATTAGAATAGAAATTTATTTGAAAACTTTTCAACTTTTGCAGCATGTTCTATACTCATATACTAAACAATTAATAATGCTATGATACCTGCTTGGATTATGACAATACCATTAGATAAAGTATTGAATATATATATATATATAAAATATAGTATTTGAGAATAACTTGGAGATTTTGGATTTAGAGTATGTTTTTAATTCCTGTAATGATGTATGAATAAAGAACTGGAAGTTAATAAGTTAAATCGTAATACGAATTTAGATATATTTTTTAATGGGAAAATATGAGATAACTTTATTATGCAAGTATAAGTCCAACGATAGCTTCCACAATATTTTTATTTTGTTTTGATTATAATTATATTGCCACTATTTTTATATTGGGATCATAAACAAATTTTTGGTTATCAGCTGTACGTGTATAAAGTTAGAATCATATTTTAGAAAAAAGAGGGTAGATATTTAGTTTTTTTGGGTATAAATTGAAATAATAAGATTTTTGTTGATTGTTGTTGATTCTATGATAATGAATAATTAAGGAATACCAATAAAAGCATCTAATTATATTAATACTTCAGTATTCACATAAGTTCCATTATTAAAATTATTGATTGGAACTATAGTGCCAGTATTTATATATTAATAATAAACAATTAGTTTACTTCTTCATTACTATTAGCAAGAAGTTCTGTGTTTAATTTAAGAGTAAGAAATTCATTTCCAATATATTTGAGCAATTATTTTATAGCAATATTTGTTAGTTTTAATATGTTTATAGTTGCTTATTTCGTTGATGGGATTTCTTTAGATGCTAATTCATAATTTGGAGTTTTTGGATTGTTTACAAATTAAAAGTTTATAGAATTTTTGTAATTTAAAATGAATATAAAAATAGTTATAATTCCTTAATTATAATTATAGGAATATCAATTTGTTCTATAATCACAGTTTAGTTATTTGATCCTTTAACTTTAGCTATTTGTAATCTTATTGAACCATTACTAACCTCTGTACTACTCAAATTTACAGGTGTTCAATATTATCCTGATGGTTTGACTTATTTAGGGTATTTTTGGTTACAATTTGGATAATTGTTGATTATAATAGGTTAAGATTTACATAAAAAGTAATTGGAAATGAGTGTTAAAATGAATGTATAATGTAAGCATTCTTTAAGTAAGAAGTTGTTGTGATTCACATATTGTTATTCAAAAATGTAATTAATTATTTAATGTCTCTTTAACATTTATAAACAATAAAAGAAGAAAGACATTCTTTAGAAAATATTGACATAAATTAAAATCTTCTTGATAAAGATAAAAATGTATAATAAATTTTGAGTAAGTAGAGGGAAGATGAACCTGATGAAAATGAACAATTTCTTCCAGAAGAATAGAAGGAGGAGGTAAGTGATGAGGATGGTGAAGATTAATAATAGAAACATGAAAATGTAAAGAGTTTTGTTGTTGGCTCTGGAATGGGTGGATTTTTATTTGAAGAGACATTTGGATTTGATGATAAGAAATAGAAGAATAATAAGTAAATAAAGAGATTGACATTGAATACTCGAATTACATAAATAGTGGGTTTAAATAAGTTAGCAGATGATATAGAAGATGATTAATAACTTTATGAGAAAATTCCATAGTATTTAGCTTGGGCAATTATTTTTTATGCATCTTTTAATAATGCCATGATGCCTCCATGGATTATGACAATACCAGCTGAAAAAGTATCTAGTAATATAAATCAAAGTATTTACGTATTGCTTGGAGATTTTTATTATAAGGAATATTTCTTATTCCATTTATCATGTATGAATATAGGACTGGAAATGAGAAAATTAAGTCAGCATATACAATTGAATTTCTATTGAGATGGACTCATATGAGAAAAGTTTATATGGCAAGTTTAACTACAACGGTAACATTTGCAGTATTTCTGTTTTGTTTTGATTATACAAATATTTCAAGTGTCTTTGTCTTAGGATCTTAGACTAATTTTTGGTTATCAGTCTTTAGAAAAAAAGAAAATAATCATAACATTGAAGGAGGAGGTAAAATTATGTGTGTTGTTGGGTATAATAATCATATATTAATAGATATTTACTTATTTGTTTAGATTCATATATGTTGAATACTGACACTATTCCTGAAACAGCCAAAAATTACATTAATCCTTTATTGTACAATAGACCAATTTGGATGAGAATTATTATTGGAAATACTATACCAGTAATATATTATTATTATTATTATTATAGTTTTTAGCTTCTATAATATTAGCTGAATTATCAAAAGCTAATTAAGATCTTAGAAGTGTATTCCCTCCTTTTTTAGCTAATTTTTGTGTTGCTTTTTTTGTTTGTCTTAATATGTGTATGGTTTCATTTTTTATGGATGGTACATCAATAAATTTTGATTCAAGATGGGGTTGGTTTGGATTATTTTAAAATGGAAAATTTATGGGTTTCTTGTATAATAATTAATTATTATTCTATTAGTTATATGTCTACTATGTTAAGTATAGGAGTTTTCATATCTTCTATATTAATAAGTAAATTATTTGAACCAATTGTGCCTGCTACAGCTGCTTTATTTGAACCTGTAATTACAGCTATTTTATGTGATATTGCTACAGTTTAATATTATCCATCTGCTATTGCTTGTTTTGGTTATGTATTTTTATTGCCAGGTTAATTTATTATTATTGTTGGATAACATATATTAAAAAAGTAATAAGAACAAGAACAAAAATAAAAACTTGAATAATAATAATAAATACATGCTTCTAGAGCTTAATGATGATGATGTACAAAATTAAATTGTTTTTATTTAATACTTGATTTTTTTTAATTAATTAATGAAGTTAAACAATAATATTTAACGAATAAATAATGTTCCTGTTCCAAAAAAGATTAATGACTTTATCATAAAGTTCTCAGTAACCTATTAGACTTAAACCTAAGTTCTATTCATAGTAAAAAGAAAATATACCTGTTTAAAAGGATCTACCAAAAGTGAATTTGATTAATAAATTGAATGAAGCATCTAAAATACTTAAACCTTTACCAAAATAATAAATTTAAATTAATCAAAAAACTATTTCTAAAGATGTTTGGCATAAAAAGTCAATATCTATGAAAATGAAGAATGCTAATTTTAAAGATGGAAAAAGAATTGTTAGTGGATAATTGATTAAATATAAAAAAGGTGATTAGATCTATGCTTTTAGATGCATTAAAGATACTATGAAATAATGCAAATTAAGAGATATAAAATTAGATCATGATGTTGATACTGATGATGAATAAATATTTATGGCTACTAAAAATATGTTTATGAGTTTATGTTAAAGTATTAAAAGAGAATTATTTAACAATGAAGATAATCAAATTGAAAATAAAATTATAATAGATGATGATTTCTTATGATTTGATGATCTTGTTTATAAATTAATGATATACTAATCAATTTATATTCCTAACAAATTTATTAATAAAATCCATCCAATTTTTCTTACTCTTTTTTATATTATAATATAATTACTAATTTTCTTTTTAATTGATTATTAACAAATTGATAATAAATATTATTAAGCTTATAATCAGAAAATGAATAATATGGCAATTTTAAGAAAAACATCTCTAAATCACAATAATAATTTGATAATAAATTAAATAACATTTTAATCCATGAATTCCCTATAAGATTGACTCTTTTATTAGTTAAAATACTGAAGAGTCCAATTGGATTTGAATAATTATATTTAACTAATAATTAATGTTCTTTAGAATATTTATTTACCTTATAAGCTTCATTTATCATAAGATCATCAATCTTTAAAAAATATTAACCATTTGATACACCTCCTTCCCAAAACACTATCAAAGGTCCAGTTCTTTTCTTGTCTATTAATTCCATCAATTCTCTTATATCTTTACCCACTTTAAACTATTTAAAACTACATTATTCAATATAAAATGAATCTATGATTGCTTAATAATAACTTATTAATTAATAACGGACTTATCTCTTATTTATAGAAACATGAGTAAAAGATGGAGAAAAACTTTTATTATAAAAATATATCATACTAGGTAATAAGTGTAAAAACATCAATTGGAGAAGTTCTTGAACATAATAATGTATAAGATTGTAAATTTTTTGGTTTTTATTGTTACAGAGTGTTTTTAAATATGGATTTTATATTATAGTATCCTATAAACAATAATAATGATCTTCCAATAAAAAAGTTATGTAACAATATTATAATTCTTATTAATTTATAAATATTAGGACGAAGCTCTAAATTTTGTAATTTTCTAAAGAGTATATCATTAAATATTATTATTTCTAATGTCAATCCTAAAAAGAAAGGTAATCTTATTATTAAAAGTAAACACTCTAATATTGTTTTGATTCTACTTCCTTTATATATATTATTAGGTTAGAAAGGATTCATATTTAAAATAATACATTTTTATTCAATATTTATAATAAATTGATATCAATATTAAATAGTTTTTGATGTTATCATTATATCATTTCTTTAATAGAGGAAGGGGAGATGAAAGACATCGTTAAGTATCTAATCTTAATTCTTAATTGAAACTATTAATTATAGAATCTTTCTTTTGAGATTAAACTAATTGCCAATCTTCATCTCTCTTAATATACATATTAGGATCGAAAGAATGAATAGGCACTAAACTTAATCCTAAAGGTATTTATTTGTATAGATAAAATTGAATTTTGTATTGTGACTTTCCTATGTTTCTCATTGTAATCTTATCAAATGGTCCTAGATTTCTGATTATCAATAAAGATATTGATATATAAAGATCCATTTATCTTTTATCATTCTTTTTGATTTCATCCAAGGTTGTTGGATTAATGATAGGAAATTTATCAACTTCAATTCTAGTACCTTTAGGTGTCTTAAAATAAAAGCAAACATTAACAATAGGTTAAGGTAAAAAAGATTGATCAAGATCTTCATCTATTTCAATTGATATTTCATTTGAATATTATGATGTAAATATCATAAGATTTAGGAATAATTACTAAATCTATTTAATATCAGATTTCATAAATAGATCATTAAGTTTAGTATTTATTTTGATAATTCTAGTTTTAAGTTTATTATTATTTCTATAATATTTCATTTTATCAATCAAAATTTCTAGTAATTATATTAAATTAAATTTTAAGAGAGATAATTATTTAAGATCAGTATTAGCTGAGAAATAGTCAGATATATTATAATATTTATTATAGGAAATATAAAGTTAAGATACAACATAATTAAGACATTTATTCATTTATTAAGATTATTAATATTTTTTTAGAATTCCATTCATTATTATTAATGATAATCTAATTTGAGTATTAAAAATATCTTAAAAATAATTTAATAATTTTAATGTTGCTTTATTCTATAATTTTAATTTATCTACAAATTATTTTTTTTATTGTTCAGTAATTAATAATATTGCACATGGTGAAGTATCAAAACATAATACTACTTTTATTATAAAGGATTCATCTTAATGAAATCCAAATAATTAATGTTAATAATCCTAATATTTATTTTCATAATTTTCTAATTATCTTAATTTATTTTTATCTGTAAACAAATAAAATAAGAATTATTCTAAATTCATATCACTTGAATTTTTTCTTAAATCCATTTATTTTTTTATTTTTCGACCCTGACTTGCAACTATAGTTTTTCTTATAAAAGCCTAAAAATTATATTAATCCTCTTATTCATTGAATTTATCTACATTTTCTTATTATAAAATAATTTGTCTTGAATTTTCTATAAAATTAACAATATAATATTTTATTTCTAAATTTTCTTTTAAATTATTTTCTATCGTTAAGTGCTTGCAATATTGCATATATGTCATTCTCATTAATTATTATTAATATCTTGATTATTGATAATATAGGATAATATAAATAATAAATTTAGTAAGTTGAGACCATAATGGCTCTTTCGGATTGGGTATCATAATCATAAAGTAGAGGTATATAAATAATAAAATAAATGCTTTTTGTATAGAATCCATCATGTTTATCATTCTAAAATATGTATATGAAATAATTATACGTTAAACTAAGAATAGCCAGAAAATACCCATCTATAAATTAGTATCTCTCTGGATGTATTGATAAATATTGAGATGTTGCATAGAATATATTGAATAACAAAATTCCTATTAGTAATAATATTTCATAGACTTTAATGCACTTTTTTTGATATCTCAAACTTGTCAATATGATAATTCCTAAAATTATATTTAGACAAACTGTGAACCAAGATGATTAAATAACCTTTTCAATTGTATAGTAAATAATGAGAGGTATTAAGATGACTTTCTATATGAGTTAAAATCTTAATTTGAACTTCATTATGTACCTTTCATATTATTCTTCAAATTTATCAGAGATAAACTTCTATGATAATAATTACATTTATAATATATATATTTAAGTTAAATTTTGACAATGCTTAATATTTTATAATCATATAATGAATGTTCTTCTTAATTTAGATATCTGGTTTTAAAATTTTATTAATTATTCAAAATTAAAGAATATCATAATTCACTAAAATTATCTAATTAAATTCTTGGACTCAAAGATAACAAATCAAAATAGGCTGCATGTTTTCCATGTATTGATGATTTTGCATTTAAAATTAGATAATTACTAGGATGTTAAGATTTCAAAGGCATAAGATGAAAATCTTCTGAAAGTTCTTTAAAAATCAAAAATTCAATGCTATTTATTCCATTCTTATTCTATTTTATATGTATTTTATTCGTTGGTCCTAACTTTCTCACTATTACTATAGCCATTGGTAAATTTAATTGATATACTTACTCTGCATTATGTCTCAATTCAGATAGAGTTATTGGATTAATAAATGGTAATCCTTTTATTGCATCTTTACTGAAACTTGATCCTTTGAATTCTATCCTAACACGAAAGTATGATTTCTTTAAAGAATACTCTTCTCCTTAATCCAATACAATTCCAATATCCTAACAATGTTCAGTTAAATAATATAGAAGATTTAAAAATAATTACTTAAGTTATTTTTAATCTTAAAAAACAATATCTTTTTTAAGTTAATTTGTTATAGAGTAAGTGAATCTTTTACTTTAATAAAAGTAATTTTATATTTCAATTAAAATATCTTCTAAGAAATTTATAAAATTAAATTTTTAAATTATAGATCTTTAGAAAGTAGTATTAAGATTAAAAAAGTCTTTAATATTCTAGAAATCATTGTATGCCTTTGCAATTTTACTATATATTTTTTTATATATGCACAAATCCATATTAGTATTAGATTTTACTTTTTAATATTTGTGTATGGCTCTAAAATATATCAAACTCATTTTCACTTAGGATTGAAATATTTCATCAATTGTTTCCATGACTTATTAAAATATCTTATATCTTAATTTAAGTTCTTCAATAAATACATCTTTTTTATTTTAAGAAATTAAAATTATGGCACTTGGTAATTCATCAAAATATTTAATTATTGAAATATTATAGTTTTCTTAATTTTATACTCCTTACAATTTAATTAAAGAATCAATTTAGAATTTATTCATATAGTCCTTTAATTTTTCTGGACAACTAACAAAATAAAATAGAAATTTCTCTAAATTCATTTTTGCATCTTATTTTATTTCTTCTTATGATTTATAATGTGTTCGAGATTCCTAATCCTTAATGAGTACTCTCATATTTCTTATTTATGAAACAAATTATTATTGTTATTGAATTGTAATATTATCTTCATTATTACAAGTAGTTAATAGCATTTAATTTGTTTCTCTTTTGTAACTAATTATATATAATGTGATTCCACATAAATTAATTAATTATTATTCAGCTTTTTAATGTTTTATTAACTCTATATATTCTTATCTTTAAATTTACTCTGTTTTGTATAGATATAATAAATGTAGTGTTAAATAAACTAAAAAGATAATCATTTATTCCCATATTTCCTATATTAAAATAGGCTAAAATATTTGTAACATAATGTAAATTGAGACATGGATGAAGCATTTTTACATAAAACTAGCCTAATTCAATACTCTATTATATTATGCAAAATACATGATGTAGTAGCTAAGGCCAACATATATCCTTCAATGTAACTAATTTAATGAAGAGTTTCACTAAGTATTTTTTGTAATGATTTATAATAGTTAAAGATCGTCATAAAGATTATAATTGTGTTATTGAGATAACATTGTTCTTATCGATCAATATTTAATTTCACACTAATTATTAATAGTATCAAACCTATTCCACTTATACAAAGTGAAATCCAAATTTATTTAAATGCACTTGATATTAAAACATAAAGCAACATTAATATTACTAATGCTTATTAGAATTTTAATAATTATTAAGATAATTCCTTTTTCCTATTTTAATATTTACTTTCAATAACTTTATCTGTAAAGGAGAGTGATAAGAAATTCATATTATTTTTTAATTTTATATTAATATATTTACAATATATCAAATCAATTACTTTATTCTGATTTTGCAACATTTTTAAATAAATATTGTTATTATAAACTTTTAGTAATTAAAGGAATCTAAAAATATTATTGGTTTTCTACATTTATAAAATAGATGTATGTTTTGAAATTAAAAATCATCCTATATATTAAAAAAGATTAAACTTTATTATATATAGACATTATAGAATAAAGTTTAATATACTAATAAATGATTTATTAAAAGTGTTATAATTCATTAAATTTCTTAAAATTTTACTTTTTTATAAAAATAATTAAATACAATTGAAGAATAGAGGTTTGATATAATTATTAAGTCTAAAATTTTGATAAATTAATAAGAAAATTAATTTTTATAAATTAAATATGAATCAAAAATTAATAGATATAGATTAAGAGTAATAAATAAGTAATCATTAAAAAAAATGAGTATTTTTTTATCTAAATATTTTTGGATCAAATTTTACTTTTTTCTTTTAACTTTTAATAGTTTTTTAAGATTAATTATCATCAACTTCAACAAAATTTGATTTTTACTTTAAACTCTATCCTCTTTTGTAATATAATTATTTTTGATTTTTAATTGTTGATTTATTCTTTAATATACTTTTAATAGTATTTTAATCTGAATCTTTTTATTTTTAAGATTAATCATCTTTCCATTCACATTTTTATTGTTTAAGATTACTTAAACTTCTGCTGAATTATTTTTTTTTTTAAGATTATTAATTGTTTAATTTATTTTCATTTTTTTCTTATTAGATATGATCTTATAATATTTAATGTTATTATTAGTTATGATTTTAATTATCTTTATTGTTAATACTTAATATTTTATAAGATTCTTACTGATTTGGAAGTTAAGCTAATGAAATAGTTTGTTTATCTTTTTAAGAAGCCTTTAAGTTACTATTACTATGAAATGTTGCAGTTTAATGGTAACTAAGGTTAGCATAAGATTGCTAGAGAATTGCTTCAAGTTCTTCTAAAGATTCTGATTTTTCTCCTAAACAATATAAAGGTTCAATTAGATAATTTTATTTAGTTGGATGATGTTGAATGAGTTATTATTTTACAATCACAGGGATTTAAAATTCATTTTAATTGAGATTTTGATGTTTAAAGCAACTTGAGGTTGATCCCATAAGGAATAATTAAATAATTATACATTTATACTAGCTAATAAAGAATAATAAATAAATTTTTATTAAAACTAAACAAAAAAGAACTCAAATTTTTATTTTTAATTCTTCTTCAGATGCATTTTCTATTTCTTCATAAAATGAATTGAAATCAAAATCAACTGATTTGAAAAATTCATAAGGATTTAAACATATTTTTAAATAATATACACCAGTTAATACATCTTTTCCAAGATTAGTTTAAAATGGATTTAAATATTCAATAGTTTTTGAAATAATAGATTTATATTATCCTAAAAACTCCTTGATTTAATCAATTTTTTCATAAAATTATTAATATTAAGGACACTTTTCTCTGACTTATATAAATACATCTTTAATTATATTAATGTCATTTTTTATAGTAGTTAATAATCTTTAACAATCCTTTAAAATATAATATAATAATTTACTTTACTAACAATAAATCGACCCCATAATTCTTAATCAAATTAATCATGTTTATTAGAATTCAATGCTAAATTGATTTTATCTAAATGTAACAATTAATTTCTAGCCAACATAAATATTAATTATAAGAATTCATCTTTTTTGAGTGTAATATCTCCAAAAGTCTATAATTTAATAATTCTTAATTATGTATAATTAATGAAAAAAGCAACATTTCTTTCATATAAATAATAAGTATAGAATTTTTAAAATGATTCTCTTCTTTTCATTTCCTTCTAGTATTAAGACAATATTAAATCAGGCTATATGTTAAATGAATGAAAATGATTACATTCTCTTCATCAAACATTTATTTTAAACCATCTAAATCATTTTTACTATCTTCTCTATAATCCTCTATTTTTGTATGTAAATATCCAACAACTTTATATTAATCCAAATAAATCTTATTTAAACTCATTGATTTTGTCATTGGATCTTCTTTCATTATATCATTCATATTCTATCTAACTGTGTCTTCATTCATTTTTATAACTTAATGTTCAAAAATATGTTACCAACTTAATCTATCCTAAATTATATATCATTTATATTTTAATACTTTTTCTTCTACTTATAACATCATCGCAACTAATTCTTTTACTTTTTAACTACGAACAGGTTTACTGGGAAATTTTAAAGGTTTATTTAATATTAATTATTCTAATTGAATCTAACTTTCTGCTTACCAAGGTGTCTTACCATAAAGCATTTCATAAAATAAAATTCCTAAAGACCAAACATCACATTTTGCTGAAAATGGTTAACCTCTTAAAATCTAAGGAGACATATAAATTGGAGTACCATTTCTTGAAAATTTGCCAGGTTCTAATAATAATTATTAATAATACCATCCATTTCAACATCCATTACTCTAGCAAATCCAAAATCAGCTATCTTAGCAATACCATTAGATAATAATATATTTTCAGGTTTTATATCTCTATGAATTATTTTCTTTGAGAATAACTCTTTGAATCCTTCAACAATATGTTTTAGAAATATAATTGCTTCTAGCTATTAATTTATTTAAAAAATTAACTTCAGATAAATGTTTTTCTTTCTTGCTCATCAAAAATTTTCTTAAATCTCCATCAGAACAAAATTCTAAAAAGATATATATGTAATTTTAAGTTCTATTTGCATTATATAAACGAACAATATTAGGATGCTCTACTGATTTTAAAATAGTTGATTCTCTTTTAATCAAATTTAATATTTAAGGAGATTACTTCACTGACTAAACAAATCATTAAGTAACTTACATCCATTGGTACCGTTTTTACTGCAATTCTCACTTAGCTCTATCCTGTATCCATATATCCTAAATACACAGTCCCATATGCACCTTTTCCTAAAATTTTATTAAGGATCACAAAATTATCTATTTTTTTTTTTTTCCAATCTTCACTCATTTATTCTGTTTTATAAATTAAATTGTAAAAAATTATATATATTATTAGATCATAATTTTATATTAACATATATATACATAACAATAATAAGTTTTAAATTACTTTCATTTTATTTAATCACTTAGCATTAAAATTTTAAAATATTAAAAGAGAGAGATAATTATAGAATTATAATAGGCAATCAAATATACTATAATCATAAAAATTAGAAACTTTCTCTAACAGATTCAATTTATATCGAAGTTGAAAATGAATTAGCTATCTTTGAATATTCTTAAACTATTATTTTATCTGATGGTTTCATTGATTTAATGGGAATCAACAAATAATCTTCCATTAGTTATTAAAAAATGTAAAATTCTAAATAATTACATTTTCGTTTTTATTGAACTAACTTCATTCTATCAAATGGTCCCAATCTTCTAATTAATATTAATGAAACTGCTAAATCTAAATCTAAAGGCACAGTACTATTGTGCTTTAATTCTTCCAAAGATTGAGGATTCAAAATTGGTAAACTATGTAGTTAAGCCTTTGTTAAATTAGGAGCTTAATAATGTATTTTAATTCTTATTATAGGTGTTTATGAAAATTCTGTAGTTACTTCATCTAATATTACTTTTATTGTCTATGATTTTTCACTTGTATAATGAATTAAGTTAAATAGTAATAATTTTATATATTTGAAGTCAGACAAAATGCAATTACTACTTAAATTATTAATAATCTCATATTGTTGAATATAACTCATAGATTCAGGTTTCTATTTATTATATCCATCATAAAAGGCAAAAACGTCTTTAATTAATAATATAAGATCAAATTATTTGATTCCAGGACATAACATTTTAGATAAGCTAAATGTTTCTAAATTAAGGAAATCTGTATATCCTCTAATTAAACTATAATTAATCATTTTTAATGATTTATTTATTAGATATCCATCTGTTTATTTATTGGCAAAATTTTTAATCCATCTAAAATAAATAAGAGATTTTTTAATTTATCTATCAAATATTTATTGAATATAATTAAGTTATTTTTAATTATTTCTCATTCTCAATCTTAATTCTTCTTCTTATGATTCAGATTTACTCTCTTTCATCAATAATACTGTTATAGGTTAAACATCTATACTCCTAAAAATACTTAAAGCAAACACTTTTTATTAATAAAATCCATAGATTTAAATATCTTCTCTTATTTTAGATGGAGTATCATTTATATCTGTATTTGATTATTGTGTATAATAAACAAGTAATTACTTAAGAGATTGTTTTTTTGGGGAAAATAAATTATCAACCGAAATTATTTAAGCAACCCTTGATTTTTAATTTTACATAGATAATTACATATTAGTAATCATTTTTAAAAACTCTTCTTAATCTTATTTAAGTATTCTTTTGTTATTATTTTTCTCTATTAAAATTAATGATTTTCTTTCATCATATTTAACTGAATAACTTTAAACATCTTTGAATTTTGAGATTTTATTCAAGAATTATTGACATTTCTAATAATCCAAATAAATAATTCTCAATAACCTTTCAAATTAATACATAAATTAAACATATAAGATAACATACAATAAATATCTTATATATGTATCAGCATTTATATCCTAATGTCGAATTCCAAATATAATATGAAAGGTTACCGTAATTAATAATAATAAGGCTCTTTTGATAAAATTCATCAGGTTTAATAAACTTAATAATGTTAAGAAAATAGAATACCTAGCAAAAGTGAATGAAATAAAAAATATTTCAGTATATTGCCAATCTATGCTGGCAAATTAGTATTCTAAAGCTATATACGCATTTATTAAGAGAATGTATACAATGATTGCAATTTCATAAACATAAGGATACTTCTTATGGACCTTTATTGATATTAAAATAAGGATTAGAGTTCCTAAACTGATTGATGCAATTATCCAATTTTTAGAAATCAAACAACTGACAAAAGAAAGAAAATTGATTAAACCAAAGATCCATTTTTAATAGACCAGGATTGTTGAAAATAATTTTTGTTTTGATTCTCTAAACTCCTTTTCTATTTAGGAAACTTCAAAATTTAAAGTAATTAAATTCATGTATGGTTAATAAATTATTAAATAATAACATTTGAGAATATACCTAAATATTATAAGAATAATTTTAAAAAGACTATTTTCAAAATAAAATAACCACTAATTTAGTATTTAGATGATAAAATGGAAATATATATGAAAAATAAATGAAAAAGAAATTGAGTTTATCTTCAAAACCTTTATCTTATATCTAATTGGATGATAATGGAAGAAATTCATATTGTAAAAGTCATTGTTTAAAATATGAATAATTTGAGTATAGAAATGAGAGAATTTATGTATGTTGTAATTAAAAGGAATGTAATTAAGATAATGAACCATTAAGTAATACTGAAATAATACTGCTATTAAAATAAATATTGTCCGAAACAATATCAGATGAATTTAAATAATAATAAAAATAGAAAATAAATAATTTTAGAGAAAATTTAAATAAATCAATTGAATTGTATTGTGATAGAGCTATTCAGATTTTAGATAAGAATTGTGAATAATAAAATATAATCAATTAATAAATTAAATTTATTTTAGAAAATCTCTAAAATGAAAATATCCATTAATTAGCATATGAAATATTGAAATTATAAGAATTAGATTGTGTAAATGTTAAAATAGGAATTATAACTACATTAACTTAAAAATTTTATAGAACACTTAGTAAATGTGAAAATACTTTAAATTGTATTAATTCCCTTATTTAAAATGATCAAATTAATGTTAATAATGATTACAATATTTTGAAAAACTAATTTGATTATGTTAAAATTAAAACTATGTAATTTTAAAGACAACATGAAATAAGTATAAAATATAATAAATAAAATAAAAAGAGAATATATTAAGACATAAAGAATGAATAAATTATAATTATATCTACTGGATAAGAATTAAACAATTAAATTAAAATAATTAAACCAAGTTAATATAGTTTATTTGGACAATTTGATTAATTGAAAAATAGTATTCCAGCAGAATTCTTTAGTATAAGTCCTAGTGGTCATTTTTATGCTTGGGGTAGTAATACAAAGATTTAAATTTATTAATTGTAAACAAAAACATATAAATAAATAAATTGTAATTCAGCTTTAGATTCAATTGCATTCAATATTATTAATGATTTTGCAATTAGTACTTAAGATTAGAAAATCAATTTTTGGAGTTTAAATAATAATAATTGGGAATTAAATAGTTCCTTCAATATGTTACCAGAAAGAGTAAATGATTTAATATTTATAGAGGATGGAAGAATATTAATTTGTAAATCAAGTTCTAAATTGACATTTTTAATTAAGGAAAATAACAATTGGATAATTTATTAATAAATACATTAAAGTTTCACAACAACATTATGGAGTTAAATAAATTAGATGATTATAACTACTAATTAGAAGGCTTAGATATAAATATGGTAAAGAAATAAAAAAGGTTTATTTTAATTGATTATAACAGAATGGGATCCAGAAAATAATATTAAAGATTATGAAATTAATCCTTTATAAATAAATAATGATGGTTCATTATTGGCTTAAAATCAAAATAATAAATTAAAGATTTGGTCTATTTTAGAAGATGGAAGAATGTAATTAATTTTTGAATAAGAAATGGATGAAAAGTATATTATTATAACAAATGATTTTACAAATTTATTAGCCTAAAATGAGAAGTCGTTAATATGGTATCAATTAATAAATAATGATTAATGAAATATTATATTATATATATTCATTATTTTAAATAAATTTACCATCTATAATTTTGATTATCAATAATTTCTTTTCCAACTCTACAATTTGATTTATGATCTACCTAAATACTGAAACGTAAATCTCCTTCAAATATATGTGTGTCATAATGGATATTGAGTGCATTTCCAATATCAATTTATTATGTAGGTGAGAATCCAATGACTCCACAAAATACTCCATATTTGTTATACCAATAAACAGATCCACTTTTACTTTTTCTAGCCACTTTGAATTATGATGTAGATTACAATACTTCAGTTGCATAATCAATAGAGCAGAGAATAAGAAGATTAGGATCTGATTATTTAATAGCTCCTATACATATTAAAGATTTATCATTAGATATTGATTTCAAATGATTTAGATTCTATTTAGTTATTACTTTTGAGAAAGGATTATCAAAAATGATCTGAAATTAATTATTTGTAAGTGCTTCTGTAGGATATAAATGTAATATTTACCCAATTGGTAATTTTATTAGATTATTCATATATTGAATTTATTCATCACTAATTTATTAAGGTTTTTATGATATGTAGAGTTAGAAATTCTAATCTTATTTTTCTAATATAGATTGCATATATAATAGATTTTATTCTTCATCTTAGAATCCAACAATTATTTCTTATCTAATTTCATTAATGTTGTTTATAAGATTTTTTAAACTCATTAATTAATTATCCATAAAATATTCACATTATTCAACACAATCTGTATTATTTAGAAATAAACTTGTATCAAATAATAATTTAGTTATATATCTTTCATATCCAAATAAAATATTTTTATGATTTAAGAGTCTTTATAATATAAATAATAATATACTTAATAAGTCTAGGATTAAAATGATCAGTATTAACTTTATTTTATAATTCTTTTGTTAATTATTCTAATTCTTCCTCATTTCTTAAGTTATTTGCAAAATGTTATTTAGATTCTGCTTCTATTTTTTATTCACTTAATTATTTAGCTTAATTTGCTTCATTTAACATCTAATTTAGTTTTTCTTGAATTAATTTAAAACAAATATTTTATTGGGAACTTAAAAGTTAGTATTTCTCAATTCTTTATTATATTTAAAATGTTTATTATTCTTCTAATTAGGAAGTTAAATCAGATAATTCAATTATTATATGACTTTTATCATGTTCATTAAAACATTAAGGACATAGTGTTTTCTTAAAATTACAATCATCAGATAAACATAAAGCAATAATTTACATATTTTATTTTTTATGAGCTTCATTTGAGCATACAATTTTATTGCCTAAAACAAATGATTTCTACATTAATTATTAAAATTAATATGGAAATATATAAAATATCACAGTATGGAAATACTTAATATTATGAGATTTTGGAGGAATTTTAAAGATTTAAATAGAATATCCTAAACTATTTAACTAATATTGAAAATATGATAATTGAAATTATAACTTATCATGTCAATTTTACTTCAATATCACAAGAATATTATGAATTTATTGAAAAAGAATTTAATATTTAAGATTTTGTAAATTCAATTTAAAATAAATATACTATTTAAAACAATGATTTAAAATATAGAGGTATTAATAATGATACCAACTAATTGAAGATATAATTATAGAAGATATACAATTAAATTTAAATGTGTTTTACATAGTAATTAATGAATTAGGAATTATTGACTTCTAAAATTATTAATTTAAATGATTAGATTCATCATGATGAAATTGAAATAATTAATTAAAATTAAATTACAAGATCTAAACTTTCCAGTATTTATAATTAAATAATAAGATGGTCGATGGTTAATTTAAACTATAAGATTTCATGGATAAAAGAATAATTATATAAGATCAAATAGATTAGTTTTTACAATTAATGGATCTGACATTATTTTTGGAATTGCTTCTTACTCTCAAATAGAAAAGCATAATTTTGAACTACAATATAATATACCCACTTCTTATTTTGTTAGATAAGATGGAGGTATATTATTAAATTATATATATATTAGTTCATTTTGGTTTTGGTTTAACAGAAGTTTAACAAGATTTTAGTGTACCTGAATTTAGTTCCAAGAAAGGACATAAAATTGGTATGAAATTATTAACTAACTAAAATTTATTGATTCTAGAAAATTTAATCACAAATGCAAAAGAAGAATATGAAATACCTTAAATATCTGATGATTGGTGCTACATTTTTGGTCTGAGATTTCAAAATGATTCAATTATCATAGATTAATGAGAATATCTATATATATAAATTATTAATAAATATATTAATTATGATTTTAATTATTTTAGTCATTGTTTTCTAAGTTATAGGAGAAGAGTTATTGAATTTGACAACTAAAACATTCTCAATTGAAAGTGAAGTGAGTGGAGTCAAAGAAGTTATTCAAGGATCACGCTAATTTATTACAGACTTTGAAAATGCTGAATTTGCAATCAATATAGAATTGTAAGGAAATAAAAGTTTTCCTTGGGATATATGTTTTTCAAAATAAGGTTCAATCGAATTTGGTAAATATGAATATTTTCATACTGTAATTTATAATCCAACACATAATCCAGATGAAGAACATGCAAATGATCCATCATATTATTTAAGTACACCAATAATGGTTAATATGGTAATAACAAAATAAGGTATATTCATTGCAACAAGTGATCATACTTTATTGAATTATAATGTTACATAAGATCCCTAAAGTAGAGTTGGATTTAAAACAGAACTTTTATAAGAATATGATTATGATTTCTTAAGAAGTTCAGCAACTGAAGCTGAAGTACCATAAATTGTATATGTCTCTATGTTTAATTATGTATATTTGATATATAGAGATTAAATTTTAAAAGGTAAAGTATAAAAAAATATAACATTGTAAAATTGTTCAATAGGTAGTGGATTAGAAAATGACAATAATTTTATTGGATAAATAAAAGTTTTAAATAATTATATGTTTGTTCCATTAGGTAGAGATGGACTAGATATCTATTAAATTAATAAAGATGGTGATTTAAGTCTTAAAATGTCTATGAATTCTTTTGATTTCTATAACAAAGATTTAACTATTAGTTTAATTGATATTGTATTTAGTAAATCCAGTACATCTAATGATACTTATGCTTTTATTTTAGACAGTATCCATGGTGTTACAAAGTTTCTTGTTAGAACAAGTGAATAATTAATTACATTGAGTAGAGATGATAAATTTGGCTTAGTTGATATTAAATCAGGTTTAGCCATAGCAGTATAACCTGATGATTATCTATTGATACTTAAAGAAGTGTAAATATAATAAATTATTATTTTAGTGGAATCAATCAATAATTAGTTGAAATAGGTTTCAAAGATGAAGGTTGGTTTGAAGTCAAAACACATTATTTGACAGGATAATATTTTGATATTATCATTTCTTCAGAATTTGTACTTCTAAGAGGTAAAGATGAACATAGAATTGTGAGAACTGGAGTATATGAAGAATTTGAACCAGAATTTAAATTCTATACATAAGATGATTATTTTACCGAAAAAGCCAATTCATTTTATGAAGATTATGTCTTTATTCCAAAACTATAAAATGTATAGTTTTATGGATCAAATTTTTAAACTGAAGGAGATGAAAATTAATGGTCATTTAAATAAGAATATCCATTCTTATTAGGTTTAACTTAACATACAATTGTGGAATTACCATATATTGTAAGAAATCCTTCTGTTTATTGTGAACCTAAGTCTGAGTAAGATATAGGTAAAATTTATAAATATGACATATTAATGAATGCTACTTCTTGTCCTGATAAAGATAAGTATTTAGAAGAAAATCCAACAATCCCATATCAAACTATTTAATGTTCATATAAGAATTCATTTTAAGTCAAAGTTGTGATGGCTTAAGCAAAGATATACAACACTTAAGAATTAATTGGAGTTATTATTGGACTCGTAATTCTCTTAGTTCTATTAGCATTCTTATTGGCTTATTTGTATAGAAGATTTAAAGTTAAAGAAGAAGGTTTAACAAGTTAAGTTTAAGGTTTTGATAATCAAAAGGGATATGATTTAGAACCTAATGATGCTCCTGCTACTCAGGGTTTATGAAGTATAATTCATTTTTAATATTATGAAATATATTATACATTTTAATTAAATAAAAAAGTTCTATTTATATAATTATCTTATTAATAATATTAAATTGTCTTATAAATAATTTTTATATAAATATATTATTATATAATTATTATGCAAAATTTTAATGTATTAGTTTGAATTTTAAACATTTCAGATGAGTAGTTATTTTATAATAATTTTAATTGATTTATTTTATTAATTTGTCAAAATAATAGGAATTATACATTTATTTGGTTAATGTAGAATATCAATCAAAAATTTGGATAATTTCATCATCTTTTTATTATAAAGGGATTCTAATTAAATAATAAAAATAGTCCGTCAGTATTTAAGTTAATTGTGCCATTCTAGACATCTTCAAATACGTTTACTATAAATCTTAAAAGCATATAATTAAATAATTTTCAAAAAAAGAACATGTAAAATATTGAAATTAACTATGGTGAGGTAGTTTACCATATAATTTGTTAAAGAGAGCATCTTGTTAGAGATATCTACTTTCAATTGTACATCTTTAAGAATGCTATAACTCTTTCAACTGTAATTCTATTGGTTTATGATCTAAATATAGGAAATTGAGTCATCAACTCCAAAATATATGGTGCCAATAAATCTAGAAAATAATATACATTGGGTAAAAAACAATTAGAGAGTGTTGACTTAATTTGGGATTGAATACAAAGGGACAGTCAAATATTTCACAGCACCAGAATAAGAGCTAAAAATCTTCAAAAGGATAGTCAAAAACAAAATAATGTATCGAGAAGTTAGTGACTTCTACCAACCATTAAAACTCTTAGGTAAGGGAGGGTCATCTAAAGTATGTTATTAGACATAAAATTTAGGTTTATTTAGTACATGACAAGGACAATTCAGCAGAATTTGCATCCAAATGTATTGAGAAAAGATATCTCAGAGAAGATGGTGGCTATGTAAGAAATACTCTTATAATTTATAAGACTGCCTTATTTAATGAGATTAGTATCATGGCTAGCCTCGATAATGAATAGATCGTTAAGCTTGAAGAAGTATATGAAGGAGACAATACATTTTATCTGATACTTGAATATCTGAAAGGACCAAGTTTACATGACCTATGTAATAGTAGAAGTACCACATAACCCTTGACATGGGATCAAATTAAATAGATTATGTGGGTATCATCTTATGTTTAAATTCTTAGTAATTACTCAAAGGAGTGGCTCATATGCATAGTTTAAATATTATGCATCGTGATCTAAAACCAGAAAATATCATGTTTAAAGAACATGGTTCAGTTTAGGGTCTTAGAATAGTTGATTTTGGGTTGGCCACAAATACAAATGTAGAAAAATATCCATTTCCAAAATGTGGTACTCCTGGATATGTTGCCCCAGAAATTGCTAATCTTAAAGATCTAACTTTAAAATATGATAAGATCTGTGATATGTTTAGTATTGGATGCATCTTCTATAAATTGTAAGAAATTATTTGATAATTTAGAATTACATAAAAAGATTTATTTCCTGGAGTAGACTATCATGAAATACTTAAACTTAATAAAAAATGCTATGTCAATCTTGACAATCTTCAAATGTTCAAAGCTCCCTCTTCAGCTGTTGAACTTATTTCTTAAATGCTTAATCCTAATCCAACTTTAAGAATCTCTGCTTAAAAAGCTTTGGAACATTTATTTTTTGTTTAAAGTCCTTAAGCAGATATTAGAATTAGCTTTTAAACAAAAAAGCGACTAGACCCTTAAAATAAATTATGGTAGACTTAACTTTTCAAAAATATTAAATCTGATAAAATTCAATTGCCTGAGATTCCACTTAAGCTTAGACAATAAGTTAAAGAGGATGAGGTAGTTGAAGATGAAAAGATATCTATAAATGTTCCTGCCATGAAAAGTCCAAGATTTTAATAATAAATTAAATAGAAAAATATAAATCTCATTGACAGTTAACCTTCAACTCCAAGAACAAAATAGATTAAAAAATATTCAACTTAAGAGTATGATTTATCATCAGATGCTTCATCTCCTGATTCTGCTAGAATGAGACCAACTATTGTACTTAAAAATTCAACATAAAGTTCAGCCAAAGCTCAAACTCCTAGAGCTCGACCCAGCAAATAAATTATTTTATAAAGATAAATGTCAAATCAACCAATTGAGGAAGTCAATGAAGAAGAAATTAAAGCTTGATCAAAAATGAAGTTAATTTGAATTATATATTGAGATTAAATTGTTTATAAATTTTATTATCACTTAAAGATAATTTAAATTTTATTTAATTTTATTTAAAATTAAAGTTAAACCTTATAACTATTTTAATAGATTATTGTAAATTATTAAAGCATTATTATCAATATATTATTAATATTGATTTTCTAAAATAATATATTTTATAAAACCAAATATTCAATAAATAACTTTACATCCAATTTAATATCAATAATTTTATGAGTTTTCAAATATAAAATAATAAAATCTATATTTATAATGTTATAATAATAATTTCTAATATTAATATTATATTTAATTATTTTAAAATTATAAAATCAGAAAACAAAAGAAACATATAAATTAAATAAATGTTATATTTTGATTAGAATAATCAACAGCATCCTCCATCTTTTTATTTTTTCTGACTTGATGTATTAGCACTAAGTTTGGTTTATTATGTGTTTGTATTATAAGATCTAAATAAAATTAAAAAAATATATATACCCTCCTGATTTAGCTTAAGAGGATTGAGAACCACTTGGTGTAGGATTGGAAGATTTTGGTGGTTGTGAAGCATCCTTCTTAGCCATCAACTTTCTCGAGAGTTCAAGAAATGCATTATTTACATGATCTGCTGTCTTTGCACTACATTCCATAAATAACATATTATGTGATTTACAATACTCTTATGCTTTAGCACTATCAACTCTTTTATAATGATATTACATAAACTTACTATTTCTATTCATCTAAATCATTCTTATTTCCAATTACTAACAATTAAACATTCTTTTCTCCATATGATTCAACTTCATGTAACCAAAACTTATCTATGTCATCAAAAGATTGTCCTTAAGTAACATCATATACCATAACAATCCCATCTGCTCCCTAATAAATATAATAGTTGAATTAATAACCTTATAATATGCGCTTGTAATTGTTCTAAATCTTTCTTATCCAGCAGTATCCCAAATCTGTAATTTCACATTCTTACCATCAATAGGCAATGTTCTAAATCTAAAATCCACTCCGATTGTAGTTAAATAAGACTCACTAAATTAATCATCAGCAAATCTCAATAATAAAGAACTCTTTCCAACTCCAGAATTACCAATGATGACTAGCTTGAACAAATAATCGTATTCTTTGATCATATATGATTTTTTTCTATATATTAAATATTTAAATATTTAATTAACATTCTAAAGAACATTTATATTTCTCAAGAGTATACAAATTCTATATTTGCCATTTTAAATACAATAATTTATGAAGATATCCACTCTTTTAAACTGAAATAATAAATATTTCTAATAAAGATGAAGAGTTAATTTAAATCTTACTTAAAATACAAATTATAATATTAATAAAGACTGAAAAACTAAGGATTTTTAATAAACAATTATATAAAGAAAGAAATGGCCAATAAGAAATAATTTATGAAGATATATGATGATATTAAAAATATAATTTATTTTATAATTGATTAAAAAATAGAATTAAAATAGATTAGTAAATTATGGATTTATAAGAAAGATGAAAAGAACTTATGATGTAGAAAAGAGAGTAAATCATATTCTATTTCATTTGCTTAATTTTCAATCATACATTCATTATATTTTATAAAAAATAAGTATAACTATATTTTAACTTAGTAGAAACCAAGAGAAAGGTTATCTTTATTTATAAAGATTTGTTTAATAATATCAGATATCCAGGGAGTATTTTATTACATATATATTTAAGTTTTATATTAGATAATTAATAATAAAGATTTTTAGCAGAAACGAAACTAAACTTGAATTAAAAATAAAAAAACAAAATATAAGATTTTAATTTAAATGGATTGAGAAAAAGAATTTAAATTTTAATAGAATAATAAATTAAAAAAAGTAAATACTATAATAAAGCCAGAATTAATGAATAGAGTGTTGAATCAATAGGCTAAATAGAAAACTAATAAAAAATAAAATTAAAATAAATGTAAAACATTTAATATGTATAAAAAATAACTTTCAATTTATACTAAGTTTGTAAATATTTATCATCATTTTTAAGAAAAAAATGAAAGATGATAAATACAACATTTATTATATACAATATTCACTATATAATCAATTGTTAAGATTGATAATTGAAATCTTCTAGTACTTCTAAGTTATATTTGTTGAGATTAAAATTTTAATATTTTCATTTACAATATAATAAAGTTTATAATGATTCATTATATTAATTATTATCAGAATCTATGAGTTCATATTCATGTCCATCAGGATAATATACTCTATTCCAAGGTACAAATACTTTGATGTGTGACCGGTACTCCAATTTTTGTGGGGCATTTTCTTCATGTGTCTAAGTTTCTAATGCAATTAGGCCATCAAAATTAGGATGTTGTAGAGAAAACTATCTATATCCTAGTGCAGCTAATATTATTGTTTATATTCTTATTATTCCAATAATTGGAATTGGCAGTTTAGGAGCTTTAGGAGGTGAGATTGTAAAATTGAAAATTAGGTGGTGTGGTCAAAAGGCCATTTTTGGAAGCTGTTCTAAATTTTAATTCAGGTCCTTCAGGAAATATAACCGCTTGCCTTATGTTTGGAGCCCAACTATTTAATTAGATTATTATCACATTCTAGAAGTAATCAAAATTTGGAATTTTAGACATCCATACCATCCTTAACGTCCGGTTGTCAATTATGAAGTTGGAATGATTTATGCCTTGGCTATTCCACTTTCAATGTAATTTGGAGAAGAATTAGCAAGTTATATGCCATTATTACCTGTTTTAACTATGTAGATGATGTTTTTTATTGTTATTCTTCCAATTTGCTTATTATATGCAAAAAGACAAGAAGTAGTTGAATAAGAATTAGATGAAGATTATACTGATTCTCATATTTCTATGACAACAGCTTTTAAAGGAACAATTTAAGATGAAGCTTAAGCAGCATTAGTTTATAAATAATTTTTAAATGAATCTCATTAAATCCTACCTCTTATTCCTATACTAATTACTTTTGGTAGTTTTGCTGTTAACGAAGCAGTGATATTATCAAGATCAACTCTTAATTAAAATTCACCTTACTTCAAAACTAATGAATAAGAACCAAATTCCAAATTAAATCCATGTAATGTTTGGAATTTTTATATGATGATTCTATTATTTGCAGTGAATATATTGATTACAGGAACAACATTATTGTTATTTAGAAAAAAAGAAGAAATTAAGGATACTGTAAGATATAAAATGAAGGAAAGGTATTTTACACCTACTCGAAGATTTTTTAAAATTTATGGAGCTGGATGTGCAACTGGTTTTATTGCTGGATTTTTAGGTATGGCTGCAGGTTTAACTATGTTTGTAACAATGGTTTAATTTGGTTTGGTTGCAGCATCTGCAGGAGCAACAGCAAATTATGGTTATTTTATTGTATGTTTACAAGTTTTTATATCATTCATGGTCAGTGATTCAGGAATGTCTGTTGGTGATTAATTTTTCTTTTACGGAATAGGGGTAATGTCATTTTACTAATTGTTTAGATTATAGGTGTACTTGTCTTTACAAATTTAGGCTATTACTACATAAATAAATATAAGATAGGCCATATTTTATTTTATATTGATTTTGCAATTGTAGTATTAAATATAGCTGGTAACATTGCATGGGGGATAGAATAAGAAGATAGATAAGGATTTTATTCTATTGTTAATATATAGAATTCATGTAATGAATGATTTTATTTATTTTATCAACAATATTTTAATATAATTATTTAATTTCATTTATTATAATGATAATGATCGAGAATTTAGTTATTTTTTTAATAAAGATATACTAATTCTTTCTATGCATTTTAATATTTTAATACAATGATTATAAATAGAATTATACAAGAAGGCTACCATGTCATAAAACTTATATGTCTGAAGAATCAGAATAAAAATTTTAGATTTTCATAATATGGATTATAATGATAATAATCCTTACTTTGCTTTAAAGAATATACAAATTTAAATTAAATTTACAGAATGTTTATCTTTCATATTTTGAAATTCTCAAATAAGGAAATATATGTTATTTAATTATAATTTATATTAAGAGAGTTCTTATATATAAGTTGCTAATAAAGGATTGTAATAATGAGAACTATAATTGTAAAAAATATTTGATTTCATGAGTTTCTTTATATTTATTATTAATGAATTTTAATATTAAGCGGGTGTTTTCTAATCAATTATGTGAATAAAATCAATTGGTTATTGTTTTTGGATAAGTCATAAATAGCTCCAAAATCACAAATCAACAATATTGCCTTACTATAACAGATAACTTTGGTAATCTAGAGTTTTGGTGGCATCATGACATTTCAATAGGTATTTATGTTGAAGTTTTTGGTACCTATTAACAGAAGATTTATAATGATATAAAATTTAATAAGATATATGCCAAAAGAATCAGTATTCTATTTAATAATATATAGAAATATTCGAGTCATCAAATAACTATATGCTATGTTTTTTAGAAACTATTTTTGAGTAAAAGAAAGAATAATAATAAGAGTAACAGTAATAATTTACGAAGCAAATTTAGGTTGTAGAACACTCTTAAGAACTCACAACTGAAATAGCAGTTTACTACTTAAAATTGATTGGAAGTAAATATTTAAAGAATGCTGAAATAAAAGATGATTATTTAGTTAATTTTAAAGGGGAGGAATTTGAAGATATGATATATTCAAAAGAGGAATTGAAAATGTCAATTAAGATATTATAAAGTGTTGGTATTTTTAATGGAAATGTTGTTTGTAAATAAGAGTTTTTTAACATTATTAATTTAGTAAAGAGTATTTTAAGTGATGGAAAAGCACTTAAAATTAAGGAATGTACAAAAAAAATAAATGATTATTATCTATTTAAAGGATATAAATTGTTTACAGATGAGATATCTGTTTGCATTTTTAATTNCTATTGTTAATATATAGAATTCATGTAATGAATGATTTTATTTATTTTATCAACAATATTTTAATATAATTATTTAATTTCATTTATTATAATGATAATGATCGAGAATTTAGTTATTTTTTTAATAAAGATATACTAATTCTTTCTATGCATTTTAATATTTTAATACAATGATTATAAATAGAATTATACAAGAAGGCTACCATGTCATAAAACTTATATGTCTGAAGAATCAGAATAAAAATTTTAGATTTTCATAATATGGATTATAATGATAATAATCCTTACTTTGCTTTAAAGAATATACAAATTTAAATTAAATTTACAGAATGTTTATCTTTCATATTTTGAAATTCTCAAATAAGGAAATATATGTTATTTAATTATAATTTATATTAAGAGAGTTCTTATATATAAGTTGCTAATAAAGGATTGTAATAATGAGAACTATAATTGTAAAAAATATTTGATTTCATGAGTTTCTTTATATTTATTATTAATGAATTTTAATATTAAGCGGGTGTTTTCTAATCAATTATGTGAATAAAATCAATTGGTTATTGTTTTTGGATAAGTCATAAATAGCTCCAAAATCACAAATCAACAATATTGCCTTACTATAACAGATAACTTTGGTAATCTAGAGTTTTGGTGGCATCATGACATTTCAATAGGTATTTATGTTGAAGTTTTTGGTACCTATTAACAGAAGATTTATAATGATATAAAATTTAATAAGATATATGCCAAAAGAATCAGTATTCTATTTAATAATATATAGAAATATTCGAGTCATCAAATAACTATATGCTATGTTTTTTAGAAACTATTTTTGAGTAAAAGAAAGAATAATAATAAGAGTAACAGTAATAATTTACGAAGCAAATTTAGGTTGTAGAACACTCTTAAGAACTCACAACTGAAATAGCAGTTTACTACTTAAAATTGATTGGAAGTAAATATTTAAAGAATGCTGAAATAAAAGATGATTATTTAGTTAATTTTAAAGGGGAGGAATTTGAAGATATGATATATTCAAAAGAGGAATTGAAAATGTCAATTAAGATATTATAAAGTGTTGGTATTTTTAATGGAAATGTTGTTTGTAAATAAGAGTTTTTTAACATTATTAATTTAGTAAAGAGTATTTTAAGTGATGGAAAAGCACTTAAAATTAAGGAATGTACAAAAAAAATAAATGAT